GAGCTCTCCACGTGCGGAGTCGCCACTCCCCTGAAATGAGAAAAACAGGGATATGTCAACAGGGACAGGGAGATCTTGTTTCTTGCAACATGTTAACCGACAAAATCCTTTCCTAGCTGGCTAGGCTTTGGACTGAAAGCAGCAGAAAGACGGGCTTTGCCAGAAAACAAATCGAAGAGGGTCAAATCCTGCGTTTATAGACAATCCACTGTATCGTCGATCATATACGTGTTCAATGTTGTTTCATGATGCTACAAAGATTGAGACGCCAGCTCGCGCCCGTGCTTTCTCATCCACCGTGCGCTGTGCGATGTAGTCGCACATGTGAAGCCTGGGCCGGTGAGCGTCGGTCCAACAAGGTGGAGTGTTGGCCTGTACTGTTATCATGTCGACTCGGTATAGTTACCAAGTGACACCAAAGGTGGGCATCCAATCAGTAGCATCATCAACGCACATTGTTGTGAAACAGCTAGTGGAGAATCCGACCCACTATTCATGCCGAACCCGATCTAAGGACCAAGATCAGATTGAAACCGTGCTGGAGCCAAAAACCTGTGCAATTTGCATCACTTGTGGATAGCACCTTGGCAATGAAGACTGGGAAGGTGACCACAAGTCAGGTGATGCTTGCACTGGCCATGAACAAATGCCAGCTGGTTCCAACCTTTTGTCAAAAAAGCGATCGAGCACTGAACACTCTTGAACGCTAAAGGTGCTCGCCTACGTGTGCACCCCTGGCTTGTAAAGCGTTTGTCTCTAACACCAGTGCACGAACATCGAAGAACTTATTGAACAAAGTGGTTGAAGCCAGGAGCGCATAGATTGCAGTCCAACAAAAATGGATCCGTGCGCTGGCCCTTCCTACTTCGCTCCTTCGGTCGGGACCCAGCCCGCAACTGCCACAGCTTTGGCCCACCTCATCGCAAGTCGCAGCAGAACATGAAAACCACCGGTGTTTTCTCCTGTTCAAGTGCAGTTCAATAGTCAAACTTAGCCTCCAGCGCTGCGATAATTCCTCCTTTTGACCAGGAAACATTCACTCCTTGCTGTCCCACCTGGCAAGATCATGCGTACAAATTATGTTATATAATAGAGATGAATAGATCCACGCAGATCTAGAAATATGGCCTTTATCGCGTGCTGCCGCTCCACTTCCTCTATGCGGTCCTTGTTGATCCGGTACACAAAAAAGGCGGGATGGCGGTCCAACCTGGGGACGAACGAAGACGCGTGGCTTCATCAGTTAATTAACTAAGTCGCAAAAGCATTTCCTGTATTGGGGCTCCCAGCAGCACCCCGATGCTGGATGGCTTCTCCACTGCGCAATTTGGTGGCGGTTGAAGGGTAAATGTCCTGGGGCCCGTCATGCTTGTTGAGACTTGCACATTTTTTCTACTACACATGCATGCACGCATGCGTTGCACCTGCTTTGAACTGCTTGTTTTGAATATTGTGTGTTCTGAGGAAACTACATGCCAGTTATAGTTGGATCTGGCATTGTGAAGAGCTGGAGGTGCTCCGCGTAGTCAGTGAGTATGCTCATGTTGTCCTGCTATGTTGCGACAACCCTCACAAACATGATGTGGTGCTCACTTCAACATCAAAAGAAAACAAGCGATCCTTGTAGAGCATTTTTTTCTTTGCAGACTTTGTCAATCCCGGCGAACGTTGCACTCGCGCTTTCGGCTTTGGTGATGCTTTTTTTTTGGGGCTCTTGATGGAAAAGGGACGACGTTTTGGTGTGCACATTTTGCGTGTACTCGCACGCCTAATGTTCTTTCTCGGGCTTGGTGGCTGTGCGGTCTCGCTGCCATCCACTCCGCTGTCCCCCTCATCATCCTTGCGAAAGCGTTTAGGTTGAGGTTCATTGCTGTCAGCGTCTTTGATTGATCCCTCTCCGGACGATGCAGCTGTAGCTGCACCAGCAGGTTGCTGGTCAGGTTGGATATCATCGCCCTGCCTCAACTCTTCTTCCTGTTTCTCCCGCTTCCCCTTTGTTTTCTCACCTCGTCCCCTGCCTTTTGCCTTGCCTCTCCCTTTCCCTCTACCTCGTCCTCTCCCTTTTCTTCTCTTGTTGCCTCCAGAACCTTCTGACCCAGATTCGTTTTTGTATTTCTTGTCTGGATCCTCCGAATCCTCCTCCTCCCCGGCATGTCGGGCTGCAGCTCGGACAGTGGCTTGCGCCTGCACGCAGAGAGCTTAAATGATCAAGATTAAGAGCTATAAGAACGTACTGCTTTATTAATTCGCTGACATTTGTCGGTTGGCTACATGTGAAAGTGCATGCGCACGAAGAATCAATCACACCGCTGCCTTAAGCAAATCAACGTCATTCCCGTCATTCCCCGTCATTTGTTTCTCAAGGTCTTCCAAAGCTTCTTTCATTTGTCCCATCAAACTGTCAGGAGGTGCAGGCGGAAGCTCCATCAACGGCTTGGTGTCCTGTGCACGCATGATATGAAGTTCACGCTCGCCCAGACTGATTTTGGCAGGCTAGCGGCTACAGCGCGCATGCATGTCACACGCAACAAATAAATGAAGGGTCCTTGAAAGTGCCTTTGTTGTTCTGTGGATCCTCATTGTCGCTCTCAACAACCTCAACCTTGACTTGACCATCCTGGGGAAGAGATCCCCCTGCCGAAGTGGAACCTTTCGACTCAAGCGGTCCATCCGAATGCTTGGCAAACTCAGCGTCCAAGTTTTTGGGTTCACCTGCTGCAGGGGTCTCATCCGAGTCGCTACAGGTTTCGTTGTTTTGATGCACTGCACAGGGAATGTCGTCGTCCCCATTCTCCTCCTCTTCCTCTTCCCTATCATCGGACTCTGAGAAGGCATCAGGCTCGGTTGGTGTGGGATCCGGCGCGTCAGGCTCCGGCATTTGTGAGTCCTCGATGAGCTGTGAGTCATTGATGGCCTGTGAGTCCTCCACGTCGATGGTCTGTGATTTGTCCTGCCAAAGGGAAGTAAAGCACATCACACATTCCGGATCTCAAAACGCGTGGCGTCAAGAAAAGATCAATCGTTGTTTGCCTCCACACTTTCCGGTTTCTTTCTTGTCTCCCCTGCTGCTTCAGCCTGTCAATCGGGTATGGTTTAAAGTGGTTCTATTGCATGCATGCAGTGCAGATGGGCGCACCTTTGCCTTGCCAGTGTTTGTAGAGCGGCCCCTTGTCGGAAATTTTTTACCGCGATCATCAAGTAGATCTTGCTCCTGCAAGTGCTTGCTTGGTAGGGAGTGGTCCCGAGTTTGGGATGACTCATGAATATCACACATACTGATTCTGCTTATTTGTCTGTAGAACTGACACAACACACAGAAACAATTAACAAAAAGCAAAAAACATAGGCTTTGTTAGGCTTTGTTTATAAAACCAATCATAGTATATCATAGTAAAACCAATCCTGAAGTCTTTGGGCGATCAATTCCTTCAGCATGAGCATGCACTTTCTTCCTTTCCTATGCGCACATAGGAAAATGTTCTTGTATGCGTGTGTTTGTCATCATCATGGTCTAACTGCAACAGCTAAAGCTTGAAAGTTGGAAGACTTTCGCATTGTGTGCCTCGCTTTCCGTGTGCGCATAAAGCTGTTCATGCAATAGCTAGCAAGCGCTCGCTGTAGCCCTGCTTCAATCTTGGCCCATGCCTACCAATGCAGGTTCAATTTGAGAAGAATATACACCTGCATGAGACTCACATGTTTGCAATTATTGGGTTGCTAGTTCTTCGATGTTCTTGAAGCCGCCTTGTGCTGGTAAACGGACTCAAACTTGTTTAGCCTGTGATGTTCAGAAAGCTCTGCAAGAGCTGCCTGGCGATGACATGCAATGAGTATACTAGCCATCTCTTTTTACAACATGTCTTTGAGCGTTGGCGTGCGAGCGTTTTTCGCACCTCCACCTCCTGCTGCGTAGGCAGATCCCCACAAAACATCGCCAAGTACTGGGTAAGGAACTCAAAGTTGGCCTCCTTCTCCACCTTTGTGCAATTGCGTGCAGGCATCAGCTGATGACGGAGAGTTTCAATGAAGTTCATATCAACCGACACTTGCCAGATATTAGTGATCGCCTGGAACTCCGTGATTGAAGTCGAGGTCACATCAACAAAACTGAAGACCTGCCATACGCTAAAAAGACAAGTGAGAAAGTAAGTTGAGGGCATTGAACAAATCACGACAATTTCCACTTCCATGATGATTTCAAACACGGTAAATTCGACAATTCCTTTGCAATGGAACCGAACATGTTTGGCAACCCATGCCAGCGAAACAGCATTTGAACCCCTTGACTTCTTTACCTCTTTCCTCCTGCTCTTTACCCAGTCACTGCTCTCACACAAGTCCTCATAGAACGCTTTCAATTGCCGGGAGCGTTCTGAGGACATTCGACTGGGCCTTCGTATCATAATGCTGTGAGCCAAGTTTCTCCAAAGGAGAAAAACACATGAGCGCCAGAGATGCTGCAATAGGCTAGCATATCAAGACTTTCGCAAAATGCTCAGAACAAAACACTGGAGGGGCTGGCACCTGGGGTACCATCCACGTCGAAATCGGAATCTCCAAGGCCACCATCATGGCTCTCTAGATGATTGCCTCACAATTTCCATCGTTCCATACCCCATGAAAAACTCTTCGGGGAAATGTTCTGTACAACACTAAGAACCCAGCACAAGAGAGCACGCTTCATTCCATCCCATTGCAAATCGGGCCATGCTCCGTTCGATCACAATCAGATGCTTTGATCCACCTGTGTGGATCTCCTGTCAAGACCCCTGGGTGTGTGTGTCATGTACATCAAGTTATCATAAGTCTGTGTGTACAGCATGAAGTCCACGAATGTCTCCGTCTTAGAGCCAGAGACCTATGGGCAGGCATCCCCATCCAGTCCTTCGGCCAATGTTTATGCATTCGTAAAGTACTAAACAAAGTTTAGTCATGGACTGTTAGGGTATATATATATATAAGTGAGCCCCACTGAATTCCAATCTCCTGGTTGCTGTCAGGACATCATTGCTATTCTGGGAATGGATGAGTTGAGCCCGGGACCTCTGGGGTTGTTGAGCGAATTTTATCCCTGGGAGTGGATTTGTGTGAGGCGTCACTGTCAATCATGTTTTTTCATTGCTTGATTTGACCACAGCTCTTGTACCTTCCTTGCTGCTTCCTTTCCAAACATGTTTCAACTACAAGCTGGCTTTCAACTACAAGCCGACTCACGACTGAGGTGAAGAAGATAAGCTCACGGTGGCGCGTGCACGCAAGGCCCGGCTGGTTGAAAACCATGTTGGACGAACTGGTTGAACCTCCCCCGCCGTCCATCGAGAAAAATGAAGGCGTCCTCCACGGGACCTGGGCGATGCTGCACGGGACCTGGGCGGTTGGTGAGTGGATGTGTGTGGCGTTTTTAGACCCAACCACCATCTGAGAAAGCGGCATCTCCACCCCGGCGCCCTCTTCGGCCCGCGCCATCGTGGGTGGAACGGTCGGTCCAGGTGCAGCGCTTCTTGTCGCAGCCCTTCTTCGTGGCGGAGATCTTTACCGGCACCCCGGGCGCCTTCGTGGATTTGGAGACCACGCAGCTCGGAGGTGGAGGGGAAGTCTAGCTGCCTCCTTTATTCTCTTTATTCCTCCTCTTTGGAAAAAGGGTCAGGAGTTGGTCAAAGCCTTTTTGGGGCGATCATCGAAGAGGTCGATATTTCGACACCTTCCAGAACTGCGTGATGGGCACCTTTCTTTCCGCGTTTTCCGTTGAAAGAGCTGGGAGAGCGGCACCTCCGGAATCTGCTGCTGCTTTCACTCGGTTCAATCGAAATTTGCTTCACTCCGTCTGGTCAAACTTCCGACTTCGGTGGGGTAAACGTCCGTGGGTCCGTTCACCTCTTTGATCGCCCCAGAGATCGATCTGGCGGCGTGGATCAAGGTGGCTCGGGCAAAAGACTTGACTCATCCGGTGGATCAAGGCGGCAACTGCAGAAACTCCATCTAGTCCTAATGATTTTCAAGAATCATAATGCTGTACCTACATAGAACTCAGAAACCACCCCAATGATCCCAATGTAATTAAACATTCCATGCATGGAGTGTTTGGGTATCGGTCTAGGGGTTTTGTTATGATTGCCTTTTGAGTTTTGCCTTGATTCTCTTCTCCTCTCCGGTATGATCTGGAATTAAAGACCAGAATTCCGAACAGGAGTCCTGGCCCATCGGAAGTGGATGTCATGGCAGTGACCATCCGGTTCGACCAAGCAGGTGCACCCACAGGTCGCATTGAGGATCTTTTGCTGCAGGAGTGCACAGAATGACTCGTTGTCACTGGGATCACCTGAGAGATGACAGGCTTTTTCTCATGAACCACTGAACAAACAAGACACCCAACACTGATATTCGGACGCGTTCGGCGTAGCTTCGTGGCCTTAGCAGTCCAAGTGAATCCATGGTGAATCCCACATTTTGGTTCACCATCTAAAGAACCCCAAATGACGGGTAATGGGCACCACTGCCCTGTGGAACTCCCGGTCGATGTTTTTGACTGGAGCCATCGGCGACTTTTGCTATTCATTGGGCCGCCAACATTTTAAGGATCAACGATTTCGAGGAGGTCCTCTCGGGCAACTGCGACGATATCCCTGAGGCGGGATTGTAAAGACGCACCCAAAGACAAAACAAAGAAAAACAGCTATGTGTTGCCTTCACAAAGGGGTGCTTTCCATGGAGGTTAGGGGTGCCCATTATCCACTCACTGGATGGGACTAAACACCACCCCGTCTTGTGACTCCTGGATGTGTTGCCTTCTTTCACGTGCTTACCATGTTCTTTTTTCGACTACCCAAAGCGACTCGTACACGACGTGTGGGATGGCATGGCCCCAAGTTCGGATGAAGTCCGAAGACCAAATAGGTCGTTTTTAAGGTCGTTTTCAACGGGAGTGTAAAGTGAATATGGCTCTTCGACCTGTGAAACCAGCCCACATCGGATCTGTTTCCGTGAATGTGTATAACACAAAATTGGCGTGTGGCTGGATGTTGCACCAAGCAAACCCCCAAGCGCAACGATCAAATCGAGACATGGACATCCAAACATTAACATCCTGCCGCTGCCCAGGAACAGTGGATAACCTTCAACCTTTTCGGGGATTTGGTTTCTCCACAAAACAAGACCAGGTGGACACTAGGGTTACGCGATGAGCTGTTGTTTGAAAGCACACCGAGGGGGTCAGTACTGAAATCTTGGCCCTCCATTTCTGGAATCTTGGCCCCTCGTGTCTCATTGATATTGCTCAGGGATCAAGATGGTTCAAGTGGTGGAGAATTGGATGTTGAAGTCATATCAAGCCATGTCAATTTGTTCAGTTTGGATTTGCCATCTATTCAGTCAATCTAATCTATTAATCCGCTTGTATTTGGCCAAGCCATCTACTATTCATCTACTACGTAGTCTAACAGTAGCAGCTCTAGCAACAAACAGCTTCAACAGCTTCTTGCTTGTCCATGCCATCAAAGCATCGCAAGCAGGTGGTAGATCCAGGGCACCGAAGAATCACACCAATTCTGCACTTTTTCGCATCCTGTCCCAACAGATTCCACAGGATGAATCACATCCACAGGTCTTCGCATCTTGAAGTCACCGATTCGGCTACAATCCTGTCCCAGTTCGTCTATAGAATCCTCCGGGCCGAGCTCGGATTGGCAGGCGGCCTTCTACATGATCGGCGGCATGTCGGATGTGCGTGAGAAAGCAGCCAAGCTGGCAGCCGTTGCTGCTGGCAAGTGAGCCGGGGCGACGCGACGCGACGGATTCGGAGTAGTGGAAGGCGAAGAATGTGGCTCCGGAGAGAGGCTGGGTGAAGATCGCAGCCAGTGAATGAAGATCGCCTATGGCAATGTAGACTCATAAAACCCTCCATAACCCCCTCAATTTGGAGTGAAACACGCCTGGTTATTCATCAAGATATAATACATATAGTTACCTTAGATGATTCCTGTCAATATATTTGTGATGTTCCCTTCAGGTGACACACAGGCAGCAAACAGATTGGCCAAGACAGCATGGCTTTTTGCATGATGGCTGGTGGCAGAAAGTGCAGATTGGCAGGTTGAAGCTGCAGCACCAACGATGCAACATCAGACATCGGCCAGACTTGCGTTCATCTAACTGGTGACCCCACAGTTTAAGCTTGCACAACTGGCACGACTGTAGAGCTCACGTGAGCAATGAAGCTGATAGTGATAGACCGTGAAGCCGTAAAGCAAGTCATGTTGTGAGTCTCATTGAGTCTCCAAAGATCAGATCGTTAGTCAAGTAGTTGCAGCAACCGAGAATGACACAGAATCCTGATGCTTTCTGAAGAATGGAAATGCCATGCTCCCCAAAGATACAGTATTCTTTATTGGGAATTGAAGACGTTCAGCTCCATCACAGTATTGGGAGTATTGGATTTGTAAACATAAATCAAACAGGAGCCAGGACGAACCTGAGCCACGATCTTTTCTTGTTCAGTTCAGTAGAAGATGCCGGATTGAGTTGTTTTTGTTGGAAGAAAAGGCTGTCCAGTGGCAATCTTGTGGTACTGCCAAGTGCTACTTATGGAGGTTCGATGAAGACCAGCACAATTTGTTGGAAGTTTGCTTCCTTAAAGATTAGCATTGCACCGGAGAAAAATACATCTTTGGCATCTTTGGAACAAACTAGACTGGGGAGTTCCTTTTTCAAGTTTTCTCTTCGGTGGATTTACCAGCATATCGCAGGCACATGCAGATACTCATTCTGACTCTCAGAGGTGCGCCCACTACTCTCAGAGGTGAAAGCGAAAACATGCGATGTGTCACTGCCCATGTGCGTACTACCTACGTTGCAGTTTGGCTCCAAAATATCAGGGTACGGCCCGTGGTCATCATGCCCCTTCCACAGGCCCGTTCTTTTTTTGCACCAAACACACACGAGAAGATGTTGCCTGATGAACATCTGTCATTGGGACTCTGGTGTTTTTTTGCGGATAGACATGACTAACATGGAGTTGGTTGGGATAAGTTCTCCAGAATCCGAAGGTCCCATTTCTTCTTGAAAGAGGATTTGAAGGGCCGTGGAAGTGGACCCTTTCTAGTGCACATGGCAGTATCTCCCTTCCAAATGATGCTTCCAAATGAGCCCTCCTCCCCAGGAGACAGTTGTTGTTTGTTTCGTGAGAGACCCGAAGACAGCATATTCCCAAGGCTTCCTTGAAGGTAAGCCAGCTGATTTTGCCAGCTGCATTGGCGAAGTTTGTGCTCACCAAATTTGTTGAACACTCTTCTCCACTCCCTGCTATCTCTTCCAAGTACAATCAGAGTTAACACCCCAGCAGTACTACAAACAATCCCAGACACTCCATGGGACTGCCATGTATGCCTACATTGACCCCCCTGGCACCACCCCAACTGATCGGCATACATGGCAGTCCCATCAGTCGTGTCTGGGAATCAAACAAACAATCCAACGGACGCCACTTTTCATGCCTGGCGTCCCTTGGATTCGGTGTCTCGTCAGCAGGAAGGTGCCCCAAAGTCAGTCGTGCCTTTGCAGCGCGGGCGCTGCCACGGCCGGAATTTCCGGGAAAAGCCCGGAGAGCATCCTCTTTCTAGACCGGGCACACCCAGGGCTTCACAGAGTTGTGCCTCAATCCTTTTCCATTTCATCTATGTATAACATTAAAATTAATACACTAAGTATACATTATATATTGTATATATATAATATATTATATATATATTATCACTAACTAATACAAACGACACCAATACGAGACGCAACCAAAAACAGGTTCTGCGTTCGCCTTTGCCGGATGCTCCCTGCGCCACCAGGCCCTCCGCCTCGGCGCCCCGCGCGGCCTCACGCGCGGCTTCGGTCGACGCTTTGTGCGGAGCCCTGGGACCGAGACGGACGCGATAGACGGTGCCCTGGGCTTCGAGCTGTCGGAGGTCCGGAGTAAACCCTCCGGGTTCTGGTCAAATGTTTCGAAAGAGATCTGGTTGGACTCAGGGTTCCTGATTTCTTGCAGAAAGGGTTCGACTACTCGCAGTTTGTATCGGTTTCTGTTTTTTGACCAGGTTTGGATCGCATCCTTGATCCAAAGAATAGTTTTGAAATGGGTTAGCAAGTATTCAGATCACATGCTTGATGCAGAGGTCTTCTTTTCTATCTATATACTTGCATTGGGAGTCACCATAGCCAGACAACCAGCTAGGGAGTCACGAAGTCACGTTGGTCCAGCTTTCGGGGCTAGATTCAAACATATTCAAGCCGAAATGGTCACCAGGAAACACCTCTTGAAGGGTCCATATATATATATATATAGGTATGTTAATATATATATGTTTATATGGTGGTCCATATATATATATATTATATAGATTGGTACCATTTTCCGTAAGCTTTTAGATATAGTTAGCCTACAGGTGGCATTTTCTGAATTGGGAGGGTATAACATAGAACCGGTTTAGCCCTTTGATGAAATGATTTTCAGGGATTCAACGAGGTCTGGGGTCGACCACCCTCGTTTCAACCTGTGCCGAGCCACACGGTACCAAGATAGACCATGATAGACCAAGTTACTGAGCCTGTCAAATCCACATACCACTTTGACCATATCCCAGACACTCCATGGGACTGGAATATAAAAATATGTACAATTATATATGCGTAATTATGCATACATTGACTCTAGAAACCACGCCCATGGCAAGTATAGGTCGATATGCCAGTCCCAGACAGCTTGTGTTTGGGTACGACTCAGTCTTAGTTGTCGGATTCTCATACGGATGCTCTGGCATCCAATTGATGCTGTTGAAGGACAGGTTCCGCTCAAGATGCGCATTCCCTCCAAAGCAAGCGTCACCCATTCCATTCGCTTCGGGCCATGCTGCGTTTGTTGCCGTAGTAGACCACTTGCGCAAAACCTGGTCGTTCGGTCGTTCTGACACACCATGGCAAAACCTGAGTTTTCTTGACTCCGCAGCGCCTCATGCTCCATCGAGGCAGCTGCCGCGGCCCCTGCAGCCACCAGTGGAAAGGTCTCGCAAGTGATCGGCGCTGTGGTCGACGTGGCGGCCCCAGAGGAGTGCGAGCGAAGGTGAAGCGGCTATTTTGCTTGACTTTTCCGCGGCCCAGGATATCCAAAGTAGAAAAGTATATAGGATAGAAACGTCCAGTCATTGCGGTTTTAGAGTGAACCTACAAATTGATCGCTACTGGGTGGATCCGAATTCTTTGAAAACGATCCCAAGCCATAATTGTTCAAGGAGCATTGGCTCTTCAGCTGTGGGCAGTTGTGAGCTGGTGAACCATTTCTAGCATGTCGTTGAATGGGAAGCGTACCCGAACTACTAGGTCTTGATCCGGTCGTTTTAAGTTGAGGTCGACGCAGATACTGCAGATACATGAGTGTATCATCGCTCACCACAAGATAGAGGTCCATTCTGTCATTTGAGTCATTTCTGGAACAAATCATATCTTGACAGCACAAGAAGGATTCAGCAGCCTCCATGGAGGATTTCCATCCACATGTGTGTCACATGTCGTGTCAATTTAATTCATCTTGTGGGGTGCTAGGAGTGATGCTGGTCCCACTCTGTTGGTCCAGTCTAGTTCAAAGGGATTCAAAGGGGCCGTACTGGTGGGTGTGGGATGTGTTATACGTGGCCAACACCCATGATGGACACCCCGAACGACACAGTGGACGCCGCCACGGTCGGACTAGCCCCGTGGGCCCCGTATGCTCCGTAACCCAAGCACCATGGCGCCACGGTCGGACTAGCTAGCCTCAGTCTCAGTGGCTCCGTCCGGAGCTTTCAGGTGCAGTTCGACTCTGCCTTGCCACCCATTCTGAATGCCCTGGAGGCTGGTGCCTGCAAGAAGACTTTGCTAGTATGACCATGTTGAGATCTGGGATCTCCGCGAATTGAATCTCAACCAGGTGGTCCATCATCAGCCACTGGTCATGGCGATCTTTCATCCATGGCGATCGCCCTGTCTTTTTATTCCTTTGCTCATGACTCATCATGGGCTGCTGCCATGGGCTGGTGACTGCCCGCATCTTCCCACCCCGTTCAGGTGGAAGGCTTTGAACATCGCCTGGTTTTGGAAGTGGCGCAGCACTTAGGCCGGCGAGTCGAATGCGGTTCCCGCGAGTTAGGGTGAACAACACGGGAGGATGCTGTGTCAGAGGAGCCTTTAGAGGTTTATTGCGAGTTGATCAGATATTTTTAATGTTCATCCATATCAACATACCATACAAGTAGGATGACAAATCAATTTCCAAATGTTTACTGTAATGTTATAGAAGCAAACCATAGTGTGTATCTGGTAATATGTAAGTTTATTATGTATTCTATAAATGGATCTTGAGACTTGAGGATGGACCGCATCCGCATTTGTTGGAGAGGTTTTCAGAATCTTGGGTCTATATATAGGTTTGTTGTTGGGAAGATTGTCAACCTACTGGTGATTCTCCTGGTACCTTACTTCATTGAATTTCTATAGTCCTTCCAAGACACCCAGCTGGTGCAACACCACTGGTCAGTTTGTATGGGATCATCCCGTGATTATTGCTCTGGCCATCTCTGGCCCATGGTGGTTCCGCTCCATGGGTCGCCTCGCCTCGGGACCCCGTGCGAAGCACCCACTCCGACGAAGGCAGGTTTGATGGAATATGCCGACTCAGGTCTAACACATCACGATGGAAGTAGAGGAACACCCCCTGCTTCGTAAAGAGACCATGATGCCATCCAGTTGTATGGAACGTGACGTGAGGGATCAAAGCACCTTCTCAGAAGGTGATGTGTTCGACTGTTATGTAGAGGGTCCAATCGTACCGACTGGATCCCAAACGGGTGAGTCAGAGCGTCATACTTTGACACCTCAAACCGATATGCCGGTCAGCCGGTCTGCCGGTGTGAACACAGGCTTTGCCTCACCGGGAATGGCCAAAAAAGGGGTTTTCCTCTCCAAAAGTGCATGGATCTCCTTTCTGGGAGACTTGGGCTTCCCACTGAAGCCAGAACAGGTCGTTCCTTTTTTCATGCGTTTGGACAGCATCGTTTGCCATCGTTTGTCCGGGGATGGATCGGCCAGGCGAAAACATGGTGCGCACCATCGCCATGGATGGTACGGACGGCCTCACCCGTGGCCAGAAGGTGCGTGGCTGGGCGTTGCAGGTCGCTTCCGGGCGTGAAAGCGAGGCCTTTGCGAGGCTTTGCATCGCTTTGCAATGTAGAATGCCAGCGGACCCAAAGTACATCCCAAAGAGTCAATATGGAACCTGGATGCCTGGATGATCCTGGTGTATTTATCCGGAAGACTGAGTTTTTTTGGACAAAAACAGCATATGTTGTGTTAGTGAGGCAAGAAACCTAAAGGAGACGGCGTTGTTTAAGCAACCAAATGCATTTTTGCCCATGGATTTTGTGCAAATGTTTGCAACCCTTGAAACGGCATAGTTTCAATACGCGTATACTTTAAGTGAAAAGACTTTGTGCCGTTTCAAGATCCAAGGTATATTTCTGGAACGTATTGTTTTTTTGGTTTGTGTCGCGCGTGTGTGTGTGTGGAGTGTGATGATCCAACAAAACACTGAATTAAGCCTTAAGCTAGATGTTGTGTGTGTGTGGAGCTCGTTTGTGTGTGTATGTGCGAAGCCTAACGGCATATCAAATCGGTGTTTGAATCGGTGCGTGCCATACTTTGCCACTTATTCTTTTTGGCATTGTCTTTTGGGGTTCTCAACCATACCCACACACTCCATTGAGACTGCCATATTTGCCTGTACATCCCTTTTCAACCACCTCAATGTATGCCAGTCCCATTCGTCGTGTTTGGGCCAAGGCGGCCAAGGAGATGATCGAAACCAGACATGTGGCACGAGACGGGAGACCCGGACCGGGACTTGTCGATGACCGTGCAGCCAGCATCGCAGGTCATCGACACCGGCGCCCCCATCACCGTGCCGGTGGGAGAGCAGACGCCCGGGGGCCTGCGGGTTTAGGGTTTTGACTCATGGCCAGCACTCCGTGAAATCATGGCCAGACACTCCACATGCATATGTATGGACATTGGGTGGTTGAACAGGGGTTATATATCATCCACTCCGCTTGGTATTCGGACAACTCATGGTCATCCTTTAGGGGCTGGGCCATGCCATCCACCCACCACCCCGGTGCAGCCCACCATCTTGGCTGAGAATCACCCTCGTTATTCCAAACCACATCGGGGGATTGGATATTGGTCGAAAGCTTCTGGAGTAGGTGCACCAAACGGGTGTGATTCTACTTCCCAGGTGTTCGGACCCCGTTCGTAAAATAGGCCAGAACAAGACACACCCAAACATGGTTGCTAGTGCATTTGAACATGAAGTTCCAATATTTGAACAAGACAACCGGTACGAAGCTACCAGGGTGACGGGACCGGACACTGGACCGGTCGGAACCACCATGGTTCGTTATCTTCGTTTCGACTGTCTGGTCGGAGCACCACCCAAGATTCGAGCCCAGCAAGCACCATGGTTGCTCAACATGAACTATTACTCTCACCATCTTTCCCCGTCACTTCTGCAGGTCCAGGTCGGAATCCGACTTCCACCAGTAGGGGATCATGCATGCGGAGCGTCAAACCGGGTTGACCTCCGATGTTTGGTGGCCCACCGGTCGGTCTTTTGCCCCAAAAGAACACCAGCGCCCGACTCCATCAGCCCAGTCAGTTCGGCGGATTTGGATGACCAACAGAGGTTGAGTCAACCTGAACGTTCGGATCCTGTAGTGGTACATATGGGATGGGCTAGGATGGGCTGTTCAACCTTTGGACTGGAGGCTTGGGCGTATCATCAACATCATCGGTGAGCCGATCGATGAGTTGGGCCCCATCGAGACCAAAAAGTGCCTTGGAACGACCAGTCCATCGGCGCGCACGGGTGCCACGCATGTGCCGGACCGGGCGGTGTCGAAGGAAGGGCGGACCGCGATGACGGGAGGGGACGATGGCAGAATCCGTTGGGGCACGTGATTTGTTCGGTGTGAATAGGGTCTATGGTCCTGTCCACCACATATATCCATCATCCATCAATTCATGCGGGCTTTGCAGATATATGCAACAGTGATGAGTTCTTGCTTTTTGAGGCACACATTGGTTCAGCCAGCTAGCCAGCCAGGAAGGAGGCCTCATATGATATCCTGTCAGCATTTGTGAGGGGGGAAAGGATTCCAAAAAGACACCCAAAGAGCTAAGTACTGCATTGGCTTCGGTCATTCTTTGAATATGTTTACATGCTCAATCATCGAAAATGAAAATGGTATATCCATACAAATCTACAAATAAAAGCGTCCAACTTGTTCACCGAAAGGAACCGCCCTGCCAAAAGATCACCCGTGAAAACCGACACTGGGAACCTGGGATCACAGAAAAACCTTCCTCGTTTGATCTCATTCGTTGCACTGTCATGCTGAGGTTCTATGCCATCCACCGACCCACACCCACCTTCACCGAGATGAACACCACTGCTCAGCAGTTGCTCACGGGCATCAAGGCCGCTTGCTTTCCCTTGTGAGGACGGAAGAGAGAGAGGTGAGTAGCCTGATGGAAGGAAACAACGGGAAGTTAGAACCCCAGGGTATAGTCAATGGAGTAGTCAATGGATCAATGTCAATGGTATGGATCAAGCATACAGCAGTTCTAGTTCAAAGGAGCACGTCCGCAACGTGGACTTGAGCATATATGATTTGCACAACACATATTGAAATATGTATTGTATACGACATAACTATTGCCAACAATCATAATGGCCTTGGATAGTTGATAGTGGTTTCACAGAGAGTGTTCCTTGTTTCTAGCTATCCATCGTCTACATACTTAGGGTCCCAAACCCAACGCCGCAACGCCTTCCCCGGAAAGATCACCCCATCGGACCTCCAACTCTTCCGCTTTGCGGTTCCCGGACTCTCACCTTCGCAACTCAACCGGTTCGGTATATGACAGGTCACCGGTCACCTCCACCTCAGGTCACGGTTCGTTGCACTCTTCAGGTCACCGGTCACCTCCACCCTCCATCTCCGTCGGTCGGTTTCTCTTTGAGGTCGTGGACTTGTTAGCGCCCTACGCCAAGGGCGGTAAGATCGGCCTCTTCGGCGGCGCCGGCGTGGGCAAGACGGTCCGGACGTCGGAGAGCGAGGGGACGGTCTGGGTGAGAAGTGGAGATGATGCGGAGAGGTCACGAAAGGTACCTGGAGCTACCTGAGTTCTCCTTGCTTTAGCAAAAATGTATTACAATCAGGAGTTGGGATTGTGCATTGAGTTTGGTCCTGTAAGAGTTGATTCTGTTCGGCCCCCCTGGATCAAATCCCCCCTGCGCCGGTTCACGCCGTCATGGACTTCTACCAGGGTTACTTGTGATTGCCTGCTACCTTTCGTTCACCCCCTCCTCTCTCAAGTATTAATGTAGATGTCTACGGTATTGAACATCTAGGTGGGCCATTTCATGGATATCGATAGATTATGATAGATTCAGTGTAATTCAGTGATTGTATCCAGGCTTGAAGATATACACTATGTATAGTGACTGCGACAGGGATATTGTAAAACAACTTGGATTTCAGCAGAGGCGTAAAAGGTTCCCTGAAGAAGATGGCGCAGGATGCTGAGCACGGTTGAGAAGAATCACTTCATAGACTCATAGACTCACAGCTTTGGCAGAAATCTGTTCACCCTAAGGTTTGGGAACGGGGTTTGGACCCCGTGGCGGTTCATCAGGGCTCGTTTGGTGTGGAGAGTCTTCCGCCCACCAGTGGTCCAAACTTGACCCGTTCCCCTTGCCAAAGGTGGTCATCATGGAACTCATCCACAACATTGCCAGGAACTTTAGACAGCTCCGAGTTGGGACACTGTGGAACGCATTTCATCACGATGTCGATCATCAAAATATCGAGTTTTGCCTGGGGTGTGAGTGCCTTACACGACTCTGGTTATTTAATGTTATTTAGCTATCGACTATATATAGATGCGCTTCCTATTGTTGGTGGCTTAGTCAACGATTCCCAACCGCGACATCGCCGTCACTTTTTCCACCTGAGGCCCTGAAGCACGGTGGTTACAGTGTCTTCGCAGGTGTAGGCGCTACGAATCCGGATGGCGTAGGCATGTAGCATAGTCCTGGAGTCGGAGCAACGGTGATCTCTTGATTCGACCCAAACCTGATACAGGCAGTAATGATTCGTAGATACAAGAAGCAAGAGATCACCGTAGAGAGAGACATGAATGCCGCATCACTACCCATGCCTTTCTACTACCTGTATCAGATGCGTAATGAGTCGTTAGAGCTGATCTCGAGAGAAGTCAAGTCACATGAAGTAAGACATGCGCAGAGGTCTTGTCTATACTGTACACGTGATACTTCGTAGAGGAAACGGGTCAAGGTAGGGGTGTAAAACAGTTGATCTCAAATGCCATGACCATGACTGTCCAGGATCCTGTGTGGTTTTGATTTGTTTGCATGTTCTTGCTGTAATTTGGTTCATTTTACCGCTGTTTTTGGGGTTCGAGCCGCTCTTAAGGCATTACATGCGGCACTCTCTTACTCCACTATTAAAAAATGCACCACTCGCCCTCGGACTCCGCCAGGGGAGCGAACCAGAGAGGGTAACGATTTGTATCACGAGATGATGGCCAGTGGTGCATCTTGACGGGAGAACCTTACGTCGCGTGATGTCGTTTGCGCGTGATGACGTGGTTTGAGCGGTGGTCTTCGAAACTCACCGCGAGTTTCGCAGGGGGCATGACCTATAGAAGCAAAGCTGGTGTTTGAGCGGTGGGAAGGTCAAACGTCACCAGCTCGGAAAACGAGGGCAATTGCTGACTTGTCTGCAGTGTTTGTTATGACTGGGAAAGGAAGACAGAACCTGGTAGACTCATCGCTCGGACGGTACAGAACTGGTAGACATGGCTGAGTGCTCATGGGTGTGTGTTTTTTTGTAGTAAATCCGGCAGATTCCCTTTCTCATTCCGCTGGGAATGTTTGGGTCTATGTTCAACCGAACCCAGGGTGTCGGTGGAACACCGGGGGTTCGGTCGACCACACGACCGCCCGGACCTCGTTTGGGGAGCGCCGTGACTTGCTGGTAGAAGATTCATCCCTCTTCGGGGTCCCGGTGACCTGGTGGTGAGTTTCTAAGGATCAAATTGACTTTGTAATGACAAGGGTCAACATGACTATGAGATCTTGGTGAGTCAAATAGGGTTCCTTTGACAAAAAAGGCCAGCTCTGTTGGCATTGGAGATTATTCTGGCCCAGATTACTCCTTGAAGGGACTTCCGAAACATGTTTTTCCTGCATCTTCGTGGTGCCCCTGGCTCCAACTGCACAATTGTGTGGTCCAGCATTAGCTGTTGAACCTCATGTTCTCATCCTATATCGATCATGATCCGATCATAATTCATGATCCAAATCGCGATACAATACATGTCTATCAGCATGTCAGATGCGCCAATTTCCTTCATGACCACGTACAATGGGAAAAGGCTGATTCACGGGTGAAGTCCGCTTCAGCGCATGCATGTCTCATCATGTCTCGTTTGGTCACTGGACTTGACCAACTGTAGCGACCCTGCGACCTGCCATGGGCGCGGGAAAGGACGTGTGCCATGTGATCAAGACCTATTGGTCACTACTGCTGGGGAATCTGCTGGAGTGGTATGAGTTTTGTTTGTTCAGCTTTCTAGAACCCTACTTCGAGGCCTGGGGAAATGCTTGACGTCCGAGTTTGTGACATGTCGGATATCAGTTGTGTGACATGGTCCTCCATATATGAATCAGATTTGCAGGAGGTTTGCCCGGATTTCGATTGGTCGAATCACGAATCAGAAGCCAAGATGCCTTCAGAAACTTCAAGACTCACCGAAATGGTCAAGATATGTCAAGCATACACTCCCCGGAATCATCATGGCTCATCATGGAAGGGGAGTTCAACACTCCGGTGGCGTCTTCGGACTGTCATCCGAGTCTTCCCGGCCCCATGCCACCGGTCACCATGATGACAAGGAGCGTCAAGTTGGGGTCATCGATTTGGGAACGGCCATCCATGTGGGGCCGAAAAGATGGCGCTAAGCGCCATGACACGGCCAACTGGCAACTTGATGCCAACTTGATGATAAGTTGATGCCCACGGCATGGAGCCACATGAGATGTGAAGTTGGACGTCAGGCGAACTTCTTCCAGGGCTCGGCGCTGGCGGCCTGGTTGGGCTCCTTGGCGAGAGCAACATGAGCAGCTCAGCCATGCCTGGTTGGGCTTCGCCATGTGCGCGGGTGGTATTTTGATGTTCCCGAACTGGGTAAAAGGTTCTTCTGGCGACTAGGTTCCATTTTTTCTTGACTTCCAAACAACCAAGCGGACTGGATGGTGACCTGGTGATTGACAGCCATCCAGTATGTTCGAGATTACAACCAGGTGAACTGCCCATAGCCCCCATTTCTGTGGGTTGGTTTTTTCCCACCAAAAATACCTGACATGGTCAACCTACCATCGTGGAACGGGCAACCCGGGGTTTGACCCATAATTACCCATATGATCTCATATGCTTGTAGGTGGCTCTGATTCTCTGGACCACCTGGGCAGCACCTGGCCGTAGCCCATCAAAGCTCTGAAGCTTCTCGACATGGTTTCTCCAGGAGTCACAAAGGGGTGGTTTTTACAGTGGTTTCTAATTGATCGTTAAGTGAGTGGATGTGACATGATGTGACTTTTGGGAACCCCGACTTCTTCCCTTCGTTCGGCGCCCAGCGAAAAAAAAAATGGAACTAACATGGAACATCATGGAACTGGTTTTCAGAGCCACACACTTATAAGAGCTGAGATCGCTTAACCCCTCAGAGATGTGATTGTTTGTTCAATTACGCTAGTCCAAAATAACGCGCTGCTCGACCTGCTGCAGAACGGAGCTTGCTCCACTCATCGGTCGAGCATCGGTCGTGCACGGCGAGAGCTTGGTGAGCGGAGCTGCGCGGGGAAGACACGCAGCGCCGGGTTGCGGGTTGGGGGAGGCCAACGGAAGAACAGAACGCCAACTGATGATGGGGAAGACATGGTAAACTCTTTCTTCAACCATAACTCTTGAAATGTAAACTCTTGATGGTTTGGCCAACTCTAAACATGTAAACTCTTGATATAACTCTTGCAATATGTTGCAATTCTATTTCAATCCCCCCAGCCTGAAGAGGTTTTCCATGTTTGGGTGGGGTGATGCATCAGGAGTCTACATTAGGAATCTGGAAGAATCTGGTGATGCTTCGATCTGAATCTGAAATGGCTCCCCAAACCGCACGCCAAGCGATATGTAAAGGACAGCACGAAGCCTTCCCCAGCCAATGCCTCAAAAACTGAACCCAGCGACCCAGGGCATTGCGTGGAACATGGACCGCTTGTGAAGGAACATGGTCTTGAAGTCTTGAACATGGACCATGTTCCATGATTTCAGGACCAGTGGTCTACGGTCGCCGTTGGGCTTACTTGGCCGATCGGGGCGCCCGTACGTTGCTGCTCTCCCCGTTACGTCTCTCCGGTTGTCCGGGACGTCCGTGCGAAGACCCTCCAGGCTTCGCGATCACATTCGTGGCCCGACCCTTTGGTGGCGTGGCGCTGGGCCTGGTGGGCGATGTCTTGGGACGCAAAGTCTCCACCTTCTTGTCGATCTTCGGGATGCTGTGCGGCACCGTGGTGGGAGCGAGGTCGCGAGGTCGCGAGGTCGCCAGGTGTTTGTGGTGGTTCGATTTCTTTGGCTTTTTTGGGGGGGGGTTGTTGGAAAAGACAGGGGCATGGGGGCATGGCAACTGTGGCCGGAACCAGAAATGAGTCTGGGAAACTTAATTACTACTGTAAAGGATTTTCTCGTGTGGGTGGGCCAGAAGCTGGATGGGTGGGTTGATGGGCTCAAAGTAGAGGTTTCTTCTTTCAGTGTCTCTTTGCTTTGATCATTTTTGATCAAAGGTAGAAATAGATGTGGAAACCATCTTGGAAGCATGACCATCCTTTTTCCCAAACACCCTTGCCTCTGCCGATGAGACGCGAGACTAGATCCACTGGTCCACCGAGATGGGGATGGTTTTGAGGTCCAGGTGTTTCTCCATCAACAGTAGCGGCCTGGAGTCGCCGATGCACTCCGGCATGACCCAGCAGCCACCGGTGCTTTTCCGCAGCTTTTGTGGAAGGGAAAACCATCACTTATTTTTGGAGGCCCAGCTCTTACTGTAAGAAACCCCCTTCTCAAAGTCCTATCCAACCACTGTCCTCAGGTACTGTACTTCAAGGAGTTCTTCCAACCTACAAGAACGGCCACGTTGCAGGCAAGGGGGCCGAGGGGCTCAGGACACATCCCTTAACAACACTGGTTCATGGCCAGCGACTGAAACCCAGTTTCCCTCCATCTTGAGCCATCTTCAGCCATCCTGCCACAATGATCAACAAAGCGGTTTCGGTTTCTGGTTCGGAACGAGCTTTCTGGGTTGGAATTGGCACCAGATGGCATGCCGGCTCATGTAATTGCTCGATCCACTGGGAGTGGTATGGCGTGGTACAAGATGGTACAAGCATGCTAGTCTGGCACCATGGTCATAGTTTAAGTGTATTGGAGGATGACTACAGCCTTCCATTCACGCAACCTGGACAAAAAGGGGAAGACTCGTGTTGTACAGGAACTAACACGGCACTGGACAACTTGACAAACTGCGGCAGCAGAACATAGTAGAGCAAACTAGCCACTGGATCCTTCCATATTTTGGACTTGAAGACCAAGTGCTTCGTAGCATCAATATGATCAGCTGCGCCTTTGCCTTCTCTCTGAATCATATATTCTTTCCTATCTACTGTATCTTCCAGGCATTGCAAGGAGCCCTTGAACGAGTGAACACAGACTTTTTTGCCACCTCAAAACAGGAAGGCATGGGATATTCAATGAATTTCAATGATATGCCGTCCATTTGGCTTCTTTGGATGATGCCGCATCTCCCTTCTTCCCCGCCTCGTTCGTTGCTTCCGCATCGAAATCCGCATCTTTGCCGTCCAGGGACCCTGGGCCTCAGCGTGCTGATCCTTCTGCGCTTGCTGCAGGGCGTGTGCACCGGGGGCGAAATCGCCGCGGTGACCACCTACCTCACCGAGATCGGCGAGCCCCGCGACCCGGCGGATTTCTCGCCGCGATGGTCCGACCGGTGTTTGAGGAAGAGGGAACGGAGGGGTGCCGGGGTCTGGTGAAGATGTTGCCTGTTGCTGAGGCAAACCCCAAAAGATCCCAAGCGACTGGAATGATGGACGAGTCGAATCCATTTGCTTGAAGAACGAGATTGTTGCTCAGGAGAGGAAGATAGGACTGTCAGTTTCTAAATGAGATGAAAGTTTGAAATATGTGTGCATGAATCTGTGACGCAACGTGCAGGCACACATTGTTTTGGGGCAAGTCCTTGTGGGACGATATAAGCCGGTTTGTAGATGTCAATTTGTACCGCTGTAAGACTGTAATGTGCTTGGGTAAACTTGCGCTACCTTGGACCAACGTTGACCATGTATGTAGTATGTAAAACACATTCAGGTATTGCAGTTTGGTCAGTGTCAATGATTCGGCCAAAACTATCCAACAGAAAGGTTGAAACTACAACATGCAGCAACTCAGCAGGCTTTAGCCCAATCTCATGACGTTTAGTTTAATGGTTTGCCATCCAGAACACTTGTTTGGTGCGTCATTTTGACATACTTTGCCTCAAATGTGAAGAAAAACAGATCTTGCATTCACGCATATTCACGCTCCGTGCATGAGGTTCATTGTCAAGCTCTCTGTTGTTGGTTCCCGTGACCGCGACAGTGGGCTTCTTTGCTGGTCAACTCATGACCTTTTCCTTTGAATGGTTCTTGGGCGAAGAGCAGATGATGGACTGGGGATGGCGAATACCCTTCCTCTTGGCGCTTTTTCCAGGCCTTCTGGCCACCATGGGACGGCGTTGTATCCCTGAGTCCGGGCTCTTCTTACGCGCCAAAGAAGAGTCAGAGATCACTTCGAGCAAGTCTGCTACGTCCAGAGCTATTTCAAAGACCAGGGAGGCCTGGCAGTGTATACTTTCGATTTCTTTTTTACTGGCATTGATTACTATATTGATCCAAAGAAACATATATTAAATTAGCAGATCTGTAACTGACTTTGTGTGGCCTTCTATTTAGGGCCGTTTTTGTGTGGTTTTCTCTTCTCTTTTTTAAAACTGGCATTGATACTGTATTGATCCAAAGAATGACAAGAATAACATATAATCAAATAAAAACAATTAACACATTAAATAATAATATTAGTATTAGCAGATTTGTAGCCAACCCCCCCGCCCCCGGTTCAGGACAAATGAGCTCCTTTTCAGGTAAGTCGAACGCCCACGTCTTCGAGGTCCAGGCAAAACCCAGGAAAAGTGGAACGGGAAGACCGAACGGAAGTCCACGCACCGCACAGGGTGGATCGTCTGGGACTTGCTGTTCCGTGGTTGTTCCCTGGTCCTCCTTGTCGCATGTCCTCGCATGTCCTCGGCGCTGCTCTGCTTTGCTAAGGAGCTCCTGGCCTCTTATTGGCCTCAAGTCTTGCTAGGAGTTGGTGCCGTGGCATCTGTCTCGGTCCTTCAGTATGGAGGGATCTCTTGGCACTTGGTGTCTCTGAAGAAGAAGGGCTTATCAAGTGGCTCGCCATTAGCTGCTGAGGTCATCACATTATGTTTTTAAAATCTCGATGTCCTCCCAACTGGCGCGACATTTGTCAACAGAATACCCTGGAAGGTCCTGTGAGTTTGGCTCATAGTGTCTCATAATGTCTCACAAAGTTCTTTCCAGCCAGCAGCTTCTGAAAAAGACTTAGATCCTGCAAACCAATCATTCGGTCTCTACAAGAAGCTTCAAAGACACACCATCGGTTCCCAGGCGTCCCAAACAACGATTTAAACTAATTATTAAACATATCCCGCATCAGGGACACTGCCACTCCAAGGGTTTTCTTGTGTGGTACAATCTTTCTCGGTACCACACTACCAAGGTCAGGCACGCATTGCCTGCGCGGCAGGCGCCAACGCGTTGACCGTCGGCTTGGCGCCCCTGGTGGGTTGGCTGGGCGACCGACAGGGCGCTGCATGGGTGATGATGGTCACCAGTGCGATGATGGCTCTTCTGGGGATGCCACTACTGCTGGCCATGGAGCGTGATGGGTGGGGAGGGTGGCGTCACCGTCCGCAATGCACGTCCTTGCTCCTAGTAGGGTGGGGAGACCTGTGGAGAGAATTCGCAGATGTTGGAAGGGGTGAGATGTCGCCTCCGCCGCTTGAGCCGCCTCGCTCCATGCTTTTACCAGAGCTCCTAGTGGACCTGCGGAGCTCCGACACCTCCAGGTCCACCACAGCACCGCTCCGCCCGCAGGATGCCGCGGTGGAGCAGCCTGAAGTGGAGATCGGCCTCTTTACGATCGCCTTTGGCATCCTGGGCGCCTTAGAGATGTGCCACTTCTTGCAGGCGCCATCTACGTGCCGTGTGCGGCGGCGAAAGCAGAGAAAGGAGCCCCCCGAGGTCACTATGGTGTGGGGAACTGGTGGGAAAGCGTACTACCCCCGGTAACAAAACAAAGAGACTCTTGGATCTCAAGGGTGAAACAAACTGAACACGGCTCCCAAGCTGCCTTGCCTCATGGTGGTCCAATGGAGGACATATTCGCTACTGGATGCTATCGGTGGGGGTGGGATCCAATAATAATGTTTGCGTTAAGTTTTCTTGAGAAATGCTGGGTGTACTGTAACGGTATCGCCTGATTCTTTTTTGCGTTGTGGTTATCAAGCAGCAGAATAGGAATCAATACGAAGCACGTCCACTTTTTAACCTGTACGAAACACGTCCGGCGTGGCAGTTCCTTTCGTTTCGTCTCCGTCGACCGAGATCCACAGGTGGTGGAGCTCTTCCCCGTGGACGTGCGCAATGCCGGGGTCGGGCTCAGCTCCCCGGACGCCCAGCTCCCCTCGTGATTCGTGGGTGAAAGGTGTACTCCCTGGTCATCCAGGTCATGCATGGTGGAAAACATCCATTTTTGATGAGGATGAGGTGTGATTTTGTCTCTTTGATGAATCCCCGAAGATCTTTCCTGGTTTATAATATAATTGCATTGGTTTTATTTACTTTATGTCCGTATAATGTTCCATTAACAATCATTTATGTAATGTATGCAGTGGAAGTAACCCTGGAGTAGTACGTTTACCACAAATATTTTGAGCATGTTCTTCTTCAGGTTCTTTGAGCAAATCCCAGTCGTGCTCAGTGTTCTTTGGAGTCACATGTCGGGGTGGTTTTTAGACGTTTTTAGTCACTAAGCTAAGAGGATGTGGCTTCTGGGCACCCCGAGGAAGTCCTTTGTTCGTTCGACACCCCAACATGGAACTACTGGTCTTTGGATGTTCCTCTACGGTGGTTTGTTCATCCACTTCCATGCTGGAAAAAAGACGGTATCTCGTGGAGACGTCTCGAAACAGAAGCAGTGCCACTGGCAGCCTTGGCAGCCTGCAGGGTCTTGGCCGGCCGGAAATATCAACTCGAGTCTAAATGAAGATGGCCTATATCAAGTCGAGTCTAAATGAAGATGGCCTGTGCACTCTTCGGTGGAAACCACATCACAAAACATCACTGTAAGTATCACTGTAATTTATTGACAATGGGTGGACACTTAATAAATTCATGCTCATATTCTGTCTTGGAGTATGCTCCAATCACCCTTGCAGTTTTCTCCCAAGCATGAATCATAGCTACAATTTTGCATCGATTCCACAAGCGAACTCTGATCCAACCACAACCAAATACACAAACCTTCCTGCAAACCATGGAAACCAAGTCCGAAGCCCAGAAACAGTTCTGGTTGAAACCCAAGCCTGGACGCCAGCTTGAGATCCTGACCACAGGACGGCTCAGGGCGGTTGGGTGACTGGGGAGTTCCATGCAATGGCCATTGGCCTTCACTGTTTCGGACGTGACTAGGACGGTTGGGTGTCCCCAGGTACCTATCATGGCGCCAGATCTTTCTCTCATGGCTATTCAAAGTGATGCACCTGTTTGGGAGGTGATATTATCAGAATTGGTTTAAAGGAACATTTACAGGAAACCCATAGTTTCGGTGGTGAAATAATGAGTATATATAGTATATATAGTACAGAGTAATACAACCTATACTGTATGACATGTATATAGATAGAGACATCAGCTATATTCTCTTAAGGTCTCTACAACACTCAACTGTTCCTTTGAACTGAGGCTACAACCTTGGCGTTTGCCTCTTCGGCGGCTTTGCCCCCATGGCCTTCGAGGCCGCCGCGGCCACACCTGGCTGCGGCACCTGGCTGCCGGCAGCGCTCTTCGCGGCGGGAGGCACGGACGGGCACTGACGGACGTCACACGCCTTCTGTTTGTTGAAGAGACCCCACCGAACAGTGCACCCCCTCTTCCTTTGGGGATTTCGGGGCGGGCCATCCATTTCCTCGATTGGATAGAGAGAACCGCCTTCCGAATGTGCGGTTCTCAAATGATTTGGAGCCTGGGGTCATGTCAGGGTCCAGGTAAATCCAACACCTAGTGCTGAAAGAGCACCAACCCAAGATCCCACAAGTGGTGTCCTTTGGTGGTGAAAGGATGCGAAAGGCCCTGGGTTTAGAGCGGTCTTTTGGGTGATGTTGATTTTCCCGAACGGGGTCAATGCTCTTTGGGGAAGATACAATGTGTTTTGTGTTTTTGTTTTTCCCGGCTTCCTGGACAGGACAATGTCCAAGAGGAACCAATAACTTGTTCATGGTCCAGACATGGAGCCCCCCCAAGAGCTAAATATATTTACCAAAAGGGATATTGACATGTTGTTCGAGGGATTTTTGGCAGGGAATTTGTGATGCTGAACACCGGGGTAGATGATAAAGGCGCCCCCGACCTCGAGGTGAGTGGTTGCCCAAAGGAACCTTAAGTCACCTTAAGTCCTTGGGGGTTGTGCCACTTTGCATGGTGTGCAGTAGTCAACCTACAGGTCCACGAACAAAGTATTCAGAATCGCTCTCGTCTTTCGAGAATGCAGAGCACCCCCCCGGGTAGAGCAAGTCTTCATCTCTGAGCCCCGCCGTACGTGGCAAGCTCGTCAGCTCGTCCGACCAATCTGAAGGCCTGATTACGGCCACGGCTACTCTGGCAAGTCTTTGCCTTCAATCTAAAGGCAAGATCCAATTGACGCATGTGAGGCATGAGCCGTACTTCCGATGTTGGGGCCGAGAAAGGTTCCAATGTGGACCAAGGCCAAAAGAGCCTGCAGGTCTTGATGAGGGAGAGGACGTTCCTCAAAAGGAGGAATTCCGATCGGTTGTGCAACTTTAACACAACTGAGTCTGAGTCTGACAGATGGTTTTAAACCGCAGAAACAATATTATCGCTGATGGGGGATGATGGAAGCGATATATTTATTTGTATACTGCATGTTGCGAACGTTCCTTCCTTCAGCCATCCAGGCCAGCAGGAATATCAGGACACGTTCTGTGCGTTATCCATGCGTGCACAGATGCATCAAATATGAATCGAACCAATCTGGATTTTTATGGGTCGAATCAGACATCAATCAACTCTGTAGTCTCGTGCCTAAAGCGAATCGTTTTGATTGACGGGTCAGTTCGCCGCTCCCTGAACGTTGGAGGTGAATTTGAGACAGAACATCAACATCTATAGAGTGTCTTTTAGGAAGACAAGCTTGGTCTGGTAATGCTTGGTATACATACCTAAAGAGTCCTATAGATTTTCCAATGATGCATATGTTTTTTTGGCTTTTTCGTTTGTAAAACCCAGCAACAAGGCAGAACTTTTGCATATAGTTGGAACATCTAGGTATATTTACTTCTTGGGATTCTTCCGCTTTTCCAGGCATGCTAGGGGAAGCACTTCCATCTCAGGTCATTAAGAAGGACAAAGCGCCAGGCTCCAAGGCGTCGAGCGGGACTTGTTTCTTGGGATGTTCAGTCCCTAACAATGCATGGGACCGGAACCCTTGCCGATCAGTTGGCGTGATTGAAGATGTTTTAAGGGTCAATGGCCCATGTAGGTAAGTGGCCATGGATTGTAGGTAATTGCTCAATGTTCCGTGGATGGTTCGTGGTTTTAAGGTTCAATATATAGCCACATATAACAGGGGTCAATGGCCATGACCAAAGGGTCAGTTGGGGTGATTTGATGCTTTTAGGATATTCTCGGTCTTTTGCCTGAAGCTCACCGGCTATGTTTGGACCCATGGCCATAAAAGAGGGAGAGAGAGACAGTGCATCATTCTGGCCATTTGCACCTTTGCGTTCCCGTTTTCAGTGGTCATACTTCACAGGTTGATGGTGTCATGACTCTATGGCTAGGACGACTAGGACCTAGTTTTGAACTGGTCCTGACTCCACTGAATACTGGTGAAACCGGGTGAAACCGAAACCGGATGCCCGTCTCTCCCACACCGGACTTGACGTCGCCACAGTGGAGTGATCCTGATCGAGCACTCGCATCCGACCGGAAGACCCGACTGACCCATATGACCATCAAGAAAACATCACAATTGAACTTGAACCGCAGTTGAAGCGCATAAACTATAAAGTATAGTATACTGTATACTATGAAACCCACTATAAACTATATAGTACATATTTTTTTTTCATTTCATTCAAGGCTTTCAGAGGTCTAAGACCGCAAGCGTGAAAAACATGCATGAGTTCAATCCATCTCCGCAAGGTCATAGTGACCTCGCGCAAAGTCCGGCTGCATCTCACCAGTCTGGTCCGAGTAGACGGCCAACTTTGCAAACTCCTCAGCCACTATGGTCCGGGAGGCCACATCGTCAAACCAGCAAGCTCGTAAACGATCACGTATCGTCAACACATGACAGGCAGCAAATGCTCCATTCAACGCTGGTGGATACTCCTTCGCCGCAGAGGTTTTCCAAGCCCCTGTGGAGTCCTTCCCAGAGAGCACAATAAGCTGCTTCCAGTCAACATGTATTTGGTATGGCTTGCACAGCATGGTAAACCGAGGAATATGAGAAACCATCAAGTGGGTCGGCTTTGCGGCCGGCGACCCGAACTTGGCCTGCCAAACGAAGTGCCGTTGAACATGAGCATGTTGAAGCATGGTTTGTACCCAAGGCAATCGCCAAATGGAAGCTCGGGACGAAATCTTGGGCTCACGCGGGTGCTCCAAAATACTCGGGATCCCTGCAAGGGTAGCAGCCATAAACAGGCGCAGCGACACAAAAAGGAGATAACTAGAGATCCAGAGCTGTTGGAGCTCACTCTGCACCAAACCCTCCAAGCCAAAAGGATGCAAATGGTCTCGAAGTGGTCTGACTTCTCCTGGTAGATGTCTCGCTTCACTCCAAGTTTCGCAAGGAGGCGCTACCAGCAAGGCCACAACAGCACGTTGAGTGATCCACCGCAAAAGTTGGTGAACCAACTGTGGCTTGGTGACGTCGTGGGTGTCACTCAAAGCTAAATCCAACATCAACACATGGCCCTGAATATCATCATACTGGCCTAAAAGCTTTTCAACTTGGGATTGATAGTCCCCTGGTCGCCTTCTCCCAGAAAAAACATACAAAAAGATGCGAAAACTGAAAAAGGGTCGAGGCACAAACGGGGGCCAGGTCCACTTGGTCCTCCTTTCGAGTTGCACCAGACCAGCAAGACGTGCTGGCACCCAGGTGTCATCCCATAGATCGGACTCTGCAGTGGGCAGCTGAAAGTCTCCAGCACCATCTGGAGCCACGGGCCAGAGTTGAAGGGCCGGCATCAGTGCACGAAACGTATCATGCGACACATTCCATGGTGTGAGCGGTTGATGCAGCAAATCATTGTCCTGCCATAACAGAAACGCTTCGTGAAGACGCCGCTGCTGATCAATAATGAACCAATTGACAGCTGCATCCGTTGGAAGCAAATGGTCAATCAGCTGTTGAACGTATACTCCATGAAATGGCTTGGCGCTCAAAGCGTTTAACACTCCAGAGAAATCATCGGCCTCCAGCGAGTTTCGAATGGAAGCAATCCAAGGTGCCAAGTCTCCAGGGAGCAAAGGTTCACATGGACGAGTATCACGTCCTGCCTGAGAGCATGCAACAGTCCATGGCCAAGCACGTAGCGGTCCAAATGCACGACTCGGTGGCCAACGATGGCGTCCACGCCGCAATTGGCGTTTGGTGGCAAGTCGAGAATTGGCAATGTCCTGGTGGACAGCATCGAGCTGGGCATTGTCTAAGGGCGGGACTAAGGTGATTAACTTAAGCAAACAGCCAGTACGAAAGTACTTGAGGTGATGCAACACAGAATCCCTGTGGTCATAAATGCGAAGGCAAGCACGGCAGACATTCGAGCTGGTATAGCGCTGGGCCAAATTCACCGCTCGATGTTTCTGAAATGCGTGAGCACCCATGGCACGCAGGGACTCAAACGTCTTTCCACACTCAGGACATGCGAAGGTGTGGTCAAGGTGCATAGGTTCAGGAGGCTGGACCCGAACAACACCCAGCGCAGCAGCTTCATTGTTGAAGTCCTGAAGGAATTGACGAAAGCTTTTCCAAAGTTGCAAATAGCTCAAGTACTGACGCTGTGCCTGACGGTAAAGCTTAGTAAACACTCGAGGCGAACGCATGCTGTGGGCGGCAGCCTGCTGCATATCGGGGAAAGCACGGCCTGTATGGTCGAATCAGGTTGCAGTCTGAGGAGACATTGAACATCGGCCTGAACACGAGGCAACCAACTGGCAGGACCGTGCAAGCTTTGGAGAACAGCAAACAACGCTTCCATGGTGTCAATTTGGCACAACCGATCAAAAAGGCTGAGTCGAGACTTCATGAGCAGCATCATGGGCGGAACATGGCCACAATCGGCCAATATGTCCAAAGTTCGAGTACCAGGCCCACGGCGCACTGTGGGAGCAATCCGGGCCAGCATACGCATCAGGCCACGGTGCCAGGAACGAAGGGTTTGGACATGCATCGACATCCAAGCTCCAGCCCCGTACATCAAACGACTGAGCACTAGGGACTGAAAAAGGTTGAACTTGGTCTTGGCAGGCATATATGGCGAACGAAACACATTGCGAGTCAGCATCTTCATGGCAGGCAGTGCCAACATGAACCTACGATGGACCTCAGCGGCAGGATGTCCTTTGAGATCCTGAAGCGAACCCAGATAAATATAATCTGGGAGGACAACAACACGGGCTTGTTCAGGACAGACCATGACCGGACATCGAAATGCAATCGAGGAGGCATGTGGTTCCGCAAGGATCGAATGCCATGTTTGGTGTGCATTGGCTCCCCTCAGGGCAAGAACAACAGACGTCTTGTCAGGCTGAAGGTTCAGCTTGAGACCAAACTGGGCAGCTGTACGATAGGCAATTGCCACAAGATCAGAAGCGCTCTGCAACATGCGAGCCGGCTCGGGGTCTTCAGCTAACAACACCAAGTCATCGACCCAGGAGGCATGAGTGAGCTGAACGAAGCTGTCTGCTTCATGTGACAAATCAGCACCAGGCACCCAATCAAGGCGAAGAACAGAGGCATGGCCTGCCTCAACGAGCCTAGAATGGAGCTCTTTAGTGAAGCGAACCATCAAAAAACCATACAGCAAATCTGCAAGCGAATCACCAGGGCGGGTGCCGGTGATGGTGGATGTAAGGCTAGACTCGTGATTCTTGAGCATGAACCAGGTGGTCGAGAGCACGGCTTGGAGCTGTGCCTGAAGCAAATCAGGTACTTGTGCTTGCACCAACGCAGGATCGGCATCAAGAAATTGTCGAAACTCTGTGAGCAAATCAGGCGACCAACCATTGGCCTGAAAGAGCCCAACAAGATACTCATCAGAGACGGACTGCTTGAGAATTAGTGGGTGCAAGGCCCGGTAAAAGGCCTGCTGAACATCAATGAAGACAGCGAGGGCACAAAACTTTTTCTGTTTGGCTCGGAGGGCAAATGCATTGACAAACAGATGCAGCATGTCAGTGCTAAGTTTGGGAACACCTCCAGCGTGCATGGCATCACGATATCTGAGAAAAAACGGCAAAAGCCTGGCTCTCAAATTGCCATGGGCCACTTTTGACATGTAGGTGGAGAGAACAATCGAACGAAATTTATCGGCCTGATAGGAGATGTTGTGCGTCTTGGGTAGAGCAACGATCTCCCCACCCCGCCAAATGAGCGGTTCAGTGCAGCGAATGGCGCATTTGGCAAGCAAGGGCCAAAGGCATTGAGCAAACAAGGGAGGATGGAGCCGAAACAGTTCAGCGGGCAGGCCATCCAATCCTGGTGCTTTGCCAAGTTTGGCTTTCAGTAGTAAATCCTCAAGATCACCCAAGGTCGGAATCTGGCGTCGGTCAAACGGCAGTTGACCAGGAGGATATTGAACAGTTTGGAGCTGGGCCAGTTCCTGGAGCTGAGGGGTGGTTACAGATATCCCACCCTCAGGCTGTGCGAAGAAACTTCGCCATCGTTCTTGAGCGGATGCCGAATCAGGAGCAAATGTGCCGTCCTCTAAGAGCACAGCTGGCAACGGGGAGAACTGTCGACGGGCTTGACGATGCTCCTGGCCAAGAAGAGGTCGAAGGGCGCGATGCACCTCCTTGGCTTGTTGAGTTTGAGCTGCGTGCAAAAACCGGGTACTAATGACTTCGGCTTCGGCAACACGGTCCATCTTGCTAAGAAACCGGGCAGGTTCATGCAGCCTCCTACGACCAAGCAGAGCCCACAATGCATGTCGTCGAAGCAAAGAAATGTGGCGTACGGCATGGTCAAAAATGGACTGAACACTCACAGAGGTGGCAGTCCGGCATCCGTCACGGGATGCTGGACTCAACCTCGCAGGTGGACGTGAACACATGGCATGCCACATGTGCAAAAAACATCGTTGATACATGCGAACAATGTGGGTCTGCAATCGGCGGTGCATACGAAACAGACATTGACGAGTCTGGATAACCTGCCAAGTGGTGTCACTTAGATATCGTTGCCGAGGCAGTTTGCGGTCCTGCTTAAAAACCCTGGCAGCAGTTTGGATGTAAGTAGTCAATTGCTCGAGGTGCACACCTACTCCCAATCCCCAAGAAAAGGAAGGCATACAACGAATTTGCTGCAGAAAAGTGGCTTGTTTGCCGGCGTCTGCAATCTTACGAACATCTAGCTGCAAACTAGGTTTGGCGACACAAGAGGACCTACGCGGTTGCATACAAACTCGAACCATCGGCACGAAATGATCATGTTTACAAATGGCAAGGTCAATTTGGTCAGACACCCAGGAATGCACCTGAAACGATCGCCAAGCCTGTGGCAAGCACACGTAATCAATGCGTGATTCATGGCCTGAGGTGCTAACGAACGTGGTGGCCGGACCAGAATGACATGTAGCAAATGTGGAGGGCAACCACATCCTATGTTCACACATGAATTGATGAACAACGCGGCCAGTGGCCGATTCCTTTTCGGCTTGATGGGACGAAATCGCAGCACTGATCTCGGACCCAACATGGGCATTGAGATCTCCTAGAATAATCAGAGGTATGCTTTGCGGCGATCTCTCAAGCATGTAGGCAAGGTCTTGCCACCACGATGCACAATCTATCCCACTAGATTGATATGGAGCATGGACCGTGAGGACACGAATATGCAGGCTGGGAGCCTGTATGAGCACAAGGATATGCCGAGAACTCATCGAAACAACATGGACATGCGAGGCAGCAAAACAGAATTTTTGAGTTCCAGAGGTTGCATAGGGAACGTTGCGACTAACCCACAATTCGCAACCATGACTGCCATCTGAGTCTGCACCGGACTGGAATACAAAGTGACTAGCACTATGTCGTGTAGCTGCCTGCTGTGTACGGCATTCTTGCAGGCCGACAATTAAACAGTTGGCATGATCAAATTGCGCCTGCAGTGATGCGATTCTTCCCTTTAAATATAATCCATGAGCTTGACGAGACTTACTTCCTGGCTCAAGCGTGAGCACATTGGCACTGGCAAAGACAAGGTTGAGATGGACCGGTAACGAATGGCTTCGATTGGCACCTAAAGACTTTGCACAGCTGGGCGTGACTGTTTGCGGCCAATGCGATTCTGGACGGTGCCCCCAAAAAGGCCCCTCAGCTTCAAAAACAGCTCTCAAGCACTTCCAATATGGGTGGGATGCACTCGGAGCTTGGGTTGACCAGGCAAACGAATGGGCAGAATGTCGGAACACCTGTGACAAATGCGAAGGGAGTGGCATGGAAGGCAAAATGCTCTTAGCGGTCGCCTTAGCAAGGCAATCAACTGCTTCACTCCATGGCTCACCTACATGTGCTTTGAGATGTTCATGACAAAAACGCTTTCCAATGGCCGTGAGAAAATGTCGAACAGAGCGCAACCGCTCTTGCAAGGCAGTATATTCCCAGCAGTGTTCCCATTGGCCAAAGCCAGCTGCATATCGTCCAACAGTTTGGTTGTCGTAGTGGAAAAGAAACGGTGCATCAATGCGGCATTGAATAGCCCATAGCATGGCCCAAACCATGCCAACAGCTTCAGCGGTCAAAGCATCGTGCAGCAATTCTCCCATGGAAAAATTTTGATGGATTGGTTCCAGCGCAGATGAAAGCTGACTGGACGTGGCACAAAGAAATCGGTAAGCAAAATCATTGTCGCCGCAACAAATCTGGAGAATGACAATGAAAGCCCATGCTGCTAGACCGACATCTGTAGCCTGTCGATTATAGCTGGATCCATCTACATAGACGATGACTTGAGTGACTAGTTCACCCTGCCAGACCGGCACACCTGACAAAAGCGTACTCATTTCGGCAGGACAATCGGGCAAAAATTGCAAGAAATCCAGGGACCTGTAAAAAGTCTGTTCCGGCCATGGATCGAAAAACCGTTGAAAAAGACCACCCATGCGATGTGACTGCTGATCCTCTATGGTCATCGGCAGGAGTCGGTCAAGAGACAATTGAACAGGGACCGTGGGCGAATCTGCATTGGCCAGAGCGGGTCCAGGCTCTGACCGGCAGGTATCTATTCCAGCTGCTGCAACTGCAACCGGCTCTCGGCCTCCATTGTCTCGGGATCCCCATCTTCCGTAGCAACCTCGGTGGGAACAGGTGAAGGAATCTCGGAATCTGGTGGTGTAGGCAAACCATCTACACCAGATGGCTGGGAATGCACTGGCCCTTCCAAGGTCTTGGAAATCTTGGTTCGCCTCTCCCCTGGCGGACTGGTGTTCATCTGGTAGTGCTCCGGCTGCTTGCCAGTGCTTGGCTGAGGCTTGGCAGGGGAGCTGGTGACCGACCAATGGTCGGATGGTAACTGGGATCCTGCTGGCACAGGGGGAGCTAGCACTGTCGGCTGCGCGACAGGTGTTGTAGGCTGTGAACTTCGCTGCTGCTGTTTGCGTTGCTTTGCAGCTGTTTGAAAAGCTTGGATTTGCGCATGACAAAAAGCTTGTTGTTGCGCAAACTGTTCCAGCTGCTGTTGCATCTCTGGTGTCAATTCGGCAGCCGGTTCCCCCGTGGTCTGTTCTTGTAACTCTTTGAGCCCTTCTTCTGCATTGAGAACGATCTTCAGGAGTTCGGCAGAGGGTGGACTCATGCTCACAGGCAATGGTGCTTGACCTGTGGGGCTGGTACGCGGCGGGGTCAGCACTTCTGGCATCGTCATCTGAGCATGCTGACCAGGCGACAATTTCGGCATTGTGACTGGTGCACTGCTGGAAGGGTCGATAATCTGCATCATGTGGGCTGGGAGATCGGGGACTGGAGGTGGCCAATCCCAGACTCCTGGTGGCTGCTTGAGGTCGTTCTGAGCTGTAGTCACAGGATGTACCATGGCTGCCCCTACTTCGGCAGACGCCCCGGAAATCGGAGCAGGCAAAACCGGCATAGCAGTGGTCGATGCATCCTGACTCAGTTTCTGGCCTGATGGCAGCTCCATGGGAATTCCAGTGCCCGCAACATTCTCGTAGGCAAGCGGCAGAGTGCTGACGCTTGGCACATTCGGCATAACCGTTCTCAAATCTGCCCAAGCGGCTGGCATTGGGAACATGTTCATGGTTGGGTTGCCGGCTGCTAGATGTGCAGAGTCGTCGACCTCCATTGGTGCCTGGTACGTGGGAGCAGGGCTGCTCGGGAGCGAAGGCATGGTGGCAGACTGCTGCTGTTGCTGCTGCTGCTGGTGGATTAGTGTCATAGCAGACTGTACCTGCTGAACAAACACAGGATCCATCCCTGCAGGCATTACTGGTGGCTGCTTCGCATCGACTTGGCTGGGCAAAGCTTGCAAAGGTGCAGTACTGGTCAAGGTAGCCAACTCGTTCTTCAAGGTCTTCAGTTCTTTGGTCGCTTCGTGGCAAAACTGGACACATTTGGCATGCTCTTGAATCAACTGCTGATGATGGGCATGAACATATCGTGGCCAGTTGGTGCACACTTCCTGAAGACCAGATTCGAGCTTCTGGATTCTGGCCTCGACTTTCCCTATACGATTCGCACGTTGGTGCAGCACGGCTTTGACGGACTTCGAAGCATTCTGAGGTGCTTGCTGTGGCATAGGCTCGAAAAAGGCATGAGACCCAGAGGAGGAAGACAGCGACAATGCAGGAAAATCGAACGTGGGCAAAACATATTCGGCATGCTGACTGTGTGTCTTGCCTTGCTTCGATCCTACTTCGGCTTCTCCCTTTTTTGGGCGAGATTTCGAACCTTTTCGATCCCATCGCGAACCACACGAACCACAAAAAGCATGTTGCATATGATTCGAAGATCCACATGAACAAATCCATGATGCCGGCATCGCACTAGACCCGTGCAAATCCAAAAAATGAAAAACCCTGCACAATCCAAGGGTCACTCGCGAGTGATGGCCAGCTATTCGCGAAAAACGGCGCAACCAAGCAGCTGGTGTCAACCAGGTTGCCGAAGTTCTCAAACTCCGCCGAATCCGAGATCGATGTGCACGATCGTGACGATGCGGAGCAGCAGAACGATCGCGTCGAAAACCAGCAATGGCGAAAACCGATCAACGACGCTGGGGCAACCGCGATCCTTCGCTAATGAAGGTGTTCGAGCCCTATATAGTACATATACTCCAAAAGAAAAGTAGGGTTTTCACTGCTCAGGTCAGACCGAGCTTCGCCTTTTGCGCTCGATGAAGCCAGGCTGCCCTGGTGTACGGTCAGATGAACGAGCCTCCAGGTGCTCGAGCACGTGCTACTTGGAGCGAGCATGTTGTTGAAATCAACAACACTATTAATTATTTACACATCAGAGATCATGAGAGGTTTGGTTCAACACCAAGAAGGGGGACTGTCATGTAGACTTTTGATGAATACACCCCCCATTATGAAAAGGATGTTCAATTCAAATGGGGCGTTTACTCCCTAGGGCTCCAACCATATCCTCAGAAGGTGGTTAGACTCCCCAAACCCAACCCAACCATCTTCTCAGGAGGTGGGCCAGGAGCCCTATAGACTAATCAAGAGCCCAATCAAATGAGCGGTTTTCAACAGGCTGAACGGTTCTTCGCTCCTCGAACGGAGCTTCATTCAGCCGCCTCACCAGATCCCATCCCCTCAGAACGCCGGTGGCCGTTCTTCAAAACACACCAGCAGTCACAAGACGGGGTGCCGAACTTGGAGGAAGTCGGGGTGCCCCTGTCACATCCACAGCCCCTGGATGGGATTAAACACCACCGGTTTGTTTGCTTTTCCCACAGAACCCATCATCGGCTCACTGGGCAAAACCACTTTCGGCTCACTGGCAACATCCGTGAGAACGGTCACAAAGTGATACCAAACTGGATTCTCTAAGTTTGACGGGTAACTGGGCCCAAAGAACACGCACCTCAAACCATGCCCCAAACTCGCACCTGATAGACCGTGCCCGTGCCCACGGCGCAGCTCTGGCGCGCAGCGCTGGCGGATGGCACGTCTTCGTCGGGTGAGCCGCGGTCTGCGGCCCGTCCTAGGTGGCTTTGACCGGTCTGACGGTGGCAGAATACTTCCGCGACGAGGAGGGACAGGACGTCCCCGGCGCGCCTTGCGCGCGCCTTGCGCATCGCGTGGGGTGGGTGTGGCTGGTTATGAAGCGGAAGATGTTTAGTCTGGCCGGAGCTGACCCAGAAAAGACCATTAATAAACATGAAAAGTAAGTAAATAGTCATCCGAACTAGCGTTTGGAGATGTTTAGGGAGGCAAGCTTGAAGTTTGGACATCGACATGTTCCCTTGTTTGAGAGTCCTTAACCATCACTGTAGTTGGAACATGAACCCATTCTTTCAATGGGGGCTCATTACCCTTGTTTTGTCCATGCTCAATTGCTGCCCCTACCAGGTATTTGTGCTGAACCAAAGACATCTATAGACTATAGACCAATCCTTTGTAAAACGGTTCCAAAACACGGAGGGCTAGCTGGGGGAGAGAGAACCAGGATTTTTCGCTCCAAACGCACCCCAAAACACATCTCCGACCTTTCTACCAGCGAAGGCTTCTCCATGCTTCTCCTCGGCCGCCGCGAGCGGCTTCGCAGGACGTGCTGCTCTTCGTGGACAACATCTTCCGCTTCACCCAAGCGGGCTCCGAGGCGCCCGTGGAGCACGGAGCGGTAGGGGCGAACCAAACTGAAGCATTCGGCAATGGCTAAAATAACTCAGATTGTGGTGGTTGACCAGGGGTCAATGTAAGTATAGGCATATGTTGGCATATGTTGGAGTGCTTGTCTTATTTTTCATCCCTGGAAACACTGAAGAGTGGTGTGAAGATATTTGGATGTGGTTGGTCTGACGAGGTTGGGCTTGTTTGACACGGATCCTGATTTGAAAGCTTGGCTTTGTTGTAAGAGCAGGATGTTTATAAGTCAATGCGTGACAGTAAGCTAACCTAATGAACACAGTCTTTGGAAGAAGCTTGCAAAGATTTGCAAAGCATGTCAGTATGTCAAAAATTGGTCAGAATCCTCCAAATTGCAGAGCCGCAGGGGAGCACTCTTTTATCATTACTCAAACAAGAAACGTGCTGAAAGAAGGGCTGGACATTTTATCATATTTAAGATGGAAAGAAGTCATTGTATAATGTTGTTGCTTCTTCATGTTGGCCTCTTCACCTCGAAAGGGCTTTGACCTTGAGGTCGGCTGCTGTATCCATGTGATTTCATGTTGGGGTTCACGACACCACTCATATACTTTCTCAGTGAATCCCTGCAATCACAGTCATCCCAAGCGTGCTCAACTATGAGCCAAACGCACGTCACCGCTCCGCAATATAGACTCTTGATTAGATTTCAACCTTCCTCCATATGTCGTGCTGTGGAATGCAGCCGGCAATGTACACTTACTAGGCTTGGACCTGTTGTGTGCACGAGTGGTGGAAGAGGTTCTACAATCCAAGTGGCGGGGGTCTTATTCATCAAGAGTTGTTCATTCTAAGCTTTCAGAGGGCTAAGACCGCAAGCGTGAAAAACCTACGTATTCAGCAAGAGTCCACATGATGATATTCTTCCGGGCATTTCCCAACGTTCTTCGTGGTTGGGGCACTCCATCCCTCCAGACGTCGTCAGGTGTCAGCCCTGCTGGGTCGTATCCCAAGTGCCGTCGGCCACTGGGACTGCAGCGGGGTGGGGGTGGGGTGCCGGTGGTGCCCAAGTCAAAGTCCACAGGTTTTCTCCCTTGTGGGGGGTCACGAAAGGAAGGGGATTGGGCATCTAGAATCTAGTTTCTAGCGGATCCATGAAGCTAGAAGCATTCCCTGCAAACAGCACCAGCCACGGGCAAGCATCAAGCTGCGACGCTGCGATGATACTCCTGTAGGACAGATCCAAGACACACCAACGATAATCAATGCTGACTACGACTGTGACAGTTTGTTCGTGCACTCCGAGATGCCTTGGCTTGTCTTTACCCAGGAAAAGTAGATAGCCTGTGGTGCTTTCAATGGACATGTGCCGTGTGACCAGGATTTCGCCTTGGCAGCCAGTACATCACCTGGCTTGGGAGATGCAAACTGATTTCGAAAGGTTCATGATGTTCAGATCAAAACGGCGGAGTCAGTGCTTCGAAACCCAAGGTTATCAGCCAACCCTGGCCACTGACTTGGCGTCTTTGCAGGACTGTCGCCGGATCGATCGCTTTCACGAGCGAGTCTTGGATCGTGACGATGTGGTGGTGCCGGGGCACCTTTGACTGTGGTGTAAGGGCGTTTGACGGTGTTTGTGGATGATGTGCGGGCTTGCAGCTCAGCCATTTGGTTGGGGAAATGGGCTCCGAGTCAGAAGCCCAGACAGTCTTTGGCTTCAGATGTGAAAAGAAGGACGCCATACGACACGAACAGCACCGCCTCGGCGGTGCTGTGACATCTGTGCATTGGTCGTCGCGTGTTCGCCAGGAACGAATTACCACCACGCAGAAAGGATCCATCACCTCTGTGCAGGTGTCGTGGCCTTTTGAGTCTCAAAAGTATCGCAGAAAATGGGTGCAAGATGGTACAAGTATGTGCAAGTATCTGTTTTGTTTCTTTGGAGTGGGTCATGTCACATGTCCCATTTTCGGTACTTCAAGTCGGGTCCGGGTCGAAGCGATGCGGCGAAGCGATGTCCGATGTGGGGGACAGGTGTGGGGAGGCGCCCAGTCTGATCCAGTAGAACCTGGTCCCGAACAAAGTCCTTTCCCTTCTTGAGTAGATTGAGATAGATTGAGGGAAAATGAATGGGTTTAAGGGAAAATCGGAACAACATGGGTTTCACCCCCTCAAACTATGGGTTTACTGCAACAATTCCCTTAAACCAATTCAAATGAGGTCGATCTCACCTGGAGGAATTCATTGAGTAGTGCCTTTTAAACAGTGAAGAAGCGGATCGTTTGGGGGGATGTGGTGGACCATGCTATTCTAACTTGCTTTTAAGAAGATTAAACATCATTGGCCTGGGTTTTTGTAGCCTAAAAAAGCCAGTAAAACTAAACAATGATGTGACGTTGTTGATGTTTCTTTGGTAAAGGCCATTAGAACCATGGTTGTTGGATGTGGTTGGAAGCCTACGCAAGGGTATTATCTTTTACAGGCCACACCAAAATCTACACCGGTACGAGCTGGCGTGGAGTCGCTCGCTGTCCCACTCGGCACAACGGTCGCTGTCCCAGTCCAACTCGGCTCCGCACAAGTGCTTCCACCATGGGATTCCACCGCTACGCGGCCCTACCACCGTGGATTCCAGGGCGTGCTTCCACCTCCGCACTGTTTCGTTCCGCCTCCCGGCCAGCGGACCGCACACGCGAGGCGGTCTACGTGCCGGCGGATGACTTGACAGATCCGGCCCCCGCCACCACCTTCGCACACCTGGATGCCACGACGGTCTTGTCGCGTCAGATCGCAGAGACGCTCGGTGGGTGAGCCGCTGTGGAGGGTGGAGATGTTGAGCTGTTGAAATGGATGGGGTGAAAGGATGTGAAAGGGCACGAACGAGGTCGTCGGCCGGACGAGGTCGTCGGGCTTGGTGAAAGGGTCAGAGGTTGACAGAGGTTGTCATTCAAGTATGAGTAGACACGAATCCATATGAGAACCCTGGGCAAGGAGCGCATATAGAATCTATAGAAGGCCTTGACGCAACATCTATTCCGATTGGGTTGATCACTCTGTCAGGGCGTATTCACATGTCTGGACGCTTTGTGCAATAGCCTTAAGGACTCATGGAGCCCTTTTTACTTGCACGTCTTGTACGTACCGTTTCCCTAGATGTTGGTAGGGACTTTGACCTATTGTACTCGTAGCGTCGTTTGCTGTCGCAGCTTCAAATCCGATCAGTTCAACTGCTCAACTCATGCGATCATGCTACCCACCTCATGGCCTATATGTGAACCCACAAAATGAAACGACCCCAGTCATAGGGCGCCGCGACTTGCTCGGGGAGGTTGGGCTTGTTTTCTATTGGGCATCTATATATATATATATATACATGTTTATTGTTTCCCTCGCTATATATTATATACCTGGACCCCCTGACCACCTACTTATTTCTAGGCGATCCGGATTTCTAGGCGAAGCCTAGAAACGCGCACATGGACAAATTTCATGAAACGATCCACATGTTGTCACTTCATGTCAAACCATGTGTTGGAGATCAAAAACAATGATGGATTGGATTTGGACTAGCAAAACCTGTAGATTATGTTATTGGAAAATTCCGACGCCTGTCCTTTGACCTTATTGCTGTAGAATGCGTAGTGTAGATTATGTTATTGCTATCCATTGCTATTGTAAAAACCCACAGCTCCACATTTGGCTCTTTAAATCCCTGAAGGTGCACGAACTGTGACAAACCTGAAGGTTTTGAACACCCGTAAGGTAAGAGCCAGTGAACATCATCAAAATGTTTTCAAAGCCAACAAGAATGCTGACTTTCCAGAAACACGACATGTGCGTCATTTTTGTGGGCGCTGGCGTCGTATTTTTGGTATTTTTGGGCGCTCACGTCATATTTCTGGGCGGTCTCCAATTTCTACTCGATCAGAGTTTTTCATGTTTTTGTTTTTTTTTTGCATTTGGTGTCTTAAGTGGCATGAAGTGCAACAAACCATCACTAGAATGTGTGGGGCCTGCATCGCGAACATCTTCACCTTCCGCCTACTGACACGAGCTGCACTTGGATAAAGGGGAGATGTCTAAAGTTTTGCTGGGGTTGTAAAATGCTCATACTTATTGCTGTTTATTTCTCTTAGTTCTCAGGGTGACAGCCATAATTATCGAAAGGATGTGCCATTCTTTGTTTCCATTCACTGGCAACTTCCTGGGCATTCATGTAGCCTTGATCCATACATACTCTGTACTGAAAGAGGCTCTGCCCTTGAGCCCCTCAAAAATGTGTGCGCTCAGGATTTCTAGGTGCACCGAGAAGAAAGTCAACGAACAAGGCTTCAGGTATATCTACATGTATATACTTTGGACCTACGGTGGGTTTCTTGAACAGTCGCCTTAGTCGGCGCCGGGAGTTGTACTTACACAGCTTACAGCTGAGCTGAGGTTGGGCATCTATCCTGCCGTGGATCCGCTGGACTCCACGAGCCGAATGTTGGACCCGTCCATCGTGGGTCAGCGGCACTACGACATCGCTCGCAGCACGCCGCGCGGTTCGAAGCGAAAAGCGGTTCAAAATGGTTCAAAGGTTTGTTGGTCACAGACCGGACCGGGGACGGAGGACTTTTCTGGTGTGTGTGTGTTCGCATTTTTGCCTGGTGGCAATGATGAATGTGTCGAAGTTGGATTTCAGCCACGGGCTAGAACAGACCCCCAAAGAGGCAGATCGGCGAGGACGGCGACGGGTTTGGACAGGTATTAAGAAGAGTTTCGTCGACACCACTGTGCAGGCTTTTTTGAAGAGTTGGCATAGATTGGCGTTGATATGCGTTGACCATCATGGTGTTCATCAAAATGTTCAGTACAGTTGACAGTTCCCTGCACTGACATCATCCACACTGGTTGAGGGTGCCCAGGAGGGGATACCCAAGCGGAGGCAACTCAGGCAAGAATGATGGTTTTTTCAATGTGTTTTCCGCCCCCCCGGCGGGGGCGCCCCTGTGAAATTGGAGTCGTTCGCCACGGGCGTCCAAGAATGTCCCAGATATGCTGTGCTCCTTCGGTGCGATGAATTCGATCTAGGCATACCTGGCGGCCCTTGGAGATGTCGATGCCGAATCGATGGCCCCTGGCCTTCGGTGTGCCCCTGTAAAACGCCATGGGCCGACACTTCACGCTGGCCATCGGAAACCGAGTTTCTTCCCGTGTCCATCGACGACGGTCAGAAAGTGGGCGAAATACGTACTACGGAGGGAAATCATATCAATTCGTAACAATCTTCAGAAATCCACCTGGGATAGATTTGGGGCGGCTAAGGTATATTTTTTTTTGTCTTTTTCGGGGCCGAGACCAGCCACCATGGGGCTTTCTCCACAATCTCCCTCCCAGTGTTCTGCGCAAATCTGTCAACCAAACCAGCCACGTGAGCTCCATGAATGAATGGCTGGCTCCAGCTGAGGCAAAAGATCCTCCAGGACTACAAGTCTTTGCAGGACCAGTTCTTCTGAGCTTGCAAAGATGTGAATACACACGGGAAAGTCTCTTTGCGTTGAGCATTGATATCAAGCGTCGATGTGAACCATGCGTTCTTTTTGATCTGTTGCATGGCTGAAACATGTGGTTGGTCCTATTCCTATTCACTCTTAGAGTCACTCAAAGTTTTTCCGCAAGTATAGTAACTATTTTATAGTACTGTAATTGATGCAAAAATCGTATATAGTAATTGTTTCTTTTAGGAATGGTCACTGTCCCTATTGATCACCATCATCATCATCATCATCATCATCAACATCATCATCATCATCATGATCATCATGTTTTTCTTGTTTCGTGTCTGTTTGTAATTATTTTTTTTCATATTCCTTTTCTTCATTAGGAGCAGCAGCAGAAGAATAATCATTAACTGATTCACCTCCTTTTGCTTATGTCGTACTATTATATTTGCTCCAGTCAGTCAGCTTCCTGGTTCACTAAACAACCAGACATGTGAGAAACCATGTTTATACAGTGCAGTGTTCTTCATGGTTTCAGAATATTTCAGTATATAGATACAATCTCTGTGAGGCAGATGGGAGGGAGGGGCAATATTTCTAATATTGTAAATATTATTAACTTTGTTGAAGTTATATAAGATTATGTAATTCCCTTTTCACGGTTGAGGTGGAGTGAACAAACAACGCCGGGTGTCCTATGCCGGTGGCTGAGCCACACTCGCAGGACATCATTGCCATTCTCGGTATGGATGAGTTGAGTCTGCTGAGCCGCAGTTGTGGGAGAAGTGTGGGAGAACTGTGAGTGGTTGATCACGGACAGCACTAGGTCACTAGGGGCTACTGAGTGGGCTACTGTAGAGCTCAGCACTAGGGCTTGCGATCAGACTGTAGAGCTTGCGTTCGGACATCGAGATGGGTTGAAAAAGTACAGACGCATACCGTGGCGATCACCAAGATCATCGCCACTGTGGCTTCTTGGGAGGGACCCCCACAAAAAGCACCGCCTGAACGGCGACGCCGCACTGAGGTGAAGAAGATAAGCTGACCGTGGCACGAGCACGCAAGGTGAGTCGGCGCGAGGGGCCGCGAGGGGCGTGTTCTCCAGATGTTTGGAACGTCCGCCTTTGCGGACAACGCATTCGTTGGACGCGTGTTTTCACGGTTCCAGCGATGGATGTTCTGCCTGAACGTTGAATTGGTTTGCAGACGGCGTAGCGGTGCAAGAAAAGGTCATTGTGTGAGCAGGCTCACATCCGCCAAGTGCACGCCCAACTATAGGACCACCCAAAGGGTGGTTTACAGATCCCCCTGACTACGCATGTTCACGTATTTTCCATCCAATAACCATCCTTTCGGTGGTGCTGCAATAAGAAAGTTCATCCAACAAACCCCTATCTTCATCAGCCAGTTCCACCCATTCCACCCATCGATAATCTCGGAATTAGTCTCCGAATTTGGGTGTGTATTTTGAATATAGGAAGAACCCCCCCAACCAAAATGGGTAGTAGGGTCATGTAGGGTCTATTTCCTGAACCGAATGTAGGGGGTTTGAAAGGGGCACTCTCCCCCGGCAAAAAACCACACACGCCAACTCAACTCCTCTCAACTCCACCGCGCGGAGTGGCACAGCAACTCATCGGACCTCATCCGACCATCGGACTTCATCCGACTCCCTTCAGAACGGTCTGTGGCACCCCCTGCTCCATCCTGAAGCCGCTCCCGAACCCCTCCTGCTCCATTCTCCCCGCGGAGTGGCACCCCGCCTCCTGCGGCGAGATTAGGCGCGGTGGCTCCCGTCGCAGGTGCAGCGCTTCCTGTCGCAGCCCTTCTTCGTGGCGGAGATCTTCACTGGAACCCCGGGCGCCTTCGTGGACTTGGAGACCACGCGGCTCGGACGATTCGTGCGGCGCGGCCGGCGGAAAAGAGAGATCCACACCGAGGTGGTTCTGAAAGGAATCTCTATAAGGTCCAATGGGTTAACAGTAATTACTATAGGTATTTGTTGGTAATGGACTCAAAAGGTCCATATAAGTACGCTATATTCGCTATATTGCTATATACCTGGAAAGGACGAAGGCCGTATTTGGACAGAATTTATCGTATGGACATGTTAATTAACGAATTAGCGTATTTAGCCGTATGGACAGAAAAACAATACCGTACAAAAGCGTACCCATATGAAACCCAAACTTTATCAACATTTTATCGACAAAAATATTGATAAAACCCAATCAAACCCAATATTCGGAGGAATTCCAGAAAATTTGTCCATTTGACAAAAAGGGATTTTTTGTGCGAACGTGTTTGAACCAAAAAAACAATGCACATTTGGATTCCCTGGTATATATATCAAGTGTTTTCTTGTGGGGAGAAAGTCTTGGCAGTCTTGGATGTGTACATGATATGACATGCATACCCGGTTTCACGAAGGTTTTATGTGTGTTTCTTCACCATGACATCTCTCGATCTCCGCATCCCATCGAGTCGATCAGTTGCGCCTCCGAGGATCAATGACTTTGAAGAAGTGCTCTCAGGTAACTGCGATGACATCCCCGAGGTGAGTTGGTTTCGGTGGACATGCAGCTTTTAGTTGGGGCTTTTAGGACATGGGGGGAATTCCGGATACTGCAACTATGCGATATTGTGGTGGATGTGTTTGGCGAACGTCACTTCAAATTCAGTAACACATGCTGCGGATTTGGGTAACCATAGCGTTGTACAAATGACATGTTGTTGGGAACATGCAAATTTGTCGCGGATCCTTTTTGTGAGCCTTGATGGAAGGTCACCTTGCAAGTGACAAGTCAAACAATTTGATCAGCATCGTTGGTTTGTCTCTCAGTATAGTAGATTGAGGAGGCTATTGATTGGATATGAAGTGGTGAGCCAAAGGACAGATGAGAGACCCAGACTTTGACACGGGGTGTTTGGTTCTTGAAGTTTTGCCGCTTTGCCATCACCAACTTGGAGCTCCACGATGACACATGACACATCCATCATGTGGTCGTCAGAAGTGTCACCAACATGTGTTTTTGATAGTAAAATTACCAGCTACAGTAAGAGTAAGTTGAGATTCTGGATTACCAAATCCGGGATGTGGTTCCACACTCTGCCGGGTGGCCACGTTCGCTCGGCAGGCGGCCTTCTACATGATCGGCGGCATGTCTGACGTCCGGGAGAAAGCGGCGAAGCTGGCCGCTGTGGCCGCGGGCAAGTGATTTCGGTCGCCGGCAGCGACCATCTGTGGCTCACAGACGTGACGCAGATGTAGGACATGGTAGGGCCAATTGTAGGGTATTCAGACGGAATTCGGCACTTGAGTTCTGTTTAGGACATCCTTTTTGGAGGGAATCTTGGGATCCTTGTGTTTTGGGTTCCTTCAGCAGCTTCACTTTAGCCACCTAAACCTTTCCAGAGTCAGACAGACTCAATCTTAACCCTGCAAGATCCTGCAAGACTCCACGACAGAGCGAACTATGTACAGTAGTGTTCAAACAAGTGAGCTACTAGGTGGAGGCCATCGCTATTAGGTTGGAGGCCATCACGTACAAGAAGTTCTGAATTAGATGATTGATGACCAGCTTCTTCAGAGTGACCTCTTTGGAGTGCCTAAGTGACGTTTTACAGGCCCAAGTGACCTCAAACTGGGATATCAAGGACGGTCACTTTGAAGAACCAGGGATGAAACTTGGATCTTTTTTGGGCATAACCTTCTGACACCCGCCAGGTGCCACAAAAACATCAACACTGGTCGGCTTTTTTTGTGGGTGTGTCAAGCAACAGCGGTGCCAAGCATGCGATCAGTGCAATTCCCTGTGTCACCCAGATGTTCAAAGAGTTGCCTACTGAGATTCAACAGCTGGATAAAAGCAGTTGGAAATTGGACATAGCCGTAAAAACTGCGACCAATCAGGCACTGTGAGCTACCATCCTTTTCTTAGTTGTGTAGAGAATATGCGGGACGACTCGATCACTTTTTTGGACCCAAAAAAGCGCCTGCCTGGCGGCCGCGCGCGTTTTTCGCAGCGAAGCAGGACAGTCAAACGGCCGAAACGTGTTGACGGACGGCGGGTGTGTTATCCCGGCCGCTCAACAGAAAGCCGTGCCAGGGGACCCAAACAGAAAGTGTTTAGGGATCCGGCTGTAACTGAAAAACATTGTCCCTAAGCTGATCAACAGAATTGCTTCAAACGCTTGCGAGCGAATAGTAATAATAGCCATGCGACGCTCGCCATGCGTCGCTCGCCATGCTTCGCCTCTTTGTGTCCCGATGGTTTCGGGGTCCCGGATCTTGCAGACATGATCCATCTCCGCGACCACCTCCTCTTTCGCGGAAGCTTTCCACTTTTCGTTCGCCCATCTATCCGCGGCGGATGGTTCGTCTTCTCTGGTGTTGTCTTCATCCGGCGCCCAAACACCGGATGGATGGCTGTTTCTGCCTTGGTCCAGCCGTCCCCAAGGAAGTGGACGGCTGGTGGAAGCTAGCGGCTGGGCTTTTGAGCGATCGCAGCGCCAGTTCACCTGACCGGACGGTTTCACCCGGAGCGGCTCCTCGATGAGGCGAGTTGGTTGCACGTTTGGCCTTTTGGAACACGGAAGAAAGAAATGGTGGAGCAAGAACGAGCGGGATGATCCATGTGTTCAGACCATAACCCAGCAAGTCCAAAGTACGGGTGCGTTAGCGTAAAGGACGCATTTCACCTCCCAACTTCCAAGACCTAATGTTCACAGGTTTTTCACGGCCTTTCACCCTGTTTTCACGGCCTTTTCAAGCTTCCAGCTCCCGTTTTGCTAAAGCACCGGTTAAACCGGTGCGTCACTAAAGAACTGGTTAAACTGGTGCGTTGACCCACTGGGTAAGGAACAAAGCGCATCCGAAAACCATCGGATTAAAGATGGACTAGTGACTAGTATATAAACACCTGACTTTATAGGACATTTTAGGACAACCGAAGGCGACGCAAGAGGCGATGTTAGTGGAAGCGATGTACACTTTTCCGTTCAGTGCTGCTTGTCCTTGCAGTGCTACCTTTCTTCCGCTGTTTGTTCCCCACTGCCGGATGCCTTGAGCACTGCTCCATCTCAAAGCCGGCCTTGCACCCAGGTGCTTTGAGACCTTCTCCGGCAGTGGATGCTTCTTCCAGCAAATGCTGCATCCTTGGCCACTGGCCATCCATAAGGCTCCGTTCGCTTCACCCTCCCCATGTGCCCCAAACACTGCGGCGCCTGACTTCCGCGGTTTCAACACGCGAACCGCTTCGCCGTTCACCGCTTCGCCTGCGACCGACCGCTTCAGCGATTCGTCACCAGGGGTCGTGGCACACGGGTGGGGCAGCGAGGTGGCGCAGGCGACCCTCCAAAGTCTTGATTCGATAAAAGCGTTTCTGCGCCGCAGGCAACAAGCCTAGTCACCAGTAGGCTTGTGCAGCGAGATTTGTGATCTAAAATGATCTAAACAATTAATAGCGTGTTTGCAACAATCTGTTCAAGACATTGCAATGAGGCGCGTCGAAGAAAACCACCTGTTGACCATGACATGGTGGAAAACAGCATCAGTTGCACGATTCGGCAAGAAGCGCATATATTGAAACAATAACTTATTATGTGATTTACAAATGATTCGAAGACCCTCCCGTCACCATAAACATCCATAAACCATGGCTCATGTTTGTTCAAAACTTATCAGATTCCTAAGACTAGCAGCTGTTTGCCAATGAGCGCAAGCCACAAGCATTGCTGACGGTATTTGACGATGATTAAACCATGATAAACCTGTAGAAGAGGAAAGGATATCTTGCGCAGCAAGGGTTACTACCAACTCGAGCGTGTTGACTAGATTTCCTTGGCTATCCATCATTGTTCTGGTGATGTTTCGTTGCTGGTGTTTCCCAGTGCTGAATGCCGCTTCATGCTCCTTCTTTTCTCGATGCGTGTCGGCCTCATGTTTCCACGTGACAAGGTCTGCAAGAGATAATTCACTGTGGGCGCTTCATGTTTGGGCTAAACAGCCCCCGAAAAGGTAGAGGCTGGCCTCTGACTGTCTGGTGACCCCTGCATCATCCCGCGACGTGTTGGTTCTACGCTTGTGCCTGGCGTCGCAAGCGTCGCAAGACCTATGCCATCCTCTTTGGTGTGATTTCCGCTCCTGTCCCAGTGCTTCTTCAGCATTCTACGTTGTTTGATCCGAATCTGACTGGACTCCTCGCTGTATTTGGACTCGACGATCAAAGACTCAAAGGCACGGTTCATCTACAGTCCGACGGAGCACACCACGGTGGGTGTCATTTCCCGCTGCGGTAACCCGTTCCTTTTTGGTCCGTGGCGGGGCGGCAACAGCGGCGGTCGAGCTCCGTCTTCCAGGAGCCCATGCCATCCACTTCTATCTCCCTATGGATCCACTGCCACCGAACGGTGAGGTACGGTGAGGACGGAGACTGATGTAGGTTAGGAGCCAGGAGGTTCCAGTTCTGACCTTCTGAGGTACGGTGGCAGTGGATCCATAGGTTGTGGATGTGTTCGTCAGAGTGTGTGTGGATGATTTTCACCCTGGCTCTTTTTCGCTTCCCGCGAGTGGATGCACCCGAGGCTGGTTGCTTTTGTGCATCTCAAGCCTCCAATTCGTTGAGGGCTCTGCTGTGTATGGTTCTGCTTGAAGGCAATGTTTCGGTGATTGGTGGACCTGTCGGCCTCAAAGTTTTGGCCTTCTAAGGGGCTGGGTGGACCATCGAGGGTACGGGGTGCAGCTGGCGGTAGCCGGGGTGGCTGGTGTTTTCGAAGAAACCACTTGTGTACCCAAGCTATGTTGTTTACGTCACAAGGTGCACACACAATTTGCCAGACATATGCTTTGGTCCACTATACTTAGGGCCCGAAGAATTCCTGTATTCTAGCCTGGCTACCCTAGAATGATGGAGTTGTTCGTCCCATTGATGCAGATATCCTGTTGTTGTGGCCAGTAGTCTCAAACATGTTGTTTCAATAGACACATATCGATACATGTGTCCTTAATTTTACACAGGTTTTGTTGCGCCGAGTTTCCCCTGAACTAGAATAGAAGGATAATTTGTTTAACACCCTTGGGTGCTTCCACTTGTTATAAATTCAAACATTGCAAGCCAGATTCTCTAAATTGGTGGCAAACCTCGGGAATACGTACAAAACAAAAAACAATTATAGCTTGAAGGTTAAACCCGATGCTATAGAAGCTGCCAAACTTTACAACATTGACATTATAGAGGCGATGCACTTTATCATAGCAAAAACAACTATGGGAAGATTGGCTGGGACCTGGATTTGGATGGATTTGGCGCGAAGAAAGTTAACTTAAAAGGTGTGTTGTCCTTTTTAGAAATGAGTTGTTGGCGTTCATTTTCCAAAGGTCCATTAATTTCCCAGATGTTCCTGGACTCCGGGCAAGCCAGTATCAGAATGTACCAGGTAGTATCGGAGGTAGATTCGAAGTTTCCTGCAATAGGACATGTATTGCGCGTGTTTCTCCAGCGGTTTACTTGGAGGGGTTTTTACTCGGTTCAAAGTTCAAAGGGTTGCATGCCTAGGCCGCATGATTTTACATTTGTGGGCTTGCGTTTCTGCCACACTGCGGTTGCTTTGGCCGCATGATTTTACACTTGCCTCCCACTTGTCTCCCTTGTGTCCAGCACACTGTGGGCACTCTGGCCACCAAACGCCCCAAGCCAGGAACAAGCACACACGTCGCCGCTGGGCCGATCACGGTCGCGACCGCAGGCGAGCGTGTCGCACAGCGAGCGCGTGCTCCCATTGCTCCTGTCTCCCGGAGCTGCGCAGAACGCGTTCTCGAGCGAGGGCAGCAAGCTGTCTTATCCCTGTTGTGCCAGTCTGCGCCCTCCGATTTCGAGACGCACGACTTCGCCTCGCCGTCCCGTCGTCCTCGCCGCCATTGTCCCCCGGCACGCCGGGCACGGGGGCGTGCCTGCGCGCCTTGCCGTCGGACTCGGCCGCCGCCGGGGGCGGCACGGGTGTGTTCCAGTTGTCTCCTTTGGCTTATGTTCTGGCCGCGTGATTTTGCATTTGTTCTCAGTTAGCTAGCTGACTTGTCTTCAGTACAAACTGGGCACTCTGGGCCGCATGGTTTTGCAATGGGTTGCCATGTCACCCGCGCACTCGGTCGCATCACTTTACATTTGCCACTTGCCTCCCTATGCCCCCCTTGTTTCCCAGTCCACTCTGTGTGCTCTGCGCCGTATGGTTCCACACTTGTTCCAAGCAGTTTTGCCTGTGTGGGGTTTTTATGGTTTGTTTCTGAAAGTTCCCTGCCTGGGCTGGATGATTTTGGTGCTGGCCTATCGGTTGTTGTTGTTGCACTTGTCTCACTGCTTGTCTCACTCGTCAAGTCAACATATTGGATAGATTAGCATATGTTCTGTATTCGTCTGAATTGCCGGTCCCGACCCTGAACCAATTGAGCCAAGCGTTGAAACAAACCCACCACGTCCAGTCTGATCACTGCGCGCTTGAACATTTTGGGTGGCTGGTTGTTTTGCAGTTCGTTTCGGTGTCTTACTAATTCATATACGCAGGCAGATTATTTTTATGTGTTTTGATATTTGTGAGCGTCTAGTGACCTAGTCATCGGACACCCTGGAAAAAGGCCACGGTGCGCGGGTTGTTTTTGCGCACTTTTCACAGGCTTGAATCCCCAGGCGTTTTGAAACTCCGGCAACCCCGCGTAGATGTCTTAAGTGCTAATGTTCAACCTTGTACAGTGACAAAATGTTTGCATGCCCGAAAGTTTTGTGGCTTGGCTGGGACGTGGGTTTGGTACAGTAAAACGCTGTCTTTATCACGTTACTCTTGCGATAGCAAGGTTTCTTTCGACCGGGTGCCCTCCTCCCCTCTCCCCTCTCCCCTCTCCTCCTCCTTGTCTTCCTCCCACCTTCCCTCCCTCCCTCCCTCCTCCCTCTTCGCAAGTTCGACTCCGTCCTGTCGTCGCTCTTTGGCATGCGGTTAGCGTTGCGTATCTTGCGGCCGCACTCGCTCACTCTCACTCTCACTGTCTCACTGTCTCACTGTCTCACTGTCTCTCTCTCTCTCTCTCTCTCTCATCTCTCTCATCTCTCTCATCTCTCTCATCTCTTTCTCATCTCTCTCTCTCTCCCCTCTGTCTCTCGTGTTTCCGTCTCTCTCCTCTTTCTTCTCTCGCAGGAGGATCCGGGCAAAGAGCCACATATAAATGACTCTTCACCCCTGCCTCCAAAAAGAGCGCCGTGTTTTTTCCTACCTCACTGCCCTCCACTTTCCCATTCTGGAGCGCTAGCTTTCGCCCCCCCCTTGGCCTCAAGTTATCTACAAAAGGCGTGTGCTTTATCATCTAAAAGCCTCAAACATCCCTGGCCTCGGTACATTTGGGGGTTTCGGTAAGGTTCGTTCCCTATTCCATACTTTGGACGTGCGTGTTGGTGTTGGTTGGATGACCACGTCGCCGTGCATCGCCGTCTCGAATTACGTTTTTTGTATGGGCCCTCCCGTCGTAAATTATTCCAGGGTAGGGTCACCTCCAGGAAATTTTGTCAGATTTTTTTAAAAAGGAATATTAAAACCACCATGTTTGAAGTTGGTGTGGGTGGGTGGTACCCTGGAATAACAAGGTGGGAATTTGCAAGCTGGAAACCATGTTGATTTAGTGTGGTTGGATGGTACCCTGGGATAATATTGGGCTGGGTGTTTTCAGCTCTAGGTCGGAATTGGTTTGCATGCTCACCATATCTCAGCATGGAAGCTGGCTCAAGGCTCAAGTTCAAAAACTTACAATAAAAGGGTTGGGAAAGCTTTTAAGGATTTTGTGATGGGTTTCGGGTGAGGCATAGTGGCAGGCAGGGTTAGGTATAGAGGCAAACAGGGGAGGTGATATTTTTTCTAGGCCCTTACCAGAACTGAACCACCCCTATGGAGATTGTATACAGGAGTGCAAAAACTAATAAGGTTTTTGGTGAGGGGTTGGTATCTTTGGGTTAGTTCTGGCAGCGCAAGTGCCATTAAAACTTGTGGTGTGCAGGCCTTGACTTTACTACATGTTTGCCATAAAAAAGATCCTTCAGGGTGCCATTTAGACTATTGCATGTTGGAAATTGCTTTAAATTATTCCTGAGAACTGTTCACATATGGAATAACTTTTGGCCAGGTGTAGGTCCACCATTGAATAATACATTATACAAAATATTCTGGGCCTCCATCCACCCCAGGCCCCAGATGGCAGGCCCCATTTTGTTGTTGCTAATTTTTTTGGCGTTTAGGAGGGTGGAAGGAACCACAAGGACCCAAACACAGTGGGAAACCGCAGCCCGGCGATTTTTTACTATTAAGTAATGTGGCAACGTCCCGTTTATTTGGGATATGTTTTTCTTTTATCGGGAGCACGAACGGCACCCGTATGTTTGTTGGCGGGATTGTTTGTTTTGGCCAGAGGGGGGAAGTCCAGGCGTGACAGCGTGGATCCCCCCGCCGGCGCGTCCGGTATCAACCCCGACTTGTTGCTGCTTTGCTTTTGCGACAAACTTAATCGCGAGTACCTATTAAAAAACGGGCAACGACGGATAACGCTCTTTAAAGCCGCCACTAAACCATCAACATGGCGGTGGCTTGTTGGTTTGTATTGGGTTGACAGTTGGGTTGACGTAATCCTACTAGTAGTAGTCGTCGTCGTAGTCGAAGTAGACCTGGCATGACGTGGCTGTCCACACCTCCGCTGCCTGCTTGCCTGCCTCTCGTTTCTGCTGTGTGGCAGGTTGATATCCTGTTGCCCCAATCGTGCAAGCATGCCCTGGTTGGAGCCTACTTATATACATACAGCGCGTACAGTGGCTAGAGGACTTGGCGGTCATCAACCCGCCCTAGAGAGGATTGCCTAGTCTGCTGGCGCCTGGCTCGACTGGCTGCCTCTAAACTGCTGGCACTTGCCACGACATTGGCCCCTCAAGGTCCAAAAAGATCCAAAAAGTACTACGCAGGCAACGAAACGTTCACATGAAGGTCCGGCAAAGTAACTACTGCGTTTGCCACGCTTGCTTGTTATACACAATTAGTATCCCCACCGCCCCCTTAACCATGGATTGGAAGGGGGGTCAAAAAATGAACCTACATTTTCAGACCCCCTCCCCCCTTCGAAAAATTGAACTTTACACCCGTCCAGGCACGGAAATTGAGGTGCGTGAAGGGCGGAAGGGGGTCTAAAAATGTAACATTATGTCTGCCAGGTGTATGGTTACATTTTCAAACCCTTCTACCAAAAAGCGGGGGGGGGCTGGAAATTGTAACTTGGACTCTGCGAGGCGGACGGGTACATTTTATACGCCCCCCCCAATTTGTTCTATCCATGTCCTGGCAAAATCGGTAGGCCGAGATGCTGCAGATGTTTCTATGTGGTTTTTTTACCTGCCACACAGTTGGTCTGCGATGTTTGCCTGGGTGAAATTGCGCACATCCCAGGCCCGGACACACCTAAGTCACATGTTGTTCTGGGAGTCAGGTCCATGTATGGTCCATTATGACCCAGGATATACAGGACAAACAGCCCCACACAACACCAAATCACAACAAACCCACCAAAGAAAGGTAGGCATAAATGCAACCAAGACCAACTTCACACATCGCATACCAGGTGAAATTGCACATATCCCAGGCCTGGATACACCTATAAGCTACATTTTGTTCAGTCAGGCCCATACATGTGCACACCTAAGTTACATTTTGTTCTGGGAGTCTGGTCCGTGTATGCTCCACCATGACCCAGGATGTAATGGCTGCGAAACTTGCCAACGCCCACAACGGCCACTTTTGCCAGCGACCACGATGTGGCAGTCGCCAGTACCCTCACCGAGCTGCTCCAAACCAGCCCCCTCCCCGCGGCAGCGCTCGCCCGCGCGCACCTGCCTCTTCACCAAGGCGGTTTGGGTTTGACATCCACCACTTGCCTAGCACATGCCGCATACTGAGCATCTTGGGCCGATGCTTTGCCATGCTTTGCCCACCCTCGAGCAACAAGCGCCAGATTTGACTCACCATCTGACCCAACATTTCCAACATCCCAATGCAGCACCCCCGTCCCTACAAGCAGCCAGCCGCGCAGCTGACCAACTACACCAACACGGCTGGGAGCCACCCCCGTTTCCAGCACTCCAGCAGGGCCTGCAACCCCCCCGATGAACCACCACAGCCACACACTATGCAACGAGGCTGGCAAAGCTGCTGTACACAAAGCATGGCACACAGAACTGTTAAGCACCTTGGACCCAGCCAGTGCAGCCATGATGGCCTCACAGTCAGGGCCATTTGCCAGCCGAGTGTTCACCACAGTCCCGCATTCGCCAGACTTGTTTTACCCCAGCCACTTATTCCGGCTCCTCATGCTCCATCGGCTCCGCCTCCCAGCCGCCAAGGGGCTGCCCCCTGGAACGGGCTGCCGCGCGGGTGTGCCGTGAAGCTGGCGCACGTGCTACACCCAACACCCTCCTTTCAGACCTCAACCTTCCATCCGTGGACCGCATGGACAGCCGCCGCATTGAAGTTATTGCCAATGGCCTCCCATTGATAGACACCGCCCTCGTCTCCCCCTCACCACCAACAGGGAACCGCGAAGGTACCGAGGCACACACATAGGGGCAGCGCTCCAACAGGCACAGCGAGCCAAAGAGCGCACATACCCAGAACTCACCCGTGGAGGCCGGTGCCGCTTAGTCGTTCTCGCGTTCGAACTCGGCGGTCGCTTCAGCGCCGAAACGGCAGCCTTCCTTCCCCTTTTAGCAAGGGCCAGGGCCCGGTCTGCATCAGCACCACTCCGGGCAGTCACGATTGCTGGACTTGTGGGTGGTCCGCCCTCCTCACCCATGCAGCCCAAAATGCATTTGCAGCCAGCTTAGTGGCCGACGCCATCGCCAGCAGCACCAACATCGATGGAGACACCCCCTGCCTCAGTGACATTCTGGCATAAGCCCCCTTGACCCCACCCCCCGTCTCCCGCCTCGCCTACTGCCTCGCCTAAGGCCTGGACTTGGCCACGCCCGGGATAGGCCTCGCCCACCCCCCCCCGCACACCTGGAGACTGGCCAGTATAAAAACAGTCCATCACAATGCACAACTGGAGACTGGCCAGTATACAACAGTCCACCCAGACACCAGACCTCAGCGCAGACAAAGGTGCGAGGAAAAAACAAACAGCCTCACACAAACAGCCTGGACACACCATAATTGTTCAACCATGAGATATGTGACTTAATGCAAGTGACATTTTCCTTGGAAAAGGCCGGAAAAATGTAACTTACATTTTCCTGTACTTAGTTACATTTTTGTATTGAAAAATGTAACTTAAAGTAGTTATAGTTTTTTGGTGGCTTGCCTACCAATGTAACTTACATTTTGTTAGGTCTATGTTAGGGGATTATGTAAGTTACAATTTTTCAGGTCCCCCCCAGAGTGGGTAGGGATCAGTTGGTCAATTATTCACAGATTCTTCTACTGACCCTGTTTTGGCCTACCCTGACTTCAGGCACCGCTTGGTAAAAAAAAAAAACATGCCGCGCGGGTTAGCCGCTGAGCTGCCCTCCTGGTTTTCGCGGCCCCACGCGCCTTCCTCGCCTCCCTTCTCACGCTTCCCGCGGCCGCTGCGGCCAACGTTGACGGCGAGGCCCTTTTGCTCAGAGACCTTGCCTTTTGCCCCGCGGAGGGTGCCCAGCCTACCCGCCTTAGCCCGCGCGGCTGAACTTGCGAGGAAAAAGGTGAGGGGAAAAAAATTGTGCCGGAGGGATTAAACACAAGCAAAAGCATCGTAGTGCCCTTGCGCCATGTTGCGCCTGTTGATTGGGATGTTTGTTTTCATGGACCTTCGCAACTTGCCCTCCCTCCCCTCCCCAGCTCACACTAGTTGCAGGCAAAGTGCGCCTTGAACAAGTCAAATCAGGCAGTTCAGCAAACTGCAGCAGTGGACTACAAAGAAATCGGAAAAATTGTGGGGTCCTCCTTTCCAGTGCTAATTGTTACCACTTTTACCGTCACCCCTCCCCCAGCCATCAAACAGGCTGGCAGCTGGTACTGTAGGGGGATTCCAGTTCCCACCACCTGTTGTTGTTTGTGTGTTGTTGTGGTCAGTCCATCACCCAGTGTGTGACGGGAAAGTGTTCAACTAAGCCATGAGTGCCGCTGCAGCGCCGTGCCGCGGACTGTGCGTGGTCACTGCTGAAACATAAAACTTAAAGGTGCCACTGGCCAAACAATGTCATGCATGGTTTGTTGGAACCGCAGAAAGGTCAAGCGCGGGTCACCCTGCACTCGATTCCGCACCTTGAATGGGGAAGATCACAACGCCCAGAGCTGGAAATGATCCGACGGAAAGTCAACGCAGGAGACAGCCCTACATGCATTGGTGGCGTTCCCTCGCATGACCACCAGGGGCTGCTGACTGTGGAGCAACAAGCGGGCACGATGTCGCACGTTCACGACTCAGAAAAACCGCCGCCACGCCAACTGGCGGTTGGCGGTTGACCTTTGGTTGTGTGATTGGGGGTACTGTGGTTTTTGGATGTTTTTGGTTGCCGATGGTTTTCTCTTGGTGTTGTATGCCTGCATGTGCCCATCATTGCCCATCTGTTGCACCCGGGCTGCGGTTGCAGAGTGCTAGGTCCCAAGATTGTACGGCGGGCATGACAATGCGCGAACTAAAAGCATTCTAGTTTTTTGGGACAATTGGAGCACAAGTACTACTACTACGTGCGTATTTTGGGTTACTGGCGTTTCTGTTGCTTTCTGCACAAGGAAGAACGAACGTTTCGGTGCGAATGTCGGGAGAAAATGAATTAACCACACAGGGTACTTGGAAATGAGGCCGGCAAAAGTCAAAAAACCTGTCGTGAAAACGGCGGGAAAGCATTCACGAAAAGCATTGGTGGTTGGAACCCCGCTGCAACCAGGTTTTCAACACAAATCACGAAAGCTAGCATCAGCTAGCTGGAGTTGCTCTTGCTTTAGCAAGTCAGGGGCTCGCAGCCTCGAGAATCATGAATCACGTGAAACTTCACGTGTAGGGACCCCCCCCCCCCCGCGGGTTCACCTCCCCCCCTGGGACGCTTCCGGAACGTGCTATAGTGCTATGTTTAGGTGGCAGGTGAAGTAGGCCACTGTTTGAGTGTTTGAGTTTGGAGGGGGGGCATGAAACGGGCTTGTCTTTTTTAAAGGTGTCCAGTTTATGTAGGGCTGGGATGTTCGACTTAGGCGAAGCATACCCCCGAAGCATACCCTGAAGCATACCCTCTGGAAATGCTACTACTTTAGTCTTCACACTGCGCGAAGCATACCCCGAAGCATACCCCCGAAGCATACCTCCGAAGCATACCCCATAGTCAAACATCCCGGCCCGGGAACCTTAAACAAATACAAACCCAAACATGAAATTTACGCCAGGGTTCAAGGCTTGAATGATGAGCATCACGGGAAGTCAGAAACCAGGCGTATCAGATACACGTGCCTTTGAGCTTCCTTCGGCATCTCAGTGCATATGGCTGACACTTCACTCGACAAAGATGCTCAAACAAACATACATAAACCAGGTGTATCTGATACGCCTGGTTTGTGACTTCCCGTGATGCTCATGATGCTGCGTTGCTTTTCTTCAGTCCCTCATTACATATACATGACGATCCAACAGCAGATTCAACAAGCTCACATGTTCATGACATCGACATCGATAGAAGAAACCAAACAAATCATGCAAGCAGCTTTGTTTTGCCTCTGGGACACCTCTTGGGCAGCTCTTATGGCATCCACACTGGTTCAACTCCTCCGTGGAGGTTTTGGGATACGGTGCAACAGATTCAACAAGCTCACAGGTTCGTGAACACATCGGATGCATCGAACAGTGTGGCAAAGTCCAGCCACGCTTCCGTAATTATCGGGGACTTCAATTCTAAGGTTGGCTGTGTCATTGCTGTTTGTGTGTCTTACATGTTCACAACGTTTTACCTCATGAGCATTTGCCTCACTCCGCTTGATGTCCCACCAGTCCGGATGCACCCCTGCTAGCTTTCGTCACCTACCCTCGGCCTCAAGTTCAATTTTGAACTAATAAGGTTTTCCAATGATTCTATTGACGCCACTTAATGCGATTTGCATGTCCAGCACACGTGAACTTCCATGTCTTGTGCTTCCATCAAGGTCAGCATTTGAGAGATGCGTTCTGAATATGGCAATTTGCAAAGAGTTTTGGCTATGATGCCGCCCGCGCTTAAATGGGGGGACCCGAACTATCACGTTCCGAATTCGGTGTCGCTTTGGTGGTTGTTTTTTTACATGCGCGGATGGGGGGACGCCAGCCGCCGTAGCGTGTATATAATCAGTTGGCCGGGTAAGTCATTGACACGGTAAGGATAAATTCATGATGATGAGACCACCAACAAGTTCAAACCGCGCCACCCTGATCCCAATGAAACAGTCGCAAAGGAGCCTGGAACAATCCGAAGTCAACCAACTGGCCTCAACGGTTTACCGCTGTGCAATGCACCTCGGGCTGTGCAGCAGATGGAGTTCAATGGTTCCAGCCTGCATTCTCGCAGTCAGTCCCAGCAATGGCGTTGTTGTTATCATGATTCATCATGCATTCAGTCCGGTTGCTTCAATATTAGCACATCGGCTCTTCCCATATTTTCCACGATTTTGCTACTCCAACTGCGTTCTTGTGCACGTTTTCCAAACCTCAGGATCCCAGCCCAACATGTAACATGTTTTTTTCAACCCGTTTCCTTGCATTCCCTGATGGTGCGCCCGCGGTTGCTCGCCAAAGTTGCGCGCTCGTTGCCAGGCAAGGGATTTTCCGTTAAGCGCATGCCATGCCGCTGATAATCTGGCTGCGAGGCGCCCGATGGTTTACCAGAACAGCTGCCACACAGGCCAGCTGCGGTTTTGTTGAAACCTTGACTGCTAGAAAATATTTGTTTCATGATGCGAACATACTTGTGTTAATGTTTCCGGCGGCTTGCTTCGTTTTTCCGAGTCTGTGCCCGACCTGGCCAAACGCGGGCTGCAATTTGCCAACGTCCGACGCTGAGACACTTCAAGCGGCCGGCCAGGCCCCTTCCCAAAAACATGATGGAACGGAACCAGGTTCGCAAGTGCCACGCAGCGTTTGTCATCAGGTTGGCCGCGCCAACTTGGCCACTTCGCGGGATGAACTGCAGGCTTACTCGCCGAACGTGACATGGTGTGATTGCCAGGTATGGTATGTGGCGGCGGAAATGTTATTGTATATAGCGGAATATTATGCTGATCTTATGAAATTGCGGGTTACAAAACACTATAACAAACACCATCAAAACATATCAAAACAGTGGTTTGCGAACAAGCACCATCAAAACAGTGGTTTGCATTTACATGTGCTTTTTTACGAAAGCCAGCCTTCGTAGAAGGCGCCAGCTCAGGTGCGCTCAGGCGCCAGCTCAGTAGGTAGGGGGTCTGGGGGGGTGGCCCGAGAAAGGTACACGTAAACTCGGCACATGCTGGGGGAGGAGGGTGCACGGATGGAAGGTTTTGTTTTGGAGGTGATGTTTTGGTGATTTTGGAACGGGTGGTGATGCAAGAAATGTTTTTTGCTTTTGCATCATCTGAATGTGGATGGTTTCTCAAGGGTTATCTAGCGGCTTCGGGAAAGGGAAATTGAAGTGCCATACCATGCAACTGAATTGTAGTTACCTTGGGTCCGTATAAATGCTATTGTGCTATAATACTTCCGACACACCTATATAAGTTCAAAGCACTAATGAGACTGGAGGGGGAACTCGAAGTGCAACATCATTGGATCATTGGATATTCGATCGCAATCCCCTCTTTATGTGTAAGCTATCCCGTGTAGACTATCCTTTTGCTGGGCAAGAGATTGCGACTCCTTACCATTGGGTCCGTATAATGCTATTGTGCTATACTTCCGACACACCTATATATGTTCAAAGCACTAATGAGACTGGAGAGGTAACTTGAAGTGCAACATCACTGGATCATTGGATATTCGATCGAAATCCCGTCTTTCTGTGTAAACTATCCGGTGTAAACTATCCTTTTGCTGGGCAAGAGATTGCGACTCCCTGACAGAATCATGATTACTGTACATGGACAAGAGGCCCCTCCTAAAAAGACTCTAGCGGCTTCGGGAAAGGGAAACTGAAGTGCTATACCATGCAACTGAATTGTAGTTGCCTTGGTTCCGTATAAACTATAAATGCTATTTGTGCTATACTTCCGACGCACCTATATAGGTTCAAAGCACTAATGAGACTGGAGAGGGAACTTGAAGTGCAACATCATTGGATCATTGGATATTCGATCGCAAACCAACTTGTTAAAACTATCCTGTGTAGACTACCCTTTTGCTGGGAAGGAGATTGCGACTCCCTACCTTCTTGCGCGGACCCTGCTTAGCTAAGCTTGGCTAAGCCTAGCTTTGACTTATAAGAGTTAGTTAAACTTAGCTAAGTCCGAGTCAAGTCGGACTTAGGCATGCGACTTAGATTCGATTTAGCTTTGAGTTAGCTGTGACTTAGCTCGGACTTAGCTAAGTCGGCTAAGTGGGCTAAGTCTATGTTGGCTAAGTCTATAGGTGATAGGTTGGCTAAGTACCAGCGGCCAGGCCGCGCAGCGACAGGTCATTTTTCGCGGCACTTGAAAAGACAGTTTACAGTCAGACAGTCAGTGTCAGACTGTCAGACTTTTTTCTGGCAGCCTTTTCCTTTTAATGTAGTCTACGGTCAGAAAGTGTCATTTTTTTCTGACAGCCTTTTCCTTTTAAAGCAGTCTACGGTCACATAATTTGTTCTGACAACATTTTCCTTTTAAAGTAGTCTACGGCCAAACTTAGCGGACTTAGCCAACTTGGCCTTAAGTCGAAGCTAACTCTTCTAAGTTGGCTAGGCCCCGGCCTAAGTGTTTACTAACCTTTATACCTCTTACTAAGTCAAAGCTAAGTCAGCTAAGTGACTTACATAAGATATGGGACTTATAACCTAGGTTATTATAGGTTAGGGTAGGTTATAACCTAGGTTATAAGTCAAAGTTAGAGCAGGTCCGTGCAAGTTGGGTCCGTATAAATGCTATTGTGTTGTACTTCCGACACACCTATATAAGTTCAAAGCACTAATGAGACTGGAGAGGGAACTTGAAGTGCAACATCACTGGATCATTGGATGTTCGATCGCAATCCCGTCCTTCTGTGTAAGCTATCCTGTGCAAACTATCCTTTTGCTGGGCAAGAGATTGCGACTCCCTGACAGAATCATGATGACTGTACATGGACAAGAGGCCCATCCTAAAAATAATCATTTCCGCCGCAACAAGGTCGATGTTTGGATGGAGTGTCAGTGTTTTTCCTATTTGCATGGACCGTTTTCCGCTGCCCTGGCTCATAGGAGACGTCTCAATACGTCTCAGCTTTCATGCAACTTCTGACGTCTCAGCTTTCATGCAACTTCTGAAGTTTTCACTATTAACTCTTGGCTGCTTTGCACCCTTGTTTCACCGCAGCCGTGCCGCTCGTGACAAAATAACGCTGGCTTTCGTTTTGCAGCTTCTCAGGTATGCACTGCCAATTGTTTGCTGGCGTCGCGCAATTCAACTGGAAACCAAGGATGGCTGCCCGTGGTCCTGGTTTTGCTTCAGGTGAGGGTGGTTAGATTTTATCAGGGCTGTTCTCCTCACTCCGCCTCCGCGCCACGCAGTGCCAAACCGCAGTGGGCACCACCGGACCCCAACAGCAAGTAGCAGATCACAGTGGGCACGGGCGGCCCTCAACAACAAGTCCCGGACCTCAACAGATGCGCATTTCAGTGGGCACTACGGGACCCCAACCGGAAGTGCCAGATCGCAATACCGGACCCCCAACAGCAAGTGCCAGATCGCGGTGGGCACTACCGGGGTTGACAAGGGACTGCCCCACAATCATGTGGCAATTGGTGTTTTTGCTTTGGTGGGCGCCAGGAGCTTCAACGGCAAGTCGCGGGCGCCCAGATGACCAGTGATCCGTTATAGTCCGTTTGCACGTTTGGTTGAAGCATGTTAAGGTTTACTGTTTTACTGCCATATGAATCACACATCGTGCCTTCACCGCAAATGCCTACACGTAAACATGCTATTGCACTTAGGCCTTGCTTATTTTTTTCAATCGACCGGGTTGCTCTTCAAAATTCGAGGTGGCCGCTGTGGGCACTGATGCGTTGATCGCAGGCCAGTTCCCCGATCGATCGTGAAGGATCAGGGAGGTCCCATCACTGGAGTTTTGCGAGTCGGGTAGGCTTCTGATTACATTTCAACCCTCGAAACTACAAAGAACAAAGCTCTACATTGGGATATGTTGGGATAGTTGTGTTCTTTCCCGTATGGGTGCACTAGGTTTGTATTTTCAGGGGAATATGTATTTTTCCTCCCGGTTGCTGAGCAGCAAATCCAAGATCAAAACATAAACGTTCGCCATCAAAACTATCGTGCACACCTGGAGACTGGCCAGTAAAAACACAGTCGCCCCCACGACGTCCTGCGTAAATATATATATATACGTACATATATTATATATCCTTGTAGTATAGATATATATACATAAGGATATCAGTCGGCAACCGTATCGAAGAAAGCCTTCGTGTTTGATCTTGTTTGGCTACTCTGCTGGCGGTCTACCGGGGGCAGCAGCACTGGAAGACTCACATGACCTGGCCTTCTTGACAGGCTTATCCCGCGTCCAATGCCAGGCGCCGAACTTCAGGACCTATGCCGCCTTTCGCGGGCAGGGGCCGCAGTCGGACGCTTCTGGTGCGCACACCGCAGCGCCCCAAAAACCTGGAATTCTGCACTGAATACAACAGAAAGTGATCCTTGACACTGGACACGTTCCAACCAACCGCCTTGGCTGAGCGTGAAGAATCGAAAACCGAGGTTTTATCCAGTTCGCTGACGCCGTTGGAGGTGTGGCCATGGTGGGCCCATGAAACCCCATGTCAATTGCCAGTGTGTTTCTGTGCCTTTTGTTTCTCCATCGTGCACACTGCCCGAACTTTACAGAGCCAGCAGCCTCGGGAACGTGAGCCTGTTGAAATTCGGTCTTGGTCTCGGACAAATTTGGCACATACTCGTACTACGGCACACGATTACTGTATCACATTCTGGGAGGGCCGATGCTTGCGCATCCATGATACCCACAATGCCCTGCAAATTTTGTGAGCAGAGTGGGGCTGATCAACACGAGGAGCAAGAAAAACAACACCGATAGATTATAAAATCACATAAACGCTGACCATGGTCCGTGTCATAGGCAGCGTCATTGATTTTTCCGGTTGTTCTTCTTTTTTGTCCTGCCCCAGGGCCGCTTCTTCGAAATGCTCGGAGAGAAGGTGATGAAGACACCAGGTTCGATCGCTTCGGTGCTGAACATTGGCGCACAGTTTGGTTGGTTGGCTGTCAACATGCGCAGATTTCACCGTCTTGGATTTCCTCAAACAAGGAATGAAACACCTGGTGTGGTGGTATGTGATCGTGTGATCTTGCACCGTTCTTCTGGTCATCGGTTTGTGTGGCCGAGACGTGCCGTGTGAGCGGTGGGTTTGGTTGGCTGGATGAGACTTAAACCTTCTAATCTAGACACCCTCTTGTGTGCGGTGGGATTGCTACTTTGTGTTCACTTGCTCATTTGCTTTCCGTGCCTTCTCTTTGTAGTTCCTTCGTAGACGTGCCCCCCCCCCAAAAAAAGAAGAACACTCTCACTGAGTGTGCCATAGATCATAGTTTCGGCGCTTGCAGCTGTTCTTGCAGACCAAGGGACACCTAGGAGGCACAGAGAGCGCTGAACGCGGCGTCCTCTTGGGCTGACAGCATATTGATGAGGCTGAACATTGGTGCGGTCAAGACAGCTGCTTTACGAGGGTTCGCTCGTGAGCCGATGGTGTCATTGAGAGTTCATGGTCAACCCTTGCCTGAAGTTGATTCCTATCGGTACTTGGGCGGCATTCTCCATTGGGCAGGTTCTCATGGGCCTCTGCTTGATGACTTGCAGTCCCGGCTCCGCTCCAAGACTGGCCAGTTCCTTCGTTGGGTTTGGGCCAAGCAGGTGCCAATCTCCTTGCTCTGTCAGTTGTGGGCCGTATATGTCGAACCCATAGCAAAGTTTCTACTGCCAACAATCGCATTGAGCAGGAGTGAGCTACAAAAGGTGGACCTTATACAGCGCAAACTGGCTGGGATGATTTTAGGACTTCCGAAAAGATCTCCAATTCCCTGGTTGCTCAAATTGAGGCGGCGAGAAATCACCTTTGCCTGTATCATTTTCCAGTTGAGGCAGTGGCTCTGGCCATACAGAAAGGACAGTGCCCGGCAGTGATTTTTGAGCGTGCAAAAGTCTCAGTTCAAGTCTCCGCAGGGGCTCAAGGAGGGGGACCGAATGCGTTACCCATCTACTTTGCCAAAACATCTGTGCCAATATTGTGGGCAGCTTGGGCGCGTCAGTCCGGATGATTTGAAATACTTTTTGCATGAGTGCAGGGCGCAATTTCTGCAAATGATGGAGCCTTCAAGTGGATGCTGGATCGGCCGTGGGACCTGGCGGCGCTGCAGTCATCGCAAAGACTGCGGGTGCACCGAACCTTGCTGCAATGTGGCAAGCGGCAAGCGCGCAAGAAATGGGGTTACGGTCCTGCGCTCAGAGTAGATAACTTCGCTCTTGGGTTTTCCTTGGCTGTCCTAGGGAATTGCTAGCGGTTCTCCAGGGAAGTCGCAAGTCGCTCGCCGAGCGCGAATCGCCGTGGGCCACGGGAATATATAAAAATAGTCATTGCGCATCATTGCGCTGAATAGGACCCAAACGCGGGGCGGCAACCTTTACTTGTGCATTTGGGGTTGTTTAATTGACCCCCGTTCCTGAAGCCAAGATTCATTCAAATTTATTGCCCGATGCCTTTGCAGAACAGATGTCCATTTCCAAGCTGCCACAGATGCGCATCCGGATGCCTTCGCGCACTTTGCCTTGGCAGCTGCGGAGGCTTTCGGGTGCCTGCGCGATGTTGTGCCAGACACCACGTGATGACAGACAGAGATCCTCCATGTGCGAATGTCCACCCCGAATCTACTTTGTCAAATTACGTTAGAACATGTTAGAACGACTGCTGGCTGAAGCAGTCACCAGACTTTGGTCATTTGAGCATTTTCCACTGGCTCATCAACAATTGATCCTAGGAAAATTAACTTGCAATTGAATCGACACGAGGGTATGCGGCCTGAACGGTCAATGTAGTGCATTTGTTCTCCACAAATCTATCAAGTGTCCAACATCGTTTTTTGGTGTGGCAACACGCCGCCCACAAGAGTTCCGAATGAATCGGTCACCTCTTGGGGCGCCAAATGGATCACAGGAACCAGCCTACAGCCTAAACATCCTGATTGGTGCTTAGTAAAGAACGCAAGAATGGATCTAGTGGAGGGTCATTCCGTCATCCCCTCGTAAGCACCAGTCAGCATGTCCAAATGTGTTTCCGGAATGTGGTGGGGTGGGTTCCGGAACACGATGTGGGATTCTCAGATTCAATCTCCTTGCAACAATTGCAGTATATACTTTGAAGCTGCTGGTTTTACTATTGAGTTATGGCTGTTAAGGACATTAGCTAAGTAATTAATAACTAGTTGATACTAGTTGTAGGTGTTTATAAACTAGTTAGCAAAAGGTTGTTTTTCGAAAATTCTATTGACGTTTTTTCAAAAGTGACAAAGACAATTTTGCATTTTTGTTTTGCAAAAAAGATATTTTTACTTTCAAACTAACTATTGGGCAACGAAAAACACAGAACAAGTACATCCCAGGAATGTTTCAACCAAACATGTTGGTATTTAAAATTTCAATTCATACACCATGATTTGTTTTTTCCAACCTAGGAAGCTTCCAATGATTTCGCAATGACAACAAAATGTGCTGCATTGTCCATTGTGTTTTGGTTTTCCAAAGTGCTAGAAAAAAGTCTCCAATTGCAGCGTAAAATGTTTTTACAAAAATCAAAGAAAATTGCAGCTACAAGCAGCTGATTTTGCAGGTGGTGCTGCAACATAGGCATATCCTTCAAGAGCCTATACAGGCAGTAGCCTTCAGTGGCGCAAAACCACAAACCAGAACAGAAGCTTGCAAAAGCTAACCACCGACCAGAACATAAGCTTGCAAAAGCTATGTGCAAATGTGAAGTATACATTGTAATGCCCATCTGGCTGGTGCACCCTATTCACAAACGATGGCTTGAGCATCTTCATCACCATCCAAAGTAGTGTCGCCAATGATATACGGGTTTGCCACTTCCATTTGCAGCTGCTCACCATTTGCAGGCTGTGATGACATGGCTGCACTCTACAGGACTAGTATAGACCAACACTTTGCATGTGTATCACACACTGCAAGAGCACATAGAATTGTAAATGTGCATGTGGATTAAATGGTGTTCAATCATGAATTTCCAAGACAACAAAAGTATTTGAGCCTGTAAACGGTTATGACCTTGGATCCAAACTACTGAATCCCTGAATTCAAAATATCATAGTCTGTGATTTTGAATTCAAATCACTGAATTCAAAATCAAATTCTGTGATTTTGAATCATTTTCTGTGATTTTAAAACACTGAATTCAAAATCAAATTCTGTGATTTTGAATTCAAACCAAAATTCAATTCCCTGAATTCAATATCATTTTCTGTGGTTTTGAATTCAAATCACTGAATTCAAAATCAAATTCTGTGATTTCGAATTCAAATCCCTGAATTCAAAATCATATTCTGCGATTTTGAATTCAAATCCCTGAATTCAAAATCATACGCTTTGAATTCGAAAACCAGCCTACACAGGCTAGAATGTATGCCTGTAGAGGCTGCCATTTTTTGAGCCTATACAGGCTTCTTCACTGATCTCCAATTTTTTCATTCTTGAAAGTCTCTCGAAGATGCACAGTCATGACAGATCTATTCTAGATCCACTTGTCATACGCCCTCTCACCATGCTGCTCAACCTGTTTGCTGAGCATCTCCATGGGCTTCCTCAGGCTATGGCGCTCTGCCAACCTTGTCAGCGCCTTCTTGCGGTACTTGATGTGTCCATTCTTGTATGCATGGACAAGGGCGCAGGCTTTATTCATCCAACCACGAGGCACATCATTCTCAGGGTCCTGAGTCCTGAGTTGATAGATCATAGACACATACACTTGACTTGGGAATCTAATTTTTTATTTATGTTAATGTGTATATTTTGAGCTTTGACCAAATACATACTCAATGATGAAATCATTCAAGGTACAGTGTAGTCCCTCCACTTTGACCAGTTTGAATTGCCCCATGATGCAACTGCAAGGCATGCCATGAATCTGCACAACACCTGGTGTTTGAGTGTGCTTGTTCTTGCCACACATTGTGATTTGAACCACCAAGCCACACACATGCCAAACTTATAGCCTTTGGAATGCTGGCTCCACAAGCGCCTTCACGGGCAAAACCTTGCATCAGCTGGTAACCAAAAGGACTCATTGAGCATACACCTGCTGAATATGACTTCATGGGCAGAAGCTTTCATCAGCTGGCAAACAAAAATATTCATTATAGTGAGCATACATTTGCTTAAGATGAAATCAGCTTCCAATGTTGAAACAACTTGTGCAAGCTATATCTTCTGTGGTACACAAACACAAATTTTCTAGTGAAAACTTGAAAACCTTTAGCGAGTAAACATAAAACAAATTTGCTAAAACTGTTTTTTTTGATATCTGTATCTTACATTATTTTTTACTAACTTCTTTAGATTTTTAAGACAATTAAACATGTTACTGTAAAATTTTAAAAAACATTAGATAACTCACTTAACCAACAATAAACTTTGAAACAAATATAACAGGTTATAACAAGTTATAACAAGTGAATTATAATATCCTTGTAGTGTATGTAGTAATAGTCTTAACAGCCAGAACTCAGTAGCAAAACCAGCAGCTTCACACCGGTTACTGGCCAAAGAAGTCGGTTGATCTCATTGCTTGACAGTTTGCTGTACTACGGCGATCCTGACAAAGCATTCAAGACCATGCTAGACTGACACCCCTGGTAAACCCTTCGATTCATGTTGGTAGGTCAACCAGGACCTCCAGGTCTTGAAGCGTCGTGAAGTAGCCACCCATGGTGAAATAGCCAAGTCGTTCGTGCCAGGCAGGCCACTTGGAACTTAGCCAACAAATCGTGGAGGCCCTTGGATGCTTCCCGTTGCGAAACGTAGAATATCATAATAGATAATAGCAGGTAGAACCTTCCCCGTGTCTCCTTCCTGTTGCTGCCTTTTGGATAGAGGGAACGATCGTGTGTTCGTGAAGGATTGCTCCATTCAGCATTCAACCTTGGGCTGAGAGAACATTGTCCACATGGAAGGTATTGCACCATTTCACCAAACACGTTGAAAGCAAAGCCTTTAGTCAAACCACTTCAGCGTGCATGTTTCTTCTTTGCACCAGTCGCTCTGTTTGGGTGGGGCTACTGTGTCCGGGGCCTTGGCTGGGCCGAATGGATCCGAATGGGTCAGCGTGTCAGATCGGGCAATGGGTTGCACATGATTAGCTATGATGTAGAGAAACAAAAGTAGTTGAATTGATAATCAGTTATCCATTCACCATCATTCAACACTGAAGCTGGGTTTGTGGGTGGGGCACGTTTGGCCTGAGTGACTGCTGCATGTTTGGTGTTTGCGTGCGGAAAGGCCCCATTGATGTTTTTCGTCGGACACCTGCAATCCTTGGTCGCCTTAGTCTTGCTCCTCAATTGCATGGCGCATTGCTATCAAGTTGAATCTCAATCTTCTTTGTTTTTCCCTTTCCGAGCCTCTTCAAGAGCTATATAGTCTATTTGATGTTTTCAACAGTCAGTTCTCAAAGGTAGACTGAACGTTGAGCCTTTCGCATCCTTTCGCTATGCCTTTCAGACATCCGATTTCGTCTTCAGACACCGCTAGGTTTGGAGGCTCTGGTGGGGAAGCCCAGGTGGGCGGTACGGCCGGTGATCGATGGCCAGGTGAGGGATGCGGTCCTTCACGGTGGGTCGGGGCGATCAATTGACATCCCGAATCACCTTGAAGGGTCTGGGCCCTGGGCCTCGATATGGTGTGATGTGAACCTCACTTAGTTGATTTGCATGGTGTGTATAATATCATGACGGTCCCGAAAGATGCTGACTGAGAAACATGGGGTGGATGGTGACTTGCAAGGAGCATCAAGGAGCACAGGTCAACCACAATCCATGAAAAAGAGTGGAAGGCAGGTCGCTTTGTCCACCTGCAAACATGGAAGCCGGAAGCCACTTCTACATCCAATGGTTTTCTTTAGAACTGGATGTGCTGGTGTGGTGTTTTCCCTTGTTTGGGCCCAAGTTTGGGCCCTATGATTGCTCTAGACTCGTTATGACTTGTCGCTTTTGGCGGGGTTGATGGAGAGTCCGTCGGAACTCTCGTTTGGGATCCGGGCCGGGCCGGGGCCACAAAGACAAAGAAGTCGGGCGGGCCGCAACGAGGAGAGCATCCAAAGAATGGCAGTCAGCGAAACAAAGACACAAACATACACAAACTTTTGCGCAAAAGACGATGCTTTTAATCAAGTCCAAGGGGGTAATTAGTCATTAGATGTCATTCGTGGCTCAAAATTGACGACCCTGTGATGGGAAAGATTGGGAAAGTCATATTCTGGTAGGAATTTCTCAACATGTGTGTTTGAACTGGTTTAATTAACCACCCACCAGGTGTGTCTCCAGCATTGATTGACACAACACTACAGACATGTTTGTGATAGAGCTATGGGTGTGCATTACATTAGGGGGACCTCCCGGTTTAAAAACTCATTTGTTGGGTGTCTTCCTATTAAATGCTCACCACCCGTGGTCATTGGTGTGCGGCTGTTTGAGGTGCGAGTGCCTTGGCATTAAGTGCCGCAGCCACTGGCGCCCTGAGGGCGCCCCTGTTCGAGGCGCCCCTGTTCGGGGTGCCCTTTATCAGATTGCAGCCTAAGAGCATTGAATATTTCATGCAATTTCAGAGGTTGTAGGGCTTGGGAGAAACTAGCAGACTACAACGTTCTGTCTATAGACATTCTATATTATGATATTGCAATATGTAATATGATGTGCTCCGTGCTCCTCAGACTTCTCAAAGTCCAACTGACTAAGGTATGATAGTACCTTTTGTCGTGTTGAATGGGGTGACTTGGGAACGATCACGTGTGAACCGGCCCAATAGATCGTGCGGGTGCACCGGTTCAATATCAGATGTTGTGTTCATTCCCCACTTCATGCACTGAAAAGTGTGCCGCTTCACTTTGGACCACCGAGTTGCTTGACGTGACCAGCATCTAGCCAGGCATTGATCCGCCGCTGCTCTGCCGCCTCCCAAGTAGCGCAAGAAGAGCCGCAAAAGCAGACAGACCCCCATGAATTCCTACAAATGGGGTTGCCAACTTGAGCTTCACTGGTGCTGTTGGAAAATCTAAGTAGCAGACCTGCACACTGTGCAGAATGTTGGAACGCATCCATATTATTATCAAGTCGCAGTCTTGAATCTTAACAATCCAGGGGCAGAGGTGACGGAGAACTGCCTCTAAGCGAAGACCCAGCCGAGTGTGGACGATAATTTTGGAGATATGCCGATTTCCAAGCTACCAGCTACCTGGCCAGACCCTGGCGAGAGGGAACCTGTCAAGTTTGTTGGAGGGAACCTGTCAAGATTCTAGCGAGCACCCTCTTCAAGACATTCCTCGGAAGTATGTCAGCACAAGCCTTGATGCTGACCATTCTCAGCCGATTGGTGGGATTCTTCTCGGGTTGCTCAATAGTCAAAACCTTCCCAAAATGCTCAAGATTCCTGAGAAGCTGGGTTTGGGGGGTCTAACCACCTTCTGAGGATATGGTTGATGACAGGATATAACCACCACGCTCCACTCTAGGTCCAGGAGATGGATTTGACCGCGGCGCAGTTGGGAGATTTGCGACTTTGCGCACTGCTAGCAGCAGGCCTCCGGGATTGGACAATCGAAGCAGAACAGGCCCAACTTCTAGAGGAATTAGCTATCCAGGGGCCACATGTTCCACAATGTTCCACATGTTCCACTTCCCTGATTGCTTCAGGAAGTGTAAATGCACATGGCCCCCCAAAGGGCTAGCGGCTATTTCTGGCCGTATATGTCAATCAGAGGTGTGGTGTTTGTGTTTGACATTTGGGGACGTTGAAAAGGTATGGTATGGTCTACAAAGAGGTCACTTATCATCTTGTCAACGTTCGCTTTGCTCGCCAGATGTGCTGGAGCAGTGTGATAGCCACACAATCAGTTTCCTGCCGTTTAGCTCAGCTGGGCGTTCACGCGCGGGGGTTTATTTGTGCAGCTGATTTCCACTGTTCCAGTCTTCAACCAGGATAGTGTCAGTCAGATAATTACTTTCACAAAGAGGAGTCAACAATCAGATGACTCATGAGCTTTGTGGGTGGCACGCAGAACATTTGCAGAACGGGTAGACTGTGATCCAATTGGTCCAAGCCAGTCTTCGAGACGGCGTGGGATTTTTTGGTCCCCCAAAGAGTCCTCTTGAAGAGACCCTTTCTGAACATGGTAGTGACTGAGAGTGGGGGTCACAATGGAACAATCCATGATGCACATACAAGACATCACAAATCAGCTTCAAGTGTGCATGATTGGGAGGGGATTAGAGGGCATACACCCCACCTGCTCCATCCAGCTCCCCTCATAGGGGGCCCTTGACTGCCGCAGTCACTTCTAGGCGAACCATGTGCAAGGACGTGCTCCTAGCAACCCGGCACCGCAAACGACGGACCTTGATCACGCATCGTTGACGGTGAACATGTCTCACCCAGTCACTCGGTCAGGGCCGTCTGGGCCGTTGTTTCCCAGGTTTTCACTGGTTCATCATGATTTCCCGCCTTGGCAAGAGAACGATGAGGCATGATCAGAGTGCACATATATGACTGTCCCTAGGGCTCCAAGTACCTCCTCAGGACCTCAGAAGGTATTTGGACCCTCTAAACCCACCCCAAACACCTTCTTAGAAGGTACTTGGAGCCCTGGGGTGTAACAGTCCAGATGAGTCAGAGTATTTTTGAGAGTTTGGTCACCCAGCTTCTTTGTAACAAAAAGGGGCCACCGATGGACTTTCTGGGGCTGAAGGATGTGAAGATCTCCGGTGCATCAAAGCCTCTCTCACCCCACCAAACCATTGTAGGTTCCAAGGTTCACTTCCCTTATGAGACTAAGCTGTTGCGCACCGGGAGGTGCGCCTGGGGGGCATCTCCCGTTGCTTCCCCGGGTCGCAGGGGACTTAGGAGCCACGGGAGTTGGAGCCGAGGACGATCCCCGTGGAGCTCCGCCCAGCTGGTCGAAGTACTCGGACCGGGGCGGTGGTTCCGCGAAGCTGTGGCGCAGTGGAAGAGTAGTGAGGTGGCGAAGCTCTCGTGGAATGCACATGGGACTCACAAACATCACAAACAGTGTTTACTAGAGTTTACTAGATATTATACTACTTACTGCACTAGAGTTTTAATATGTTTTAATGCTATTGAATGCTATTGATATTGTTTATTGTGATTCCCTTGGCCATGATCTCTAAATTTGTGACGTGTAAGCACACTTAGTTTTATGAGGTCCTTGTCGCATCACAATTAGTCATTGCAGTTGTATGTCATCCTCCAGCCGGTTACCGGTTGGGTTGAACCATCACACAAAATCCAGTGCGACTCATTGGATTTTGTTCGACACTCTCGTCGCTTTTGTGGCAGTTTTCGGTGTCAGGTTGGATGAATGACCCCCCTGGAAAATCCCGGTCGTCTCGCAGAGTAAGCTTTACATGTTGACTGACCTCTTCAGGAGGTGCTGCAGTCATAAGGGGGACTCTTTTTTTGAGGGGGCGGGAGGTCGTCCAACAGCACGACGAACGTGGAACATGGAAAGCACAGGACTTCCTGACGAATGGCGAGCACGATCTCTCACAGGCTCGGCTCGACGATGAGATGAGCAAAACGGAGAGTCTGACCAGACGGCAGTGGTGTGGAGCTTACTTACACGACAAAGCTTATTTACTCAGTCACCCAGAGTCATCAATTTCTTGATCTTGTGAACCTAGTACTAAGAATGCTCCCAGTAGCGATGCCAGGAGCCCCGAACGTAGCTGTACAATTCCCCATAGTGGTGACCACTTTGGTGCAGATGTGCAACCGCACCATGGAATTCTTTTTTGTCCAGGCTCGCCTGTCGTGCTACAACGAAATCGTTAGTTCCGGAATCGGATCGACCTCGACCTCTCGAAAGTGGATCACCTGCCCAAGCTTTTTGTTGTTGGTTTCCCTACTGAAGTCCAACAAGTGAACAAAGGCCAACAGGCTAATTATCCAAAGGAAACACTCTAGGGGGGTCAAGTTGAACCCTGATGAGTGTTTTTAAATATTAATGTTTTACTACTGCTCCGATCCGACCACGGACCATACCTGGTGTGTAGCTCAAACAGGCGTTCCGACCCTCTTGAAGGTTCGAGAAATAGAAGAAGTAGACCAGTCAACGGAGCGGGCGAGGGAAAAGGACCTCCTTTTCCCTCTTAAAATAGCTTTAAAGTAAAATCCACCACCCCGTTTGAGCTTGCGATCCCTCGAGGTACTGGAGTCCTTCGAGCTGCCCCATTGTTGGGATGCCCATGGGCGAACATGAGACGGCATGCAGTGCGACGCCGTCCACGGTCGCGCTGTGAGACACCTGGACCTGTGGCCTGGGCCAGACGCTGGATGTATGCCATTTTTGCCCACATGCGGGGTGGTGGCGGGGGCCAATGTAAGCAAATAAATCCTTGTTACCATGCTAATCATACCACAAACGGAGTGTTTGGCCTTTTTCGAAGCTGGAAGAAAGCTCCGAACAATTGGCATCCCCTGCAGGAATCAGTGAGCTGTAGGATGCTGTAGGTGATGTGAGCCCTCGTGGCTTCGCACGGCTTGCCAAAGCCCCCGCCCACACTCGCAGCCACATGGGCCTTGCCAGCGACACCACCAACACTCACAAGGCGAAGCGTACATTGGCCTAAGGTCAACACATGATATAAGACACCCTTTGCTACAGACACAGCATGGCGTCTTGATGCTTTTTTGTACGTGTCGATCCCCTCTTGCAGAATCATCGCCCAAAAGCTAGGAATTGGGTTTACCACCGCTTTTCGGAAGGGTCTTCTTTCGGTGGACCGCCGCCACTGCCACGCCACGGCGAGCCGGAGCCGCACACGCCGGCGCTCGCAGCATGCAACCGCAGGTCGAGGGACCATCGTGAACGGTGCCTTCTTCCCGCTCACCAGCGACGCCAGGACCTCGGCGGAGGATTTGGGGAAAAGAATTGGTGGAAAGAAGGCGGAAAATGGGTGGAAGGCTCATGTTCAAATTGCTTTCAAAGGTGGCGGATGAACTTGGATGGAATTTTTGCTGAAAGGATTCCTGCACCAGACGGGATATTTCGATCCAACTTTCCAACTGGCGCAGTCTCCTCAGCTCTTGCGGAGTGGCTATCCTAGCCACTCGCACGAGGCAATGAAGGCAGTGATTTGCCTCGAGACCTTTGATGCAGGCGGGTGGACTGGGCCATCGTCAAACGTTGCCAATGGCTTGACCCGGTGACCATTTCAGCTGGTTTCCTGAAGCTATTGAATAGAGGGGGGTGTGTATTGAAATAGGGAGACCTCCCAAAGACCCCCCGGAAGAAGGGAAATAGATCAACAAAAAGTAATTAGCACCTCGCTAAAAAACGGGCGCGTTTCGATCTCAACCACATCGGGTTTTCCTGGTTTTTGGAACCCAGCATGAATGTAGGACGCTTGAAACACCAGGAGCGTCTCGTTGACGAAGTCTCCAAGTCCGAAGATGTGCCAGCAGCCATCGAGCGCAGTTGCGAAACCGTTGCGACCCAGCACAGATCCTGTGACCTTGCACGAGTAGATGGTGGTCACGGTCGCGGTCAATGCTGCGCAAGTGAAACCCATATACCTATTGCACCTCAGATCGTGATACACGCTGTTTGCGAAGAAGACCGGCGAATCGTCGCGCTTACTGTACTGTTAGCAACTCTTCGGCCATGTTGAATCAAATAAATGATTCCCTCAGCCTGCGACGGGGCGGTGTCAGGTGCAGCCTATGTGAAAGGAGAGGGGCGTTGTACCTGGCAATGCTGGAAGTGACCCACATGGGAATGTGTTGTCCTATTATTGCGGAAGCCTCACATGGAGCCTTTTCAGCCCTCAGAGCCGACCGAGTCGTCATCGCGATGTTCGACGTCGACTCCGGATTTGGGAGTTGTCATCGCCCGTTTGGAGCGCTGGGTTCCTTTTCCTGGCGGGGTTGTGTAGGGCCGAGAGAAGATTCTTCGAGAGTAGATTGAGAGGTTGCTATCTACACTTATGTACTGGCTGGAATAGGTCTCCTGCAGGCATAACGTACAGGAGGACTCCGCAACAAACATTGGTCTATAGTCCATTTTTGTCTTCTTTTGATATCAGGTCTTCCAAGAGTTGACCCAGCGGAGATCGCAGCTAATTCGCGGCCCACACGGCCATAAGAGGTACCGTGTGGCCACGGCAGCGGGATGGCGCGTGCGCAGTCTGGCCTACTGGAGGGAAATTGACCACTGGCTTGACCCAGATGCTATGTATAGGGAGACTATTGAAAGTACCACCTGAGCATGTCGAAGAAGCAGCGGTTTTAAAGTTTACCACGGGCAAAGCCTTAGCTTGAGGGCCGTCGTCTATGAGGATAGGGTTTCTTGTTGCTCGGCTCACAGTTATTGGAGGTGCTAACAATATTGGCACTGAATTTGAACCTATCATAATCCACACAACCGTGGTTTTCCTTGACCCCTTCCAGCCATGATGCGTTGCTCCAGGTATATGCCATAGGACCGCAGGAATGGAAGACGATCCAGAAGAGCGAAGAAAAGGCCAATAAATCAGACAAAGAATAGAATGAATGAGATGCAATGGTGCTTGCTGAGGGCAACTGAAGATGTTGAGCGATAGCCTTGAGCACTGTCCCGCAAGAGTTCGCAGTTCATGAGTAAACCTTCTCCGCTTTTTGTGGTTATTGCAGCAATTTTCTCGCAGACCGAACAATTTCACCGCGCAGTTCTGGTATAGCTGGGGTATAAGTTATGCAGTTGTGGGCCGTTTGGCTCAATTCTTTCAGCTGCAGCCAGGTGAGCTTTGTCCGAGAGCTCTTGCAGAGACCACCTCTGGCAACTCAGCTGCATACTGGAGCAAACACCACCGGTCAAGAAGTTATTGGGCACCTGCTTTGCGGAAGCAGTCGATGGTTGGATATGTTGACCAAGACTTATTGAGGGAACATCTTCGTGCTGACATTCATGATCATGCTCCTTGTAAACTTGCACGGATTAAAACTAAACTCCAAACCACGCAATGCCATACAAAACAATAAACAAACAGCTGTCGCTGTTACGTGACCAAACATGTGTTCCCGGAAGGCAAAGATGATCCATGATGATCCCATAGATTGAACATGTCATGAAAGGTAGCTTCAGCTCGATTGCACTTCCCTTAAGTCTTGACCGCCCCTACCCAAATCGTCCACCCCCTCCCCCTCAAGCTTTGAACTTTGGAGAACGATGTGCAGGACGTGGCCAGCCTTTGATGCATCCGTCCTACCGAGTGCTACGGAGTCCTACGGTCGAAAAAGGATTCTCAATGATTCTGAGATGGTTAGTGTTTGGGTTCCTTCGGGTTCCTTCGGGTTCCTTCGGGTTCCTTCGGGTTCCTTCGGGTTCCTTCGGGTTCCTTGGTTGACCTGGCAGACGCCCCCACGCACCCCGAATAAAACAGGCTCAAAAATCAGCACCTCTTCCAGGTAGCGTTTGCAGGGTCCATTTTAGTTGAATTTTGAGAGGGTACTGCTGTTTGGGAGGGCATCGTTGCCGGAACTTCTCGGCATCCAGGGACGGGTGTTTACAGCATCTTGAGCGATGGGGTGATTGTGCGGGTGCTTGTTAGTGGTCTTCAAGACATCCAGCAGTGATACACACACACACACACACCGCAAAGGCACTGTTCAGCATTCAGCACATTGAGGAAAGATTACAACGAGTTTAACATGTAGAACAGCTTTGTTTCATGCAGCTTGGTCACCAAGCCACGCACACATGAAGTCAGATGTCACAACATGTTACAACTAATCTGGTTATACAAGCAAACTTGATGTGTAATAACTTAAGTGTCATCAAATCATATCAAATCCATTTAGTCAGCAGATTCCTTTGCATTTGGCAGAGAGTCGGCCGCACGTATTTCGTCGCCATGTTTCAAGCCAGCAAGGTGACCTCTGGAAACGACCAAGTGACACTTGAGTTGCTGATGATTTCAGTACTCACTCGACGCTTGGAGTGACGACCGGGTGTCACACGCTCGAAGGCGTTTCCTTGGAGTGCCATGGTCCAAGACCTGGGCAGCATGATCATGTGAATCACGCACTTGTGGAACCCACAGAAACTGAGATGGACAGAACGCCAGGGTTGTGAACCCTGGCCTGCAAACCACATCGATCGTGAAGCCGCCGTTTGTTCTATGCTTGGTTCTTAAATGCGCAGACTCCTTGCCTGCAGACTACACCAATGGTGAGGGCGACACCTTGTTTGAATTTGGCCCTCTCGCCACCAGGACCAGACTCTCTGTTGGCTTCTCATCTGAGACGTCGACCCAGAGACTTGCGAAGAGTAGGGCTTGATCAAGCATGTTTTTCACTTCACATCATTGTTCTCAAACCTTCGCAAAAATCGGGCTTGCAGAAGTGTCCGAAGCCCAAATCAAGCTTTTGCTAAGTTTGTTTAGCAGTGATTGACAGGCTACATAGGAACATGCTTTCCCCAATCCCTGCCAGTAAGGTCTTTGTCTTGTGGAGTGGACGTGGGGCCTCCGGCCAAAGCAACCAGCTGGACGCCGGACGCCAAGTCAAGCTGGTGGTGCTGCTTTCAACGCTTTGCTGTTTCTCTCACCCGGAGCCTCTTGTCCCAAACTAAGTTTTTTTTGCTTGCCTCCACTGAGCGGTTTATCGACAACTGTTTGAACAGAAAATGTCGTCACCACTGTAACTGTAGTGTCAGTCACAGTCTTCGGCTGCGCACAGGGCCTGCTGGCCGTTGCGGTGGTGCACATCTCGCCAAAAAAAGGTGAATCAAATTAAATCTTACGATCCTGCAACCTCATTTACTGATGAGGGCTGGGCCCGGAGGGGGTTTCAAGAACGTCCCTCCAAAGTAGGCACCGCAAAAAAGACACATGAAGCCAGAGAAGGCTCAGGGTTCAGAAAAAATCGAATTAAATCTTTTGCAAGTGAGTCGTTTTCAATCCTATCGTCATTTACTTTATACCAGGCTGTTTCATCCAAGACTGCGATTTGGAGGTGTCCGTGGACAACGATATGGGACGTCCAAAAACCTGCTGTCATATATCCAATACACTGGAAGTCAATGTGCAAACTTCCTGCAAAACGATACCTACAGCAAAACGATGCAGGACATCACGTTCTTGAATCACGGATCTGCATCAGCCTACGGGCAGTGCCACTCGCCGACTCGCGACTGCCAACCGCGCGATTGAATCACGGGTGCCCTGCGGATCCAGCGCGCCAATGGACCTGTGGTAGTTCCGGTTGGAGGGTGGAGGCGGATGCACCGCTGTCGTCGGCATCTTGGGTGCGCACGCACCGGAAAGCGGCCATGGCCGGAAGGTGGCTCACACAAGCACGCGTGGAAGCTGAAGCAATTCTGCGGAAAGAAGGAATGGCATGATGGGGGCTTGGGGGGAGAGGGTTTGGCAGCAAAGGAATGCTTTGTCAAACATTATTTGCAAAGCTTCTTGAATTCAGTGGAAGAGTTTGCAACCCTGCATGCCTTCGACACACCAGAGGAGAATGACTTAGCTGCTTTGGTTTCGTGATGTTTCGTGGGTTCTATTCAGGTGCCGAGTGTGCATCGGCCTGATCTGCTCACACATTCACAGGTCTTGCGAGGAACCCATCGTTTTGTGCTCGTGAAGAGAGGACCTGAGATACTTGGGAGTCTTTGAAACGCAACATCGTTGACATGTCGCGTTGAATCCGGGTCGGATCTTAATCATCCATGTCCGTGCTTTCTTGTCGCAACTACAGCAATGGTGTCCCATTACCTGAAGCAGTCGATAAGTGTTGACTATTTTTGAGAAAGGCCTTTACAGACCATCATCCGCTGTCACAGGGAATGAGATATACCCAAACTGCAGCGATGGTATCCTCCGCCTGGCTCTTCACAGTTGGCCTTTTGGTGCCAATTGGCCAGATCATCGAGGCTGAACCCTGAACTGTGAGGATCCCACGAAAGACCCAAGCTTGGTTCCCACATTTTTGTACGACCAATTAGACTCTGATTAGACCAGATCCGTGTGTCTTCATGGTTAAGTCTGCGTTTTACTTGCCCACAGATTTGATCGATAGCTATCCGATAGCTCTCTTTTTTGAGCATTGCTAGGTCAGCTCTGACTTGGCTGAGCCACGTTTGGAAAGACTGCAGCTGCCATTGAAGCTGGCTGCAGTTGGCAGCTCTTCGTGCTTGGTGGGTTACACTGCGGTCAGCTATTGCAAGTCTGCACGGTGCTTTGTGTCCAACGCTGTCAAGGAGCCCTTGCTTGATGACTAGCTTAAGCCGTGTGTGTAGCAGCTTCGAGGAATGTGTAGCATCTCCTCCCCTGCTGCCGGTTGACACCACCAACCTGTCCCTTGCTTGTGACATCAGTCACGCTCCAGTGATCAAATACCTTCGTGCATGTGCGTGGCAAGACGTACGCCCGCGTGCTCAGCACACCGCATGAACAGCGCCACTCGCGCGCATATGCTTAGGCTTCTTAGCGCTTCGTCACTGCATGGGGGGTTGCTAGAGACTGGATTGGTGGCTCGCCGGTGGCCTCACAGACAGAGAGAGAGAGGGAGAAAGAGAGTAGCAGCTGTCACCACAAAGAGGACAGGCTGCTTACCTACTCAGTCAACAGCCTAAAATCAGCAAGGGACATGGACGCTAGTTGATTTGGGTGTAGATTGAGATTTGCTAAGATTTGCTAAGCAACCCCAATAAGTATCAAAAGAACATCGAAAATGTAGACCCCGCCCTTGAGCCGCTTCAGCCCAAGGATAGGACAGCGCTGCTTTAGCCGCTTGTGTTCGGTGACAGCGTCGCCTTGACGAAAGGCAGATCACCGCAGGTTTCGGCCGGTGCGTTTGCGGCCACGGCCCTGTGCACTTTTGCGACGTAAATGCCGTGACGTATTCGTGGTGTGTGAGAAGGCCAAGGGCGCGAATAAATCAGTCGAGAAAGCCCATACTGCTCAAAGAGCAAGCATTGCGTCCGTGGAACATGGTCCAAGCCTTATAACTTCAATGTGTCGGCTTCTGGAGACGGCTCGCTACCGTGCGTTCTCGATTCGCGGTTCACCTTCTAAGGCCAGGAGTGAAAGGAACCGAGCGAAACGCGGAGGCGCGAACCGCAGACTTGTCCATGTGAGCAAGCAGGACAAGCATGGACAAGCGGTGGGCCATGACACCCGGGAGACACTCGGAACGAAAACCCGGGTTGACTGGGTCCAGTAGTCAAAACCAGATTCATGTTCGGTGAGAAAAACCCAGGTTCCCTGGCTTTGATCTGCCATTTGACCAGTTGAAACACCTCGAGAGCCTCAACTGCTTCGCCTGGCAAAGACTTGCACGTTCCGCAGGCGAAGGCGTAGGAAGAACCCCCACAGCCCCAGTCAAACACATACACCATGTGGCATGCGGCATGGGCTGTTAAATGGCAGCCACATCAACCAGTGCCCTCGTGCCGCCGTGCCGTTTCACAAGCGCGGCCAGCCGCAAAGCCCTGAAAAGGCCCAAAGAGGATATATTGAATAGGCCAATGCATGAGACACGTGCACCTCAATTGGCATCGTTAGTGCAAGTACCGTTCAAATGAATTATATATTAGTTCCCGTACCTCACATTAAACATCCCAAAGGGCATTTGATGCGTAACGGCCGAGTTGCATGAAGTCTCAGACACTGCGGACCTGCGCAACCACGGTGTCATATGGATGTGCCATTCTCCTCGACCTCCGTCCTGCGCGCCCAGTGGTTGCAGGTGTTTGAAGCTGTGGACGTTCAGGGCCAGAGCCGGTGAACAGAGCAGATGGCGATCATGTACCCCAAACTTCAGGGCCATGCCGAGCCAGAGGGCTGGTGTGCCAATTTGCGAGTGCCTGGTGCCTAAAGGAAAGCATGCCATCGCTTTGGGTTGAAAAGAACATTCAAACGCCATGCCTGACATTTGTACAGAAGTCACTGCTGCAAGTTGTTGGACAGCTTGGTATAATTTCATGAGTCGGTATGTCCCAGTTTCGCTGCCGACACATGAGCAACTGCCAAAACCTCCGATGAAGGCAGCATCACTATAGTGAAGACTAAGTACTGTAAGTAAAGTGAAGGAAACCTTCAGGAACGATAAGGTTCACAGGAAAAAACATGATAAGGTTTTAGTACGTGTTGTTAGGTGTGTCCAAACCCTCAAGAACGATAAGGTTCACAGAGAAAAACGATAACGTTGGGAAGAGTGAGCACTACAACACATAAGAGGTATTACAGGTCGCTCACATGGTCTTGGCGCCAGGATCAGCTAAACTTGAGGAGTCAACAACTGCCATTAATTCCTCTTAACCTTCACGTTTGGTCTTCGTTCGTTGTGGCTCTGTGATGCTCTGTGTGCAGCTCAGATGCAAGCAGAGTTCGTTCAGATCATTGACAGCTTACACCTTGAATGACCGCGGCCTGGCCGGCAATGCTTAGCGGTTTGGTGCTCAGTGGCCGAGCCGGCTCGCAGACTGCAGTGAGTGCAATGAGCCGGTTTTTTTTTTTTTTTTCGGATGGCAGCGGTCGCCGGCTGAACAAGCTTCATTCGGGGCATCTGAACTGGACCATGTTTGCGTAGCAGATGTTACGGTAAAAGAAGAGGTATACTATAGTAATTGACGAAATACCTGAACCATCGAGCCCTTTAACCACGCTGCCAGTCCGCGGTGATGCGCGTTTCCGGATTCCGCCGCTTACTTGAGCCGCTTCGACATGGCCGTTCCGGCGAGGAAAAACCCGCTGAGCACAGCAGCAAATCACAGAATGATGCCCGACTAGCGCCGGGTTGTCTTGATGTTGCTAGCCCATGAAGCTGGGCCCGGTCTCTCACTGATAGGCTTCACGTGTGTGTCCTGGTCGCGGGTTTCCACATAAATCGTGAAGGTAGGACGCCTTGCCAGACTCATCCAAGAAGTTGTTGCTGGCACATTATTGCCGCTTGAAGATGTTGGGTGCTCCTGTGCCAGGCTCCGTACCCCACACGCAAGCGCCAGCTTGAGTAATCACAGTGTGTCAGTGTGGTGTGTGTACATGCCTTTGTGCACTTGAGTAGTGGTTTGCAGAATCCTTCACCCAATGCGCTGAAATCAACGCCGAACAGAGCAAGTAGGAAAATGACTGCAAGGTCTTTGCTCCACCTTTGGTTCCTGTGTTCAATATCACTTGTTGTATTGTACCAACAATGCTCGCAAAAGCAACCCCTGAGGTCGGAAAAGGTTCCACCATGATCCACAATTTACTGACGTTAAATGGCCGACCTTGCCTTCAACCATTCAACGCATGTCCACAGGCGTGACATTCATGTTTTGATGTGCAATCAGCATGGCCCTTGTCCTGGATATGCCAGAAGCTCTATATTATATAGTTGTGGGTGAGTCATTCAAGTACCGGGTTCACTCAGCTTCTTTGCCTTAGAGGGGATTTTCCACATTAATGCGCTGGTCGTGATATTGTATCAGTGTTTGTTCGACCGACGACTGCATTTGTTGAATACGTTTTGCAAGAGTGGCCCTTTGGAATGGCAGTTTTTGCCCTTGTTGTTGCCGTGTGGTCAAGATCAAATCTACAGCTGTTTGTGAGATGTTGTGAGCCTCATTGGAGGCTGCCAAGCTGACTGTTTCCCACTTGGCGTAAGAACGTCGAACTTCAAAGCGAAGTAGTAGACGGTTTGAGCAGGATTCCTCAGACTGGATGTTGCTTGATGTATATACTGGGCTTTATGTTTGTTCATGCAGCTTTCTGTTGATGCAGGAGGTTCTGCAAATGGCCACTGGAGAAGCTGCTGGACAGTGACAGTGGCAAACCAGCTCCATGCTACATTTGTCACCAGCTCCATGCGTGAGGAATAAACATCTCGGGTCCCGCCGTAGGTTGCATGATATGCCTGATATGCGGCCCTGCTGCACAAGGTTGGCATCGGCGGGGCAGCGGATTTTGTGACGCACCACAAAACCAATGCAGTCGGCCCAGAGAACTCGAATCCCAGAACGAGCTGTTTCTGCAGATCCTTTTTGGGATGGTCATCCGGCAAAATCGTGGAGACCACCGAACGTTCGGATTCCTCGGATGATCACGGGTCATCTTTTCGGCCCTGCTATCCACGTTCGCCCATAATGATTCCCGGGAGTGTACTGGTTGCCCAGCTCCTTTGCTGCTCGCCCAGGCCTTGCGTGGACCATCTGATTGCAGCTGCGCGATGTTCAATGCGTTGTGCCGTTGGCGTGCCAGCATCCTTCGGGATGGCGGCGGCCAAGATGGAATGCTTTGGCCGGTTACCACGGTGTACAGCTTCAGAGATCTTCCAGTCTTGGCAAGGCGTTTGGCAAGGCCGGGTGGCATGCAGATACACAATCGATTTCGCAGCAGGTTGAATCAAGCGGACTTCCCCATCACGTGCACGCCTGCTTGAGCCAACGTGGGAGGAAAGGTGCCCTAAACCTTTATCATTATAAGTTTGCTTTCTCCCAGATATCGCAGAGGGTGTTCGCATACACCCGTTTGTGCTATTGTTCAAGTTCAGTAAAGCGTCAAGAGCTCAAACATTGAGGGATTGTAGATTGTCGAGATGTTGCACAGCAAACCTCAACAAAATGAGGCGAGACTGAGACACAGGTAAACGGCCAGGTTCTTGAACAGACAAACCAATCCTGTGCCGTGGAACTGCTTGCTGGTAAGTGAGACCTTTCTGATTCTGGGTGAAAGCGGCTAGAGCCATTCCAAAGCAAAGAATATGGATGAGTGCATTGCTGCCTTGTGGATTCGCTCCGACTCTGACCCAGGATTGTGTTTGGCAGTCTTGTGGGACTAAAAGTGGTGTGCCAAAAGCTGTCAAGGGTCAAGCTGCAGCAACATCAGCCTTTCGGCCGCTAGCAGATTCGTGCGAAACGATGCTGATATGTGCTGCTGGCTGGGCTTCCTGTTGGTCAAATCCTACACAGCGGCCTTTGATTTGGAGTCAACTCAAGCCTGCAAAATCGGCGTGCGTTTTGCAACCTTCAGCGTCCAGTTTTGTTGAAACCCGTTTGCCTTGCAACGTCATGGCAATGCAACCCCAGAGGTCCTCCAGGTTTGTTAGGCCTTTGGGCATGTTACAATTACTATAGCTGGTTAGACCAAGTGGACTTCCCCATCGCATGCACACTCGCGGACTTGGCTGACTCTGCCGGGAAGAATCCCAGATATTGTAAAGGGTTGTCGCACAAGCGCCTTTGTGCAGCTGTGCAAGTAGAGCGTCACGAATTCAATCTAGGCCGTTGTGGGAATATTGCACGTCAAACATGATTAGATTTCAGTGAGAAAGTGGTAGCTTAACGCACTAATCCTCTCCTTGCTGGTAAGTGAGACTTGTTTGGGCATGTTTGGGCCAAAGCGGCTAGAACCACTCCAAAGTAGAACCATTCGAAAGCAAAGACAATGGATGAGTGCACTGCTGCCTTGTAGATTCGATCCGACTCTGACCCAGGATTGTGTTTGGCAGTCTTGTGGGTCAAGGGTCAAGCTGCAGCAACATCAGCCTTTCGGCCGCTAGCAGATTCGTGCGAAACGATGCTGATATGTGCTGCTGGCTGGGCTTCGCGGTTGTTTCTCGCAAACTTGGGGGCTGAAATTGACCCGAAACAAACCAGATGCAGGAACACGGGCTTGTGTGGAAAACAGGCTGAACCTCAACCGGCTTGTCTTATTTAAGGCTCCAATTTCCGGAGTTTTATCCAGCCTGGCCAACCTGACACTGCCCAAGATGGCGGATATTGAACGTCCAGAGAGGCTAGACAGTACGAAGTGAGCCTATGTCGGTCATTCGAGTCGTGGTGCAAGATCAGATGTTTGCCAGATCCGAGGGTTTTGATATGTTTGTTTTGACGTGTTCTCATCATGACTTGCACAAAAGAAGCTTGGCGTCAATGTTTGCAGGTCTCCACTGACCACCAAAAAGATTGGGAAGTAAGTGGTGGTTTGCTTGACCTTGGTGTATCTTGGGAAAGCTTTATGGGAAAGCTTAAACTTCTCATGTTCAGGTGTAGTTGAGGAGGATGGGAAGGTGTAGGACATTGCTCCTGACCAAAACATTGGACTTTGCCAGCTGGCAGCCTGAGCGCTAGGTTGCCAGTTTAAGTTATAGTCATGCTTGGTCAACAATCCGTGCGACAATCCAATAAGCGTAAAGCCGAATATGAGCAGTCGTGCTGTGGGCTCAAGCGCCGGCGCGGGGTGTTTACTTACTTTGCACGAGCCCGGCTGGCGACGTAGGCGGCACCCGCGACGCTCCGCCAATCAAGAAGCCGACACGGGTGATACCGATGGAAATATGTTTGCCTTTCGTTGCCTCCTCGTGGCTCGATGTTCCACACCCTTGGAATGTTCCACACCCGTCGAAACGTCGACACTCCTTTTTTCTTCCTTCTCGAGGACACTGGAGACACCTGTTCGGACACCGGTCCGCTAGTCCTGGGTCCGGGTGTCGCAGATCCGTGCGCGGGGGTGGGTGGGTGCTGAAGCGGGACGGACCGTTCCGCAGGTCCAATGGATCGATCCAATGAGCACTCCAGACCTGCACGATTTACTTGGAGCAGGCGCCTTGCGGTCGGTCGACCGTTCCACCGAGGTTCCGTGACACGGTGCCGGGAGGTCAAAACGGACATGACCTGTTTGACGAGCCCCCAGACACGACCCGTCTGGGACTGCCATAGGACTGCCGATCAGTTGGGGTGGTTTGAGGGGTCAATGTAGGCAATATGGCATACATGGAGTGTTTGACCATAGATGTTGTAGATTGAAAGGGCGGAATGGGCTTCAGGCAATCCAAGCCGTTTTCTTTCAAGAATAGATCGATCAATGTTCAAGGGAGGATCTCAAGACTAACATTTGTTTGAAAGGTGGAACGGAAGAGTTAGCACCGCAAAGCAGCTAGCTCTCGTTTGCTTCTCAACACCTTTGAACGTGACAGGAGGCTACGGTGGTACACCCAAATATCCCAAAATCACTCAAAGTTGTTGCATGATGTGCCTGAGAGTTTCATCAGACCTTTCTCATTTCTTCTCCTTTGCCTATCGCAAGGGTGTAATTAAACCATATTAAAACTTTTGAAATGTTACTGGTGAGGGTGGAGAAGATTACCTCCTGCACTTCCTCGTGGGGAACATCCCGCCTTCACAAGCGTCCGTCGTGAGGCTGTTTCACCGCGCCCAGGTCGGCCTTCGCCAACTCTGCGAGCCGAGTGAGCGACGTGAGCGACGAGCTCAGCGTGAGGAGTCCGATCGGATTTGTGGGAGACGACCCAAACGGCCCTAAAGCGTACGGCGTAGATCACAAGTATAAGGTACACCATGGCATTTACTTTACACTATACAGCATAAATAACTAAATAAACAAAACAACATAAATATATATATATATATAATATAAAGCTTTAGATACTATACCTATAGTATATATATATATATACACATATTTATACATTGTATATTATAGTTATACATACCTGGACCTTGGAAACGGCACCAATATAATATAATGTCGACTCGATGTAGGATTAATAACCCCCCTTCAAGGTCAACTAGGTCAACAAGGTTTGAGATTGAAGGTATTGGAGACCACATCCCCCTAATAAAGATGATGACCTGATGATGGATGATGATATGACAAGATTAGGACAGATTAAGATAATTGGGATGATTAGGAAACAGATTAAAGAGATTGGAAGACAATATTATTCTTTCTTTGGTTTGGGATGATTTGCAAAAGGAAGAGGATAGCAGGATGAAAGAGATGGAATACAAGATGGAGGCCAGAGGGTGGGCTTGATTAATAGGGGGAGGGGCCCAAAATTGGATGGAATCTGGAGTTCAAAGGGCTTAACTCCAGATTCCATCCAATTTTCACTAGTGGTCACTGCCACTTTTATGTGGAATGAATCTAGAGTCAACCCTTCCTTTCCTTTGCCCGTATTTTGGAAGAGTTGTGATTTGGATTTTGTTTGTTTTTGCTTGTCAGCTTCAATGCTTCAGGGCTTGATTTCAGGGTGAGTCCACTGGTGCTGTGACAGCAATGAGTTGCTGTATCTTTGGAGTTTGGCTATGTTGCTGCTCTAGCGAGTGAAATCTGGAGGTATCATGACTATGGTAGGTGCACTTGGCAGCTCACTTTTAGATTTCAGCTGTTACAAAGCGGCTTCTCAGGGAAGAACAGCTGGAGGTAATCTGATTGTGGTACATTCATATGGCCCATATGGCAGCTTACTTTCTGATTTCATTACTTTTCGGGCAGGTTCTTCCGTAGTGCCTTCAGAGGTGGCCTCAGTGAGATGTCACGTCCCCACACCTGGGGGGACGAGTTGACCTTGTGTGCATTGCGCACCTCCTTCTGCGCCCCATAGTAGTGCTTTCTGATCAAGAGCATTGAAAATGAAAGGCAAGTTGAACCGCTGCCCTTGGTCCATTCATCTGTGTGGGGGCCTGAAGGGGATCTGGAGTCAACCCTTGTGTGACTCCAAAATCCATCCAATCCTGGAGGGGGCCCCTACTATGTTGAGGGGTGCCCGGTACCCTTTGTGAGCTTGAAAACCTTAAGATCTTGATTGAGCTTTAATAAGTGGACGAATCTTGCTAGCGAGTTTTTCGGTGTTTTGACAGAGAAGGATGAGAAAAACAGCAGGATGAGAAGCAACACGATGATGAGAATGATGGATGAGTGGACCAGGAGATTTTTCATACTAGTCAAAAGAGAGTAATAATATAGGATTATAGTTATAATAGTATTTCTTTTCTGGTGGGGGAGCTGGGCTTGATTAATAGGGGATTACTTAATCCTAGGTTGACACTAAATAGAAAGTCACCTTTTGAGGAACATGTGGGAAACGGTGTCGTTTCCCTTTTGTAGGCGTCCAAACGGCGGCGTTTTTCCCCGATGGATCTCGAGCACCTGTTTGCAACCCTTGAAACGGCATGTTTTTGATTACGGCGGGTTTTTGTTTGAAAATGCCTCCAGCAATGTAGTATACATATCACACGCCACCACATTTAAAACGAAGGATCCTCCACCTGCAATCACCTGCAGGTGTTGTTGCATGTTGTCACTGTTGAGTTTTTATTGGTCCCCTCCCAAGAATTTTCTCCGGATGACTTTTGCAAAGCTATCAAGGTTACCAAGAAGGACAAGGCCCAAGATTGCAATCGATATTTAACTCTTTCAACAGACTCATCATGTTGGCAGAGGAAACATTTGAACACTTCATCATGCTCTCCTTATCACGGGACGTTTCAAAACGAACGTTCTGAGTGGCGAACAGTCGCAGTTCGCGTGCCCATCCCCCTATGCTTGGCGTGCTGGTGGTACATGTTCGGGAGGTAATTTGCATTGCCCAGGTAGGCAGTGAGCAAAGAATTAGGACAGTGTGTTCACTTCCAAGTTTCAAAGTAGCAGGGCAGCAGCAGCAGCAGCAGCACAGAATGGATACGGTTTGAACTCTCTTAAGTTGAAATGCAGGAATTTGCGGAAGAAGATGTACATGATCATACATGATCTAACTGTTGGCTTAAACATGTGCACATGCCCATTTTGTATAATGTTTGCGTGGCGCTTCAGGCCAACAGGGCGCTTGGGCGGGTGCTGGCGGAGCAAACGCCGCGCGTGAGGTGTGGAGAGACGACAACGACGACGATCTGGTGCACCGAGTATTGAATGTTAGACTCATCCTGGGACCAACTCCAAAGGGGTCAGCCAAATGACTAGGACTAGTACTTACTGGAACCATCATTGTACCATCTAGAAAATGCACCCTCCCTGGAATCGTCATGGAAGTGGACCACCCCTTTGCGTAGAGGAAAATGGACTTCCACTTCTGTGATTGTTTCAGGGGGTGCAATTAATTACACATCCAATTCTTTTGTGGTACCTGCCCTCAGGGCTGCCGAGGCTGCCCCAAGTAGTTTTGCCCTTTTTTGGGCAAAGGCCCGTGTGTGATCACTTGCCATCACGCTCAGCCCCCTTCAACTGTTTGACTCAGTTGCTTGATGTTCATCGAACTCGATTGTTCGGATCATCTGATCTTGACGAAGATTTAAACAGTGAAGGAATTAGACGGGACGACCGACCCTGTATCATCCTGTATGTATCACTATGCCAGGAACATGAACCCCGGTCTGACGATGGCAGCATTGTGACACGGCACACGTCGGTTTTTGGGCACGGTGCGAAGCGCGTTCCGCATGTCGCTTTGCAGGACCCGCACCATGACTCCGCTTGGTCCCGGAGGCCGGCCACAACTTCTCAGGTGCGGAAACTCCGCCGCATCCATCGGCGTGCCGGAAGGTCACCGCCCGAGCGTGCTTTCGTTGAGGCCACGACTCAGGTATCGAAAGTAGCATGTCTTGAGGCACGTCTACTTCCATGGTTGGAGGCTAGGGGCATGTAGGGCTTGGTTATCTTGGTTTTGCAGATCGAATCGAGTGTGCTTTTAAATGATGTTTAATGTTAAATCTAAGCCTGCGGATAAAGTATTTGGATAAAATGTCTCCTTCTGGGGCCGATGTTTTCTTGTCATGGCTTCTTGGACAGCAAATCCCAGGTACGGTGATGTAAGGGAATGGAGCTGCTTTGGACTCACTCAACTTGTTTCGTTGTGGGTGCCGGCTCAGGCCTGATTTCAAACAGCGCTCCAAACAGAAGCAGAGTGATGTTCACCAACTTGCATTTGTTGTAGGTGCTTGGTTCAAACATGCTCAAACGCCAAAGTTCTTTTGAATATAGATGCTTTGGTCAAACACTCTGCGATCCGATTATATCGATCATGGGTTCTTGGAGACTTCTCAAGTTGCCGAGCCAATCCACGTATACACCATCAATCCAGGTTGGTTTGGTTTTGTTCTTCCCCAGGGGTGTAGTCCACTCGTTTTCATCCACTCGTAGTCCTTGGAGGTTGTGACCACTCTGGCCATGGATCCGGAGAAGGGTGCGCAACTGGAGGCGGGTGACGCGCGAAGGTTGGAATCAGGTGCAGTTGAGATTCAGCAACAAACACAGGGTGAAGATGACGGGGTTTGATCTCCCATGTATGGCAAAGTCCGATACATATATAATATAATATATATATAATGTTCGATCCTGATTAGTAAATAGGCCCCCCCCTACCTCAAACAAACAGGGGATCCTCTATAATAAACTATCACCAAAACAAATCTGGATTCCTGTGAGAATTCCTTGTTGTAATTGATTGTAGTATTCATTTTCCTTTCATAGATTGTATTCAGCTTCCTTTCTCAGGTGCTTTGTGATTGTTCTCAGCAACCCTTTTGCTTTGCAGCCTCAGATCTTCAGCTCAAGAGCAAGCTATATCAGCTAATGAATCATAATCATTGGCCTCAGGAGCTAAGTAAAGGAAGATTCCATGAGCAGTTTTTTCCAGTGGAAAAAACTTTTCACAATTGAGAACCCAAAACCAAATCTATTATTGAGGATCAGGTGCCTTCCCGGTCTACTACCTTGAAAATTTGTTTAGGAGCCATGTTTTATAAAGGGTTTAATTAGGAATTGGTGGTTTTGGTCAGCTGTCAGTTTTGAAGAAACCCTTATTAATTAGGTTTCCAAAATACAAAAATAGAATTAGGGTCCCCCAAAAAAATATCATTATTCAGGTCCCATTTTTCAAACATGGGGTCTGGAATATTTTTGGAAAAATTAGCATTATTGAGGACCCATTTACTAATCAGCATCCAACATTATATATAATTTGAATGGGATTTGAGTTGTTTATTTAGGCTCTGGTGTAGAAGGTGACCACTGGGACACTCACATTCTTCACAGGACATGGGACAGCTGCTGCAGACTTGACAATCTGACTGTGCTAGATTGCACGGCCCCGGGGAGTCCCACAAGAATTGTTGAAAGGATCTTACAGTGACAACCATTGTTTTATTACTAAGGTTGACTAAGGACATTAGACGACAAAACCAGGTCAAGGATTCTATATGAATGGTCTTTGAAGGCCTTTTGGTTGCAGACTTGCAGACTGATTTCCATAGAATCACGTCGTGTGACCCGTAATGCCCGCAGCCAGTCCATTACGAAGACCCATTGCCCTCGTGTCACCAGCAGCCTGTCCGAGTCACAGACCCAACGGACCCAACGGACCAGCCTCGGACCAGGTCGAGTTTGTTCAAGGTTGCGGCTATCGTGTGGAGCCTCTCGTTGGCATGTACGGCACCGCCTTTTTTGACGGGGACCCACTACTCACTACTGCCCAGGAATACGGGCACCAGTACTGGAAGCACGAGCGAGCAGCCTTACGGTCCGAGTCCTTTGACCGAGGTCCATTGGGAAAGAACCAGGGCAGCCCCTCATGCGGGTTGGAGATCTGTTGGTGGAGGTCAATGGCAAGAGCTTGGCATCGACCTCTGAGGACGCAGGGGGCACGGTGTTGTGGGGGGTTGCCCGGATGTGCCAGGTGGTTGGAGTTTATTACTAGAAGCTGACTAAGCTGACATGTTATGAGTTATCGTTTGATATGAATGTGAAAGACCTTGAACATTGTGATGTTGAATCCTTCCTTGCACTTGCCTTGATTTCATCCAAGCCCCGGCTCACCACTGCAACATGTTGACTGGATGTTTGGATTCAAAGCTTAAGCTGAACGACTAGGATCTTCGGACCAGGATTTCGCAATGGCCTCACATTAACTCGAACATTCTATCCGGGGTTGGGATTTCGGCCACACGCTCCACTGCCAAATAGGATTTCAGGGTGGACATATTGATGTCCACATGTTCCGGGAACTGCTCCAGGATGAAGGCCCGATGTATGGGGACCAGGATGTTTCTGTATATATATATGCAATTATTATATGTTTAAACCGATCATCACATTGTCTTTTTCATAACATTCTATAACTAATGACCGTGCTCAGCGGAACAGTCGCGGAACTCTTCAACGATGGCCTTTCACAAGGCCGGTGGCGCCTTAACAATAGCCAACCACGTGCGTGTTGTTTTTGGGCAGATGAGCTACTTCTTCAGTGCCCTGGCCCAGGACGAGGCTGATGAAGTGTTAGCTGCCGAGCTTCGCGATGGTGTGACACTTCTGCTGGAGAGAGCATCTGAGGAGAAGGATCCGGAGACTTGGCTGTGGTCTGACAACAATAGAGATGCATAATACACAGAAGTTGGGAAGATCAGACCAAAAAAGACAACACCAAAGCCAATTCAAAACCTTTGGACGTGTCCTTTTCCACCTTTTTGGTGTCAAGATGAAGCTCGCAGCCAACTCCTTAGGCGCCGGACGAGGCTGAAGTCCCACTCAGTAGAATGGTCCCGGAGGCCGGTGACATGGGCCCGACCTGTCTGGAGAGGGTCCCGCAAGTCTTGAACGACCAAGACGGGCATTTAGGAGTTGTCTTTTCTTTGTCTTTCTGTGGTTTAGATGGGTCTTAAGTATAGTTGTGGGAATATGTAGGTACGTGCGTGTATGTGACTGTATGATGCATGTGCATCATCAAAGACACGCGCGTCACAATCTAATACAATATACTATATATAGTTGATACAAACCAAGACGTTTAGAGAGAGAGAGAGAGAGAGAGAGCTTTGTTCCACTTCCACTTGTGCCGCTTGGTGTGTCCAGGAGGGCCAATCAGAACCACTTCCTAATTCTTTGCGGCTGTTTCTTTCGCTCGGACGGACGGCCACTCAACCCTACCAGCCTCGCTCGCCGCTTCTCCACACCCCATGCTACTCAGACCCCGCTGGGCGCTGCCAAGCTGCAAGAGGATGCAGCTCCTCGGCCCCTGGCAGGCGAGGATGAGACTCCGAAGAACTCCTTGAGACTCGTTGGGCGACTGTTTGAATCAAAGCTTCACTGAAGACTTGGCCAAGGATTTCACTATATTTCACTCATGAATCATGTGTATTCATTCGGATCCATCTTCGAGCCCTTCCCTTCTCCAATGGTGTGGATCAAGGGTTCCCCCCGCCGCGGAAGGCACATGTGGTTCCTCACGAAGCGCCATTTCTCAGGTCCGCAGTTTGGGCCCTAGAAGGACTCGCCGAAACCGTTTGACTGAACAACCCTCATCTCCGTTTGGCTTCGCCGCAACTGGGCGTTCAACGGTGGGATGCCAGGCTTGTTAAGCAGCCTCTTCAGCTTTGCACCGCCCGAAGAGCCCCAGCCGGATGGCTCAGACGGACATGGGAACAGCTGATGGTGCGAGACGCTGAGACCAGCTGAGATTGATCGATGTTTCTGTTAGGTTTGGGCTTTTGCACCATGTTAAACGGCACTTCCGGACGATTGAACATGGAGAATAAACATGCCGAAAAAGGGATGCAGAGCACGACAGCGTCGTCAACCCTCCCTTCAATAGATCAGGAGAAGGGATGAACGCTGAGCTCTTGTGGGTTTCAATTAGCACCATGGATGGAGTTGCGTGGTTCATCTGGGGAGCTGAAGAGCAGGTCATTTTCACCCACGCAACAAAAAGTGCTGGTGAACAATGGTGAACATATGTCTTCTTTTCACGAATCTGGGTTTGCTTTTGGTCTCTCTTTTGGTTGGACCTTCGACACGGCAAAGCAAAGGGCTTTGCCTTCTGTCTCTCTTTTTCACTGCGAAACGGAAGACAGGTGGTTTGAGTACAAAAGGTCCGGGCAATCGCTTCAGGGACAGAAAGGTGATATCCCTCGGATTGGAATGATGGCAATCGGCTCCGAGCGCAGGGCTCCAGCTGGTGAGCAGCCGACAGCCGGTCCAGAGTTGCCACAGGAGGCGAGGTATGAAGTGGAGAGAAAGGAACGGAATTTGAAGTACATTATATAAGTAGATAGGCTGTCAGTGAAACCCCTTGCTACTTGCACTACTGTCCAAGTGACAGTTCACAAGACCAAGTTGCACAAGACGGTTCGCTTGGCCAGGAACAACCTCTCCATGATGAGACACTTCCAAGCTGGCCAGAGGAAACACCGGAAGTGCCTTACACAGCACCGTTGAGAGACTAGCAGGATACTTGTGAGACTAGCAGGGTCACAGGATAATTTCCAGGATGCTGGCGATTTCCGTGTATGTTGCAGCATGCTTGGACTTTGTAGGATGCAGTCCGGCACGACCTGGAAGAAAAGTCGGCGTTCCAATGCCCAAAGGTTTGCTGGACATGCCACACAACTCACTTGGCCTCGATGATTTGGGCTGATTCGACATGTTAGGATCGAGTGACTCACCAAACCCATGATAACCTAGCGCAGGATTTGACTCATTTGCGAAGCCGAACCTCCAGAAACATGGCTTAAAGCAAAGGAAGCTCTATAGTTCTAACATGTTCTAAACAGCAATCAGCAGTTCAAAAGGGTTTCGGCCCCTGGTGCTTTGGACCGGGATTTCGATACCATTGGACCGAAGGACGACCCCCACAAGCTCGGTTGTGGGGCGCCCACACTACTTATGCCCCATGGGGACTGAAGCTGTGGGACGGCCCAGGGCCGTAGAGGAACATGGTCGCCCAGCGTGTGGGCCGTGAAACACGTTCGACTTCCATGGTTGTTTCAGGGAGGCCATGGGTTTGGCAGTTTTTGACATCCCTGCTTTGGGGAAGGTTGTGACTGCTGTCACCAGCATGACGGAAGAGCGCCCGGACGAGGCAAGAGTCGCCGCAGAAAAACGACTGTAGCAATGGGACGTAGCACTACAAGGTCAAGCATGTTTGTGTAGGCCATAGGCCATAGGTCACTAGTATCGGTGATAGTACTACAACCCAGGTTTCTGATCTGATCTTTCTAGCGGGCACTCTAATCACCCTTGAAGAAGATGTTTCTGATGTTTCAGTCTCCAGTTTTCGCCCCAAAAAAGGTGGAATTCCAAGCACATGGTAGGGCATAAAAAAGTCGCAAGCTCACCCAGTGAATCCTAGTTACCACGATTTAAGAACCTAGGGTGCCAATCTCTAGGATTTGTTCAACAGCTGGGTCCGCTGGCCATGTTACTGGACCTTTGCTTGCTTGTTCAAAGTGTTGGGAGCTGTCTCGAGCCTTGCGCCGGCATGCAATGCGTAAGCCCTAAGCATTCCAGAGGCCATTGAGAAGGAAGATGGAGAAGATGAGGATGCACCGAGCCCTGCTTTTTGGCGATGTGCCGTTGCAGAAGCACTGAAACAGTCGTTGCCGTACAACATGAAGGAGTTTCAATATGCTTCAATCACGCCAAATATGTCAGATGGCATCACTTTACCCACGTGTACCCCCAAACGGGGGTACGACAGGATTGTGCAGTTGAAGACCTCACCCGGCTTGGCCTCAACACTTCCTTTCCAGATGCTTTGCGTGGCCCTCTTCAGAGGGTCTCCTGGACTCGTCAGGAGGTGATTGTCTTCGAGTCGATGCTTCCCGCGGAGAAGATCAAGGCCCCTGCAGACGGACGATGGATGGGGACGGATGGAATGGAATGGAATGGAATGGAATGGACGAGCCTCCGTCTCTGGTCCAGGTCCTGGGTTTGGAAGAATATGGCATGTGAGTCATGTGAAGAGCAAGGTGCTCGGCTGCTAGGAGTTACACAGAGGTGGCTCTTGGGGGGCTCAATTGCGGGTGTCATCCACTTCAGGTTCACAAATCAATGTTAAACATTGTTAAACTAGAATGAATTTTGAGCACAGAGAGTGTCAGATGGCAGAGAGTTTGCCAATCTTCCCGATTTGGTGGAGATTTCTATTCGGTTCATGGTCTGATTCTTGCCAGTAGTTTTGCAGAGTGATGTGACTGTACGTTTGTTCTGACGTCACCCCAGTCAAACCCAGCATTTCACATTTCAAAGCCCTATGCTGAAGGCAACCGCTTATTTGGCAATGCTCAGATTTGCCAGTTCCATGACGTCGCGCTCCTTCGCCCCCACCCAAAAGAATACAGGATCGCTGCCCCACAGATCTTCGCACACAAATGCGCACAAGGATCGTTGCTTTGGGATGTTTTGGGCCCAAAGTCAGCCTGCTTATATAACTATAAACTTTAAGATGACCATCCGTTGCCTCTGTTCTATGCCTGCAACAGTCAGTAAACAATGATCACTATTTTGGAGAAAGGCCTCTACTAACCATCATCATCCACTGAAACCTGCTAATAATACATAGACCCAAACCATCCGGATGACCACACTGGCCTGCACACACACTCGCGGCCAGGACGACCTCGATCGGCCGCAAGAAACTGAGCCAAGCGGCTTGGCCGAGCGGCTTGGCCATAAGAACGGCAGTTGCCACGGTTTTGCGACCACTGCGACTCTGCGACCATTGCCTCCACCACAGCCAAGCACAATGAAGCCTACTTTTGCTGCTGCTGCTGCTGCGAAGACAACGACAACAAGACAACAAGAACAACAACAACAACAACAACAAATTACCACTACCGCTACCACTACCACTGCCACCACCACTACATGAATGCTCAGATGTTGGGAGTTGTTGGGTCTGGATTTGCTATGGAATGAACGACAGGAGCAGATTGGAAGGTGAAGTCAAAGCCTTTGCATCCAGGCCAAAGGAAATTCAACCACATCGACATATGGATTTGCAAGTGCTACATTGTGGACAATACAGTTTCTTCAGCGTTCCCTTTTTAATCATGTCCATTCCAACATTGTTTGGACATGTTTGGACTTAAACTTAGGTGTTCATCAACTTTTGGAATAGTTACTGTACTGAGTTGCTGAGAACAAACAAACAGAACCCTAGAGCAAACACGACGACGTGAGGCTCGAAGCAGCTAAGCTAGACGATGCCGGCGCTGTAGAGTCCGAGGACGGAGGCGCGTCGCTCCGGACGGGAACCGCAGACCGGGTGTCTCGGTCGGTTTGGTAGGTCGAGGGAGGGTCTGAAACCAAAGTGGTTTCTTGACCAAATGGATCCAAATGGTCAACTTTCCAACTCAAATTCGCAGGAGCACGGAATATATGAGAGATTCTTTACCTCATGCATCATGCATTCTCATGATTTCTCATGCCTCCTTCCAATTATGATGTGCACAGGCACTTGGCCTGCTGAAAACTACTGTGTTTGACAAACTGTTTGAAAGACACCAGCCCTGGGCAACCTGAAACCAAAAAGGCCCTTCCCAATTCCATGCTATTCAACATGTCCCACGGGTGCTCCTCAAGCAATCGACATGAATCGACCAGCAAGCCGAGCAGAACTTCCAAAGCGACACACGTGTGCTTATAATTCCTTCCTTCCTTTCTTCCTGCCTTCCTTCCTTCCTTCCTTCCTTCCTTTGAGTAGGATCTCGCTTCCACCAGAAGTCGAAGTCAAGCCATCCCCAAGCCAGCTGGGTGAGGTGAAGTCGAAGAGGTGAAGTCGCTCAGGGAGCTTTGGCTGTACAAATGCCGATCGATGGGACGGTCGCAAAGCGAGAACGACAGACGAACGACTGGGGAGTCATGGGGGCCGGCCACAGAACCGGCACCTTCGAAAGAACCTCGTTGAAGCACAGGATGCAAAGAATTCTTCAAAAGATGTCATTAAAGAACATGTTTGTTTTGTTCGCAACCATCGGACACCGTCAATCAGACACGATTTTGTGGGTATGCCAGCTCTGTCATTGTTGTCCATCAGGCTCGGCCTTTCCAGAGGCAAGGGTTATGATGTACCAGATTACTAAGCATGCGGCCCTAGAGTCATTCCCGGGTTTGCTTTGGCTTCCTCACAAAGCCCGTCGAGTCCTTTGGATCCGATCCAACCATCCCAACTGTTCCAACCGTTTTGCGTGGTTATGCGTGTTTTGAGATGAGAAGGCCTCGATTTCGATTTCGGACCATGGACATGCACAACATGGGATGCACATTGGAGAGGCATGCGGCATTGTGGAGAGTTGATGCGAGGCAACCTTCTTATCTCATCCCTACATCCATCTACATTTCACTTCACTTCCATCCAATCAGCGCGACTCAGGACTTGGCTGTGCCATCTAACGCCGATGAAGCTCCTACTGGAACAGCTGAATCTTCAGAAGCAGCCTTGGCCATTCCCACTGTGCGATGCAAAGTTGCAGATCTGGGAGAGTGGCTGCAGGACGGATGGTCTAAAGTAGAAGGATCAAGGATCCAAAGTGGTTCGGAGGCAGTGTCGCACAGCGGTCTGGCGGTGCCGCCACACCGCTCACGGTCGGTCTGGGTGTGAGACATCCGACAAAGCTGACGTACAGTATCAAGAACTGAGTCTTATGTAGAACGGAGTCGTATGATGTCTTACTGGTAATTTATATATATATATATAGCACATATCAGAACTGAGTCTTATGTAGAGATGCAGACCGTTCCCGGCCTGCCTTTCCAGCACTGGGGCAGATGTCCGTTCACAGGATGTTGGTGTTCCCCATTTCTTCTAACACTCTGAGGTAGAGTCTTCCAGCCCGAGCCAAATTCAAGCACGTTTTCCAGGATGTTGGTGCATCCAGCTTGGTGTAGATAGCATAAGCAGCTTATAATGTATAAAACAGCTATCAGGTGTGTTGATCCCCAGTTCATGGTTGCAGACTCTCAACACACCCAACTCATGTGATGCACTCTTCGAACCCGGCAGCGTCCGGAAATCTATGCCCCGCATGGTGCCGGTTGCACCCTTGTACGCATACACGTGCATAGGCATAGACTCCACGTATCGGATGCAGGTCTTCGGCGATCACCCAATGGGTCACCCAAATTTCTGACTCTTGACATCTCTTGACTCTTGATTCATAGACTCGTCCATGTCAAGGTGTTCAATCCATGTTTGGGGGTTATGAATCAAGAGTCTACCTTCGACTAACCCTACGGACCTCCACCCCCGGACGCCCAGTCATCCCTTCAGGAATTGCGCTTGGAAGAGTACTTGGATCCTGCGGCGAAGTGGTGCTCGGAGATGGGCGCCGTGTGTTTGGAGGAAATCGCCGAGAATATCGAGGCGCCGTCGTCCGGCGCGCGACGGGGCGCACGGTCGCACGGATTGCGCCAGCGCGAAGGGCACAAGGGCGCAAGCACGTGCAGTGCACGGAAGCGCGTGACGTAGCACTCTTGTCAGGTCCATGCTTGGGCAGGTTTGGAAGCCCCACCCATGCTAAAACAACATGGGAGACAAGTCTCTCATGGGGATCAAGAATCTGGTGGGACTATACGCAATACGCCTGGAGTCCGGAGTCTGTGGGACCAGGACTTTGCAGCGGATGTCGCCCTGAAGCCGATTGAGCGGCAACGTGTACAGAAATGGGCGCCTCGTTCGGGAGGACGGCACGAGAGAGTCCAAGGGAGTGGAGAGGACGGGAATCGTGGTTTGAGCAGAAGATTTGGAGGAATGTTTGGAGGTTGCTAGGTTGAGTATACTAAGGATTTTGAGATGCTTGTTGCCATTGAATGTCAGGGAAGGAATTCATAGACTGAAAGCGGTACCAGTGGGATGTTTCTTTGGTGGTGTCTTTCTCCTTCGGCCTGCGTTGCGTTTTTCGTAAAAGATCCCCGAATGCCAGGTCAGTTTTCAAGCACCAGCATTCCAATTCAGCAGAGTCAAAACTGTATATAAAAAAAGCAACTCACCAAAAAAGACGGTGAGTTGATTCATGGGGAATACTCCTATAGTGCATCCATGAATAGTCCCCATGAATCAACTCACCAAAAGGACCAGAGCTTTCGGGGTGATTCTCCTTAGTTGCGCGAAATCGGACCCCGCGCCACTCTATAAGACATCCAGCACTTCAGGCTGCACAGAAGCTTCAAGGCATCGCCCCGATGCAAAGACTCAGAGAGGCGGGCACGGCGGGCGTGGGACAGTCCATGACGGGCATGGCGGGCCCCTATAGATGTGAAATTATATTACATTAATTACAATAAATATAGTTGAACCTGAGTGACCTCTAAATTTGGATCACCAACCAGCCAAAGACACCTCTGGAGTTCAGTTCCGCTTTCATTTGGTGTGCATTTGCTTTAATGTTGCTGTCGTTTGGACTTTGTGTGCTTTCATTCTGCTTTCATTTGCTGCCTTTTTGAGCTGAATTTAATAATTATTGATCCTGTCTATTTATTATGCCTCCCAAACCCTGATTTTGGGGGCACAGTAAAAAAAATCAGGAAATGTTACAATTAAGAATGACCTGCTCAAGACCGAATGTCAACAAATTGCTGTATATTATATATTTTTATGTTATATAAACTAGACGACGAGTGGCCCGAAAGCATTTTTCATCACGTAGGAAGTCAGAGTGTGAGTTATCTGTTAAGTGTTCAGTGTGAAGTGTTAAGTCGAGTGAGTTGAGGCAGTGTGTGGGTCTCTGTGTGTGTGTATCTATGTCTGTGTGTGTATGAGTCTCTGTCTGTGTGTGTGTCTCCGAGTAAGTTGAGGCAGTGCGTGGGTCTCTGTGTGTGTGTGCGTCAACCTTTCAAGAGAGCCGGGTGGTCGGGAGACATGACTCAGCTGCAGGGGCGCCAGAGCAGCTGCGAGAGATGACTCAGCCGCGAGAGATGACTCATCTGCGTACTAAAGTTGTACTACAAAGTCGCCAGTTCTCATCTTCCAGCTCCCCAGATACTCCGC